GGGAATTGCTGCCCACTTGTAGTGGTCCAGCTTTGCCACTAGGTGGCACTGTTCATCTTTTTTGGCTTTTAACCAAAGGCACCTGCCTCCTTTGGAGGGGACTTGGGGGAGAAATTATAAAGATGTGCCATCATGTTCTCAACCAACTCAAACTCTTTACAGCTTAGTTTTTAAATAAATATTAAGTGTCAGAAATTTTTATGTAAAATAGACTCGCATGTTTAACATATGAGGGTAATACTTGTACTATCTCTAAATAAACTGTGGGCATTAGACTGTGACTTTTAAAGCTTTCAGCGTTCTCTGGTCAGACTCAGTTTGTGCAGCTTCCTGATTGCATCCCCGCCGCCCTGACTCTCAGCTCTTCAGGTTGTAGAGACAAAACTGTTTGCTGAGCCACTTGGGATTCCCCTCTGGATGGCCTTATTCAGGAGAGAGGAATGAAGATTCTCCTCTCCCACTGAAACCTTTGGGGCCCCCTCCTCCCCCTTGTGCTGCTCAAGATGCCTTGGTTGCAAACGACCAGACATGGCCTCTGGTTAACTCAGAATGAAAGGGGGATTTATTGGCGAGATCTCAGGTAGTTCAGAGTTTACAGGAGGCAGGCGAACCACACTCAGAACAGGCAGAAATTCAAAGAGGCTGAGATGGATGGACTCAGAGCCAACACCAGGCCCCGGAAGAGTCTGGATACGGTGTCACTGCTGTTGCAACCACCGCCGAGGATGGGACACTGGGCACCGTCCTCGGTACAACTGCCACTGCCACAGTTTTTATTTTGATATTACTTTAAACTACCCCCTGCTTCGTGTCACCTGCTGCCCATTTAAACAACCAAGTGAGAGCATGTAACAGGACCTACTACCGAAAAAGTCTATGTGTGCAGAGCTGGTACCCACCTAGGCATTGTCATTGCTGCCTACTACATCATACATGTTCTTCAAGTACTGGAATAGTGTCCTACCACCCTGGGCCCATTCTCCTTCCATCTTTTCGCAATCCAACCACTAAACAGTAAAACACCTGGCCTGGGGAGGGCCCCCCCCCGCAGAGAGCTCTACACCTGGCATCCACTCTGGTTGGTGGATGTTTGTAGTAAAGTGATGGTTAGTATTTGGGATGCTATCCCTGCCCATATGTACTTTAGGTCACTTTGTAAGTAAGGGTAGTGCTGACATCTAGAAATTACTAGTGTCTGTATTGAGAAATACATAAAATGTGCAAAGGGTGGCCGACATATGACAGATGGTGAAGACATCACGTGTGAGTTGAGGCATCCTTTATGTTTGCTTTATAAAACATTTCCATTCATTTCTTCCCCAGCCTAAGAATGCTGTTGTGCTATGTACTTATTTTTTTAATTGAAGCATAGTTGATTTACAATGTTGTTAGTTTCAGGTGTACTGCAAACTGATTCAGTTATATATATATATATATGTATGTATATAATGTATATAATATATATATACTTTTTCAGATTCTTTTCCATTATAGGTTATTATAAGATACTGAATATAGTTCCCTGTGCTATACAGTAGGTCCTTGTTGCTTACCTGTTTCTTATCTATTTCTTAGTATGTATCTGTTAATCCTAAATTCCCAATTTATCACCCCCCCACCCACTTTCCCCTTTGGTGACCATAAGTCTGTTTTCTATGTCTGTGAGTCTATTTCTGTTTTGTAAATAAGTTTGTATCATTTTTTTTAGATTCCACATATAAGTAATATGATATTTGTCTTTCTCTGTCTGACTTAGTAAAATAATCTCTAGGTCCATCCATGTTGCTACAAGTGGCATTATTTCATTCTTTTTTATGACTGAGTAATACTCCATTTATGTACTTATTTTTAAAATTAAGACAAACTCTACAGAGGGAGCTGGTAAATGAATTATGGAACGTTACAGCCATTAAAATGATGACTAAAAATCCAGAAAAATGTTCATGAAATATTTAATTTGAGAACTAGAACACAAAGCTGTCCAGACATTGTTGACAACTATGTAAATGCTATTTATGCAGATAAAGGTTAGAAAGTGTTGTAAAAAAAGAAAAATATTAAGATAACTTCACGGTTGGAAGTAAGTCAGAAAGAGAAAAACAAACACCCTATGCTAACACGTATATATGGAATCTAAAAAAAAAAGGTGGTTCTGAAGAACCTTGGGGCAGGACAGGAATAAAGACGCAGATGTGGAGAATGGACTTGAGGACACGGGGAGGGGGAAGGGTAAGCTGGGACGAAGTGAGAGAGTGGCATGGACATATATACACTACCAAATGTAAAATAGATAGATAGTGGGAAGCAGCCGCATAGCACAGGGAGATCAGCTTGGTGCTTTGTGTCCACCTAGAGGGATGGGATAGGGAGGGTGGGAGGGAGGGAGACGCAAGAGGGAAGAGATATGGGAACATATGTATGTGTATAACTGATTCACTTTGTTATAAAGCAGAAACTAACACACCATTGTAAAGCAATTATACTCCAATAAAGATGTTAAAAAAAAAGATAACTTCAGTGTTGAAATGAAAACATTTCTATAGTCGTGCTTTAAAAGTTAAATAAATAAAACCTTAGCATAATTATTTAAATGATTTAAAAAATAAAACATTTGGATGCTATCCTGACATCCGTTTTGGCCCTGGGAGGCAAACGAAGGTATCATAAAACCAGGATAGGAAACCACCCGGGCATATGGAACACAGGGGGTTGTGTTCTTAACTGAAAGAACAAATGTTTCCACAGCTTAGAGAACAATCTGAGGGGCTGTTGAAGGTCACGGGTAGTCTCAGGTGTACTTGACAGTGACAGAGGCAAACTTACAGCTGATTTGGGCTGGAGAGAAGGACTTAGAATGATTTCCTTTTAGCCCCCAGCTTCTATTCAGTCAATTCCAAAGACAGTTAACAAGACAACCACCCAGAAAGGAAACTGGTGCCTGACTTCAGCGTTAAAAAGGAGACTAAAGCGTGTCTCTTGGTGCAGACCCTCAGACCATACCATGACCTTACTACAGAATTTATGAACCGGGGAGTTGATATCCTCTACATCATTGCTTTTCACACCTGAAAGTACCTAGGGACCAGCTGGGGATCTTGTTAAAATGCAGATTCTCATTCAGTTGGTATAGGGTTGATTCTGCATTTCTCCATTTTTTTTTTTTTTTTTTTTTTTGCGGTACGGGGGCCTCTCACTGTTGTGGCCTCTCCCGTTGCGGAGCACAGACTCCGGACACGCAGGCCCAGCGACCATGGCTCACGGGCCCAGCCGCCCCGTGGCACATGGGATCTTCCCGGACCGGGGCACGAACCTGTGTCCCCTGCATCGGCAGGCGGACTCTCAACCACTGCGCCACCAGGGAAGCCCTTCTCTATTTTTTAGTAAGTTCCCAGCTGCTGTTCTGCAGACCACACGTTATATAGTAAGGTTCTACAGCTCATGAAGACTTACTTTTCAGGTTGTCCTTCAGATGTGTTTAGCTAGACCTTACTATTCAAAACATGTGCAAGACTTGTACCTTGAAAGCTACAAGACATTGCTGAGAGAAATTAAAGGGGACCTGCATAAAGGCAGAGAGTTCATTCTCATGAATTGGAAATTCAGTGTTGTTAAAATGTTAATTTCCCCCAGATTCATACATAGATTGAACAGGAACCCATTCAAAATTCCAGCAGGCTTTTTTTTGTTTTGGTGGAAACTGGTAAGATGACTCTAAACTTTTTATGAAAATGCAGAGGACCTGGAAGAACCAAAATGATTTTGAAAAAGAATGAAGTTGGAAGACTCATACTACCCGATTTCAAGACTTACTATAAAGCTCTAATCATCAAGACAATGGATTAGATAAAGACAAATAAATGGAACAAAGTCCAGAAATGGACACACACGTATATGGCCAGTTGCTAAATTGTGTTATGCTAAGTGAGAGAAGCCAGGTACAAAAGATTACGTACCATATGATACCATTTATGTAGGATTCTAGGACTTCCCTGGTGGTGCAGTAGTTAAGAGTCCGCCTGCCGATGCAGGAAACACGGGTTCGATCCCTAGCCTGTGAAGATCCCACATGCCGCAGAGCAACTAAGCCCATGAGCCACAACTACTGAAGCCTGCGTGCCTAAAGCCCGTGTTCCACAACAAGAGAAGCCACTGCAGTGAGAAGCCCGCACACCGCAACAAAGAGTAGCCCCCGCTCGCTGCAACTAGAGAAAGCCCGTGTGCAGCAATGAAGACCCAATGCAGCCACAAAAAAAAATTCTAGAAGAGGTAAAACTATAGTGACAGTAGCCAGTGGTTTTGGGGGACTTCAGATGGGACCATATTAAATGAGAGGGTTACTGTTTGCGTATCAGTGAGTAAGTGGACTGCATTCCCACCTCAAAGCAGTAGAGTGTAGTTCCTAAGTGCCTGGGCTTTCAGGTCGGGCTGTCTGCGTTCCAGAACCAATTCTGCCACATGGGCAGCAAGCTGTTCGCCTCTCTGAGCTTTGCTTTCCTCATCTGTGTAAACTAATGCAATGCTAGTTCTTACCTTATAGGGTCCTTGTGAGGATCACATGAATTAATATATTTAAAGCACCTAGAACGTTTTCTTGAGCATAATAAGCTATATATAATCTTATTATTACTCTCCAGTAATCAGTTTGTGTTGTGATTTTATCTCTCTGTCCTAAAACTTGGTTCTTTCCTTCACCCTCTCCTTGATCCACGTGGACTCATGTAACTTGAGGTTCTTGATAGAATATTATAGGTGGAAGGGATCTTGGATAGTATCTAAACCAAGTACAGTTGACAAAATGGAGGCCAAGGAGTTTGAGTTATGTGCCCAAGGTCAGGTTAGTACACAGCCAACCAAGAACCAGAAGCCTGGCCAAGTAACACCTGGTCCAGCTCTGTTTTATCAAGGCTTATATACGGTGTTTGCATTTTTAATGTGAACCATAGGGATTTATCTCGAACCTGCCATTTATCAATTCCATTGTGGTGTTTGTTTTTCTGCAGAGCCCCAGTTACAGAAGACTTGTCCTATCACCACCATGAGCTCTGGTAAGTCATTTAAAACCCTGTCTTCTTCTTCCTGACAAATCTACAAAACTGGACTGTTTACCCAGATTTCCCTCTTACTCTGAAGGCCCCAACTGCATTTCATTGTTTATTTTTCGAGTCCTGGGTAAGCGTCAAAGCTTTGTCATAAATCGTCAACACAACCTTTATTATTAATGATTTACTGAGTACCTACCCTATGTCAAGAACTATGCTATACACTTTACATGTACTGTGTCCTAATCTTTATAACGGGCTCCCTTTCCCTCGATTTAACAACTTTATTGAGATATAATTGTCATACAATAAACTTGTGGATATTTTAAGTATCTTATTTGATAAATGTTGACATATGTATACACCTCAGTGGCATTTCTTAATCTGAGTGACTGCAGCACAAGTAAACGGATCGACCATAATTGCCCCATAGTATGAGCTAATCCATCACTTCCTTTATCAGGGCAAAACCACCCTTTTGCTATGCCTTTGGTAGTAAAAATCAAGACCTACACAAATGAGCAGTTCTGAGTAGTTTTGGTTTAGAGCTGGGGTAGAAAGCCCGGGCTAGGGAAGACAGAAGGGAATAGGTAGGTACCTGCTCATGTAGCCAAGAGCTGTCAGCTCTCCAGCCCAGGATTCGGGGCAGAGAAGTTTCCATCTGGAGATTGAGGCCCACCTTAGCTACTGAGTGCACCCTGGAACCTCCTGAGACCTGCAGGCAGGGTGGGCTGGGGGATGACCTAGTGGATAGCTCACTCAGGGGCCTCCTAACCCTGAGATATCTCCAGGGTGCTATCAGAGACCTCTGGAGGTTAAAAACAAGCCTTTCCGCTTATTTACGTGCAGTGCCCTTTTAGCCAAATCCTAAACCTTGCCGGACAGTGTGTGCTTATTAGGAGGAGGAGGGCCCAGGTGGCTCAGCTCAGGGCCACACACACTGAGTGTGCGGGCTTTGGCCTGTGTGGATCCTTCTCTCCACTCTCTTCTGTAAGATGGACATCACGAAAGCACCACCTCATGGGGATTTTTGAGGATTAAGTGAGGCAGTGCTTCTAAAGTACTGAGCACTGAGCCCAAGGCCTGTCCAATGTCCCATCCGTGGGTTATCAGCTCAGGTTCCCTCCTTGCGAGGAGAGGGACTGGGCTTGTCCTTGACTCCATGGGTGCTTCTCCTATGCGTGAGGTGGCTACGTCCCTTCTTTTCCCCTCCAGGTGGACTCGGGCACTGCCAGTAGTCCCTGCTTTGCAACTCATTTTTTCTTCTCGCTTGGCTTTTTGTTTTTCCTGTCATTCAAAGTAGGCCAGGGTTTTATTGCTTTGTTTTGTTTTTTTCTTAGCTCTGTAGCCTAAAGTTTCTTGTTCTTCTAATATCAGGATAAGCCTGAACTGGTATCACCACTCCTGGCATGAATAAGGGGGGAAGAAGTGGGCAGGGAGGGGCTGGTCAAGGGTGCAGAGATGCCTGTGGGACTTCTTCCCAAGTTCTCTCTCAGGCGTGATGCTGAAAGGAGGCATTTCCTAGGAGGAGTCCAAAAAATCTGGACCATTTGACCTGATAATTGCGCTCTTGGGAATGTCTATCTTAATTCGAAGGAAACAAAAACATCCACGTGAAGGTGGGGAATGAGTAGGTTCGTTATGTGTGTTTACTTGATGGGAGATTATGCCACTAATAAAAGTGATCATCCGGAAGAAAGCAGCTATGTAGAAAACATTCGTTTTTAACCTTTGGTGGAAATAGCTGCATGTCTGGGGTCACCTGGCTAGTGACTCCTGAGGCAGCCCCAGGCCACCAGCACCGTGCTACAGAGGTGTGAGTGTGAGGTGATGGAATTATTTTTCCAAATTTCTTAAAGTTTGGTTGTTTGATTAAAAAAAAAACACACAAAAGGAAAGGAAGGACATGGGTCTGGGCCTTGTGGAAGCTCAGAGGCTGCTGGCACTGGGGAGGCCCAAAGCAAGGCCTGTAGTCCTAGGAAGGGGATGGTGAAGAGAAATTAGGGCAGGTGCATAGGGAAGGGATAGTCAGAAACGATGGAGTGATGGAACGGGTGATATTTCTTTTACTTGGATTTCTGGCTTTCTGCCAACACCCTCCTTCCATCCATCCCAGAAATGTAGGTGCAAAGGGGACTTTGGGAGAACTAGCCTTTGTCTGTAGGTAGATTGGGGGCAGTGAACAGGACGGGCCCTATGGGGCCAGTGTCGGGAGGTCATGGCCGCTGTGGCGGGTTTGGGGAGCGGGCACAGGGGCAGTAGCCCTGGTCACATCTGGATCCAGGAGCGCCTGGGCTGGCCTGTCAGTGTAGCTTATGTCAGGGAGGCTGATTGTTAAGAGCCCAGGTAGGGTGAGCAAGTCTCAGCCAAATGAGCTGCTGGGGTTGGGGGCTTTTTTCATTTTAAAAATAAAAAATGTTTATCCTAGCTGGGTTCAAAGAAGATAAGCTGTGGGTGGGATGGACCAGACCAGACTTCAAATCCCTATTTAGTGATCTTAGAGCCCGGCATCCTTTCTGAGCTTCAAATTCCTTATCTATAAAATAAGAGTTCCTAACTTCTAGCTCCAGGGGCCTGGGTATTAAGAATAAAAATGAGGTGCTCATTATGAAATGCTGAGCATGGACCCTCAGATCCAGGTAAATAGAGGGCTTTAAAAACCCATAGCTGTTATGATTATATTTGTGGCTTGGTTTGCTCTTGGCTGCAGGGGACGTCACCCCAAGCACACTGATCACATGCCCCACCTGCTTGTCTTCTCTGGACTGCTGCCGTCAGTTCTGGGACAGGAAACTGGGTGGGGCTTAGGCTGCCGGTGGGCAGTGAGGGTCTCAGTGTCTGCAGCTGAGCAGAACTTTGAAAGGTCTCCACTGGTACACAGGAGGTGACATTCAAGGTGAACCTCAAGGTGCAGAGGATTTCCCCAAGCTAGGAAAGGGGGAGCGTGCATTTCTGGCCGAAGGCCTTGCAGGAACCAAGGCCTGAATGTCGGAAAGTATCTGATGTGCTGAAGGGGTTGTGAGGAGACCGTCATGGAGGGCAGGGGCAGCAGGGAACTGCAGCTGGAAAAGGGCTGGGACCTGTGGCTGAAGTGCCTGGAGTCCGGGATGAGTTGCCCAGGCTTTGTCCCTGGGTAGCTCCTGGTTACTGGGGCTTGTTTGTTGGTTTGCTTTTAATTATCAGGAAGGTCAGTTTGTTCATTTGAATATAACCACTTATGCTAACATACAGGCCATCTCACTGACTAAAAAATGATATTCCTAATGGACATTTGGGGGAACTTGATTCCAAGTTCAATTTGTTTCCTAATTGAAATGATAACATGTATGGTTGAATTCCCAGACTAAACCCTGATATTTTTATTTCTCAAAATAGAAGTGAATTATTTGCAAAGCAGAAATAGAGACACAGAGGTAGAGAACAAGTGTATGGATACCAAGGGGGAAGGGGGTGTGGGAGGAATTGAGAGATTGGGATTGACACATGTACACTATTGATACTCTGTGTAAAATAGACAACTAATGAGAACATACTGTGTAGCACAGGGAACTCTGCTTAATGTACTGTGGTGACCTAAATGGGCAGAAAATCCAAAAAAGAGGGGATATATGTATATGTATGGCTGATTCATTTTGCTGTACAGTAGAAACTAACACAACATTGTAAAGCAACTATACTCCAATAAAAATTAAAAAAACAAAAATAGGGACTTCCCTGGTGGTCCAGTGGGTAAGACTCTGCGCTCCCAATACAGGGGGCCCAGGTTTGATCCCTGGTCGGAGAGCTAGATCCCTCATGCATGCCACAACTAAAAAAGATCCCACTTGCCGCGACAAAGACCCAGTGCAGCCAAAATAAATAAAAAAATATAATAGTAAAAATGTAATTTAAACATTAAAAACAAACAAAAAAATAAAATAGTGAAATACAGTATATTTAAAGTGGAGGGTTTTAGAAAATCACGTTGCTTTGTCCTGTTTTGTTCTCTGTCCTGCTCCCTGGAGCTTTTTCAGCCAGATGGGGGTCTAGAGGGTGCTCTCCAGATACAGACTGAGGGCTGCGGTGGAAAAGGGGCAGAACGAAGGCCAGGAGAGCGGTCAGGGGGCCAGGTCATCGCCACAGCCAGAACACAGGAGCCTCGGCTGGGGGGAGGCCTGACATGGCTTCCATAGCAGCGGCGGTGGGGTAGGGTGAAGGGAAGTGTCACAGAGCCTGAGGTTTCTGTCCTGGCTGTCTGACAGCTCTCATCCGGGATGCACAGGGATGCGTTTGAGCGGCCTTGGAATGGTGGATAAGCCTTTGTCAGGCAGGAGATGCCATTTTCAAGGAATTAAGGAGATTTTTTTTTAAATGTCAGAAGTGAAGCCAAGCCAGGAAGCCAGAGAATTTACAGCGCTCACAACACACTTCCCATCCCAAACAGCTTTTGCGTTCTCCCTGCCACAGAGCATTCTCGGAACTCAGCTACGACGCCCTGGGGCCCTCCTTCAGGCCTGAGGAAGCCTGCAGGGCCAGCACTTTGCACCAGGTGGGACTCAGGAAAGGGTAGCTAGACGTGATCACAAGCCTCGGGCTCTTTCTTTCTTTCTTTCAGAATGCGATGTTGGTGCTTCCAAAGCTGTGGTGAATGGTTTGGTACCAGGCAGCAATGGGCAAGACAGAGGTAAGGCTCTTGAAGGGAAACTTGGCATTTCTAGAAGGAGCAGGGCCCGGGCCACCTGCCTGGTGGGATCAGTCACTGGTCTAATTAGGCCGTGACCTGGAGACCTGTTCCTATGCTTTCCGAGAATCAGGAGTCTGAGGCTGCCGTTTCCCAATGTGAGGTGATATATTAAAAACTGTCCCTAGCTCACAGGATGCTGTGAACCACAGACCCCAAATACACGGGCAGAGTCCTCGTGTGTATGGCATTTATCAGCCTGCAGTCTCTCTTACCCGGCATTTCACCTCCACCTGTGATAAATAGTGACACATTCACCATCCTGACCCTGAGGCAAGAGCCTAAATTGCTGAAATAAATTATTTTGGTGACATTAGTTTCATGCACATCCTCTCAGATTTTCAATTTTTAAAATTTTAGGACAAAAGATATAAGTGTGAAATGAATGATGGATAAGATGACCTTTGAGGTCCCATCTCTCATCCTGAGCAGCCAGGCCTCAGGCTTCCCATGTCACTTTGCAGTGTGAGGAAACGGGCTCGGGTCCTGGCCTGCTGCTCGTAAACAGAGAACTCTTGGGAGGTCCTTTGTCTTTATGGCTGTGAATTTCCTTATCTAGAAAATGAGAGAATTTGATGATCTGCAGTATTTTTTCCTGCTTCAGATTCAGGTTCCAGTGATTCTATCAGTGCTCATCCCACAAGTCTTATGGTATCAAAGAGGGAGGGCAAAAGTCCTGTTATTGGGCATTTAAGTCAAAATGCACCCTCCCTCAAAGAAAACGCTTACAAAGTTTGACATATTTGGGGCTTCCCTGGTGGCGCAGTGGTTGAGAGTCCGCCTGCCGATGCAGGGGACACGGGTTCGTGCCCCGGGGTGGGAAGATCCCATATGCCATGGAGCGGCTGGGCCCGTGAGCCATGGACACTGAGCCTGTGCGTGTCCGGAGCCTGTGCTCCGCAACGGGAGAGGCCACAAGAGTGAGAGGCCCGCATACCGGAAAAAAAAAAAAAAAAGTTTGACATATTTGGACTTTGTAATTACTATCTGGGTCAGCCAAGTATTCATTTTGAGATGAGGCAAAGTGTAAAGTCAGAAAGAGCAGCCAGGAGGGGAGGCGTAGAGAGCAGGAGAGATGGGGATCCCGGGGCCGGTTGGTTGGGAGGGTCCTGCTGTTGTCCTGTCTTCCGTGTCTCCCTGCCCGGCCGCTCTTCTCCACGCCTGGTGTGAGGCAATGTTCTCGGGGTCTTGGACAGCCTTGGCTAATTCGCTTAGGGAATGTTGAAGGGCGGTGCCTAATAAGCATCTGGTGAGGAGCACACGGGGAGACGAGCGTGTCTGATGCTCACCCCAGCCCTGTGAATTCATCAGCAGAAGAGACCCCGGAGGTGGGCGGGCAGCGTGGCCCGTAGAGTAGCATTCCCCTCGCTCCTTGGTAAGACCCACCTTTGGTTGGAAAGAGGAAGCAGGTGCAACCTGGAGTCATCAGGGCGGCCTGGGGTGCTCACTAAACCAGGTGCCAGGACAGCTGGGCTCCAGTCTCGGCCTCTTCGCTTGAGCACTGGATGACTCCAACCAGCTCTCTCGCTTCTTCCTCTGAAAATGGTAACAGAATCCCCCCACCCAATCTCCCAGGTGGCCGTAAGGAACAGTCAGCAGGATTGCTGTGAAAGCATGTTTGTATCTTAACACGTGCACGGTTGTTATTATCAGCTCAGTTCTTGGCGGCTGTATGACTGCCATGGACCTTGTGAAATGACAGCCTGATGGACTGGAAGGTGAACTACCCACCTCCGAGCTGCCTGCCTCCCTCCTGTCCCCTTGACAGGCTCGTCAGCATGATGCTGATACAGCCGTGACGGTCTTGCTTCCCAAACAGCCCTACCCCCCAAGGTGTGACGTGGATCTGGGACCGTAAGAACTCCGGGTGTTGCTCAAGAGTGACATTGCTACCATAGGCTTGTTGTGAGGAGGAGGGTTTGGGACTATGCCCACCATTGAGATTCCAGAATCTGGGTAGGCAGGGGGCCCAGGGAAGCCTGTGCCTAGATAAGCATGAGCATCCGGGACTTGAGGACAGCAGCCTTCACCCACATGCCAGGCAGTATCCCAGCTCTCAAAGCTCAGCTGGTGTCAGCACCCTGGGCCTCGCGCTCGAGTGCGCCCAGAGTCTTGAACAGGCACTTGGACACTTGGCAACCTCTTGCCCAGGGAAGGATGGCTTTAAGTAGGCCATCTGCTGCCCAACAGATGGGGCCTCTGATTTGCTCAGGGCCAGAGAGCTGTGGTTGTCAGAACAGGCACAAGACCCCAGGAGTTACGATCCTGGAGAAGCGGCTGTGATGGCTGAAAGGACCAGGCAGCTCCCAAATTTGTTCCCTGTCCTTCCTCCACTCCTCTGGAGTTAGAGGAGCCATAACTCTCCTCCTCAGAGCCTCCCCCCAGCATAGGCACCCTAGCCTTCTCCCAGGGGGCCCCTTGGACCCTGCTTGCTCTCCCCTTCCTCTATTTGCCAGGCCATCTGCGTCTCTGTAATCTCTTTGTCTAGCAAGTTCCTGGTGTGGCAGGCAGCACAGACACTGATCAGCTGTATCTGGGGGATGGTCATGGGAGGGCTCTGGTGACTTGTACAGGACTCTAAAGAGCGAAAGCAGGTTATTTTAAGTTACTGCATCTACCGCTCTTCCTATTGTTCTTTTGGTGTGGGCAACTTCCTCCTATTGTCCCTGCCCTGTTCCTCCACTGCCTGAGTGTTTCCCAAATGTTTTTTCTGGATGCACCATTTACCCTTTTGTGTTTTCAGCAACTGCAGACCCTATACGTGCACGCTCTATTTCTGCTGTTAAAATAATCCCTGTGAAGACAGTGAAAAATTCTTCAGGCCTAGTACTCCCTCCAGGTATCTCTCCTTGGGTTGGTTTTTTTTTTTTTTTTTAATTGTTAGCAGATCATGCATGATCCTTTCTTCTTTCCTTCTAACAAAGACTTGGAGGCCTAATCCTTGCATGTTTAGGAGCCACTCCCTTTCACTTCTCTGGCTGGTTTCCTTTCTGTGTGTGTGTGTGTGTGTGTGTGTATGTGTGTGTGTGTATGTGTGTGTTTCTGTGAGCCACCGGCAAGTGTGGAGAGGAGCTGACAGGTGCCTTGCCCCTCCCCCTTAAGGAGAAGGTCAGTCCAGAGGCTGAATGTTGATTCCAGCTGGTGTAGGTCTGAGCCACATAGACGACTTAGGTTCCCCTTAGAGGTTCCAGCTCCCAAGACTTTATTTAAAACTCCACTGTCCCCAAGAACTAATGTGGCTACACAGGGAATCTCTGAATTGGTGTGAACTTGAAGCAGCTCCCTTAGATGCCAAACCTGGCTGCGTCTCTGTGATGCTGGCAGGACCATTTCCCTGAGCACTCCCTCCTCTGCCCCGAACCTCACCAGCAGTCACTTCCTGCCTCTCCTCTCCGAGGAAGGGGGTGCAGTTCAGACAACAGCTCTGGCTCATAGCTTCCTTCTGTACAAAATGAGACGAGTGAGGCCCAGGTGGCTCTTTATCCCACTGGTGGTTCTTTCAGGAGTTGGGCCAATCTGGCTGTGCATCCAGGACACTATGGATGGGCTGGGTTTGTCACTTTGCCCCTCACCCTTTGGCAAAGACCATGACTTTGCCCCTCACCCTTTTGAAAAGACTGTGAATCAATTTTGCCAATAGTTCTGTGACATCAGTCACTTATGCTCTTGATAGGGTTGGATGAGTCAGATGCTCTCCAAGGCCGCTGCCTGCTCTGCCATACATTGTGGTTTTGGGCTTTGCTTTCAGGGCAAGAGGTGCTGACGGCAGATCTGTCCTCTTCTGTAACACTAATGATCGTTGTGTCTGAGCTGTCAGAAAGGGGGCTGCCAGAGTGGAAAGGAGCAAAGAGGCTTGGCTCCTCTTGGCCCTGGCACAGGAATGGGCATGAGTTGGACATCTGAGCCCACATCCTGCCCGATGCCCGCCTTAAACTTTACCCATAATCCCAGTCATGACAATTTGAGGTCCAAGATCCAGGCTGTGCTGTGAGCAACTTGAAAAACTGTGGAATTCAGTTCAGCTCAGCTGTACAGAGAGAAACATTCAGCACGTGTACCTCCTAGGGCTGTGTGGTCTGTGTGGCTTTCTTGTTTCCCCATTACTGATTTTCCTGGAGGATGAACATCCAGATCTTTTGAAGCCTATTTTGAAATCCTTCTCCATGCACTTCTGAAAGATACCCTTGGTCTGTTATTAGGCCATTGTGAACTGTAGGAGAGGTCGGGGCCCAGGGAAGGCTCAGCTGGAAGTGCAGCGAACACTGTTCCTTGAAGGATTTAGCATTTCTAGTCGTTTTCTTTGGTGTGAATTTTCTTCATTAAGTTTAGAATGTGAGGCTCTGGCCCTTGATCTTTCTCCCCAGGCAGCATATCCTGTCTCACCACTGCAGGGGGCTTGGCTTGCTGATACAAGGAGATTGTCTTTTGCTTTTCCGTTGGGGGGCTGCACGGAGCAGTGATTCTCTACAGAACCACCACCTAATTCCCTGTGCTGTCGACTTGCTCTTTTTTAAGAAGGATGATGTGGGAGCTTGAGAAATCTTTCATAAATTCTTTCTTGAACTGAGCCTTACTAATTGGTCAGAAGCTGCTCACCAACCTAAACTTCATTTAATAAAAGGAATCAACCCGCTTTGATTTGGAAATGTTTACAGCTGACGTTGTAACGCATCCATTGACTCAGAACTCACTGTTGCCTCCATTTCCTCCTAACCTCATGATGGGTGGTAAACCTCTGAAAATGTGATTTGTCCCTCTTCACCATCCACAGGTTAATTTTCATTGACCGTCAGACTTTGCCTGTCTGTAACCAGGTTCATCTCATTCCCCAGCTGTACCAAGTTGCTGGCTGACTGTCGCTTTCATCCTCCAGGAGCCTGGGACTCAGTCTTTCCTCTTGGGTCTTTCCTTTTCAGACACGGATCCTACAAAAATCTGCACTGGGAAGGGAGCGGTGACTCTCCGGGCCTCGTCCTCCTACAGGGAGATCCCAAGCGGTAGCCCTGTGAGCCCTCGGGAAACCCCGCAAGAGGAAAGGAAACCAGGTGCGCTACCTCGGAGACCAGGGGAAGGGTGGGGCTCTGCCTACCAATTCTCCCAGGGGCCCCTGGCACAGTCCTCTCCGTCTCGTCTCTGTGGTGGGTGGTGATCACTGCCCTAAACTGACAGGTACCCACTTGCTTCAGGCAAAGGCACGGCGGCGACCACTTTACTCTAGCTTTTGACGGAACGCGTGAGCAGCCTGAGGCTCTGCAGACTAGTTTAGGAGGATGGAGATGGCTTAGGGGCCTGGGGAGGGAGTGGTGGGATGGCCTCCAGGCTTGGCTTCTCTGAGCCGTCCCCACTTCTAGGGGCTCAGCTGTGACCATCCAGGCGGGGCTGGGGCTGGGGAAGAAGCCAAGGGAGACTGAAAAGTGCAGGCGGCCGAATGGCCTCAGCTCCCGGAAAGCAGGGAGGCATCCCGAGGGAGCAGGATCAGGAGAGCGTGTCTAAGGCCAACGCAGAAGCCTCCGCCCCTCGGGAAACCCGGGCACCTGGAGCACGGTGCTGAGGTGGACACCTGGGACTTTGGGATCGGCACATGAGTTTCATGTCCTACTTCCACCACCTGTTGGCTGTACAGCCTGGGATGAGATGGCTGCTCTCCCTCAACCCTGGTGAGCCCACCTGTCGGATCAGGTTGATAACTGTACCTGCCTCGCCGCGTCATTGTGAGGATGAAGTATGTCAAGGGTTTTGCATTGAGGTTTTGCATTTTCAACGAGTTCCCAGGTCATGCTGATGCTCCTGGGCCAAGGACCACACTTGAGAGCTACTGCCATAGGGGATGGGAGTTTTCTCCCATCTTGAAGGAAGGAAATGGAGAGAAAATGAATTGGGGTGATGACCACTTCCTTGGGACCAGAGACACGCAAGCTCTTCTGGTACAGTCGGGAGTGCTGTGTTGTGATAAGATGGAATTATACAGGATGGAGATGGTCAGTACCCAGCATCCTGGAAACTTGACTTTCTTTCTGTTCCCTGCCAGCTGTAACAGGTACCAAGGCAGATGCCCAAGGACGAGGCCAGGCTAGGGTTTGAGCACCAGCCCCGTTCTGGTAATGTCAGTCCCTGTGGAAAGCTTCTTTTTCCCTAGGCTCAGGGGAAGGCGTGAGTGGCCTCCAGCACTATTAGGTTGAAAGTAGCTGCTTGGCTCTGCTTTCCTGGACCCATACCTGCCTCTTTCCCTACTGTACTTTGCCACTCTGGTCTCCAGGAGAGGTGGGGCCGCTGGGAAGATCCATCTCCCAAGCTGGAGGACCTCTGGGAAAGAGAGAAACCTAAGGGATAATTTAAAGAGAAGGACCATACCTACAGCCCCGTGGCCCCATAAAATGACCTCACAACCTCCTGGCCCTTCCTCTGGTGGTGAATGGGAATGGTGAATGGCAGGAGAGGGAGCCTTGAGCTCCCCCTGGTGGTCACAATGTGGCACTAACACAGAGCCCCGATGTTATTCTTTACCTTGCTGTCTGTAGGTTTGCACTCCAGTGCAGTGATTTGAGCACTTAAGGAAGCTCTCTCTAGTCCCCAGATAACTCTATATCTTACAGATTTATAACAGATAATTTGGATTAAAAAAAGATCTTGTTTTAAATTGAAAATACTCTGAAGGATTGGGGGATGGCTATCAGTCATTCACACCTTACAGTAAATTAATCTTTGTGGATTATTTTTCTCCAGATAAATAGAGGTCATTGAATCCAAATCAGCAGACATTCATTCTGCATCCTATAGGGGCCAGGCATCACTGGGAGTCACGAGGAATTGTGGCGAGAAGGGAAGAAAAGGGAGAGAAATTTGGGGGCATCATGTGAGCACAAGCGTTCCAACCAGAGAGTCAGGTGTGGAGCCCCAGTCCACTGTCATGCTTTCTGACCACACGTATGTCACACCTCTGAAGCACGTATGAAGTATGAGGGACTTGGGAAAGATGGTTTTCAAGCCTTTCTAGTTCCAGAATGCTCTGTGAACTTGGGAAGTTTGGGAATTAACCTGGCACAAACAGAAGCCTATTCACTGGGGACACATTCAGGATTGTACACTAGGCCAGTTTGGGTGGAAAGGAACAAGCTGGGGTTGAGTAGGGGTGGGGGGAAATTACACTGATTAGCTGAACAGCAGGCTGGAATGAGTTAACACTGGAGGTGAGGATAAAAGAGGATGCACCTCCAGAGGTGGGACACTCAGGACCAGAGATCTTGTTCTCTTACCCTCCTGGCCATTGGCCAGCATCCTGCTGGCCCTTGACTCTGGCTGGGTCCGTGTGGCTCCCCAGCCCTCCTCATCCCTGCCTACTCCCTCCATCTGAACCTCTGGATGACAACTTGCTGGCCCCCACCAAGCCTCTGAGACTTGACCAGCCTCATGGAAACAGTTTTCGGCAGCATTTGACGGCAGCTGTGCTAGCCTGGACTGGGAGCCCAAGTGTGAGGCAGGGAGCCTTGCTTGGCTCTTGCCAAGGACTGGGCGTGCTTCCCTTTCCCAGCGTCTTCACAGATAGTGGGTGTCAGATAGCGTCCAGGTCTCTCCCCTGCCACCAGGGCCAGCATCTGTGCCCCAGCTGCTCTGGCTGTCTCCTCTCTGCATTGCTCCCTGGCTTTACCACATTCCTCCATCCCTGTAGATCTCCAAGTTGCTGATCATCTGCCTGAACTGGAAGCTTCGGTCTCACGTTACTGCCCAGCACCTGTGGCCTGATTTCTTTCACCATATGGCCCCTTGACACCCGCATTTCAGAGGTGGCCCCTATTTCCAGTCCTTGCTCCAGCTCCCTTACCCTGTGAGAGGTGGTCTCGCTCTCAAGTCACACAGTCCTCTCTCAAGGCTCAGCTCTACCACTTACTGTCTTGGTAATATGGGCACATTAACCTTGGAGAGCTTCACTTTCCCCATCTTTAAACTGGAGATGACCTTAATAGAGTTGCTGGGATGCAGTGAACTTTTCCATCTCAAGATATAGCACAGAGCCAGGCATGTACAAGGTGCTCTTGAATGGAAACGATTCTAGTTTCTGCGGATCAGGAGGCCACTTAAAGACTTGCAGTAATTTCTCGTAGAGGCTGTGAGGGTCTAGGCCCAGCGTGGTGGTGGTGGGAATGACGAGCAGGGGCCAAGCGAGAAGTGTATTTGGAGAGTGGAATGGCAGGGCTTGGCACAGTGTTTAAGGAGTGCGGAGAGGTAGGGCTCCATGCTGAGCAGAAGGCGCCTTCCCTGCTTGACTAGGAGAATAGATGTGGCACTCATGGAGATGCTGGATTTATGAGGGGAGTTGGAAGGAATGTTGGATTCCATTTCTTGACGTGCTGAGTTTCTTGGCAAGAGAAGGACTTCTAGGAGGAATTTTCTAATAGGCATTTGGAAATTTGGAATCCAGGGTGTGGATTTGGGAGCCATTGGCATCCAAGTGAACATGGGGAGGGTGGAGATGCTCTCTGAGGTGGAGTGACAGACGGAGCCCTCAGAGTTGCCCAGTTTAAACCCAACCTCCAGGCTCCTGCCCTCAGTGGTAGCTTGACTCTGGATCCCTGACCACCCTCCTAATCTCTGAATGTAGACCTAGGTTTTGGGATCTGAACCATCTGGAAAGAGCTACAGCAATCTTAATGCTGATTCCCGGCCTCCAAGAGAGGCCTCTTATTCCTGCTTCCTGGTATAATAGCTTGGCCAGGTTTGGGTAATGGCCCTGTTGGTTCAGGTGTGACTCCAGCTGTGTCCCCAGGTCACGGTGATCTTAAGAGGAGACAGGGAGCCTGAACTGGTGGTGGGTGCGGTACGAAGCTTCCTTCTGGTATGGCATGGAGACCATCGATCCCTGTGTTCTGACTCAAAAGCCAAAGTTCAGTTCGACATTTACAGCTTATTCTGTGCCAGTTGGCTCCCATCCTTCCTGTCTGATTCTTGACTGCAAAGTTAGCTATGGATGTAAAGATTCTTGGACCTGCAGTCAACTCATTTCCTCACATTTGCTCTCGAGAAATGACAGTAGCAAAAAGATAAGAAAATTGACATTAAAATAGTTAGACATTCCCTACCCCCATTAACTAAGAGTCTTTTTCGTGAGCTCATGTATGAGAAAAGGGGGCCAAATGAGAAGTAGCTGGAGGCAAAAGTCCCCACAAGAGAAGACTCTCACTGTGACACCAACTGCAAGGTCAGGGGATTCCCACAACCACTCTCAGGTTTGATAATTTGGTAGCAGGACTCAAAGAAGCCATTGAAAGCTGTTATACCCACAGTTCTGGTTTATTACAGGGAGAGGATACAGATTACAATCAGCTAAAACAAGGAAGCATGGAGTTGGTGTGGTCCCTCTCCTGTGGAGTCAGGACATGTTAGTTCCCAGCACTGCGTGTGAGAACATGCTCAGAGCAGTGCCAACCATGAAGGTCATACAAGCTGTGGTGTCCATGGTTTTCGTTGGGGCTCTATTACATAGGTGTTATCCACTGCCCAAGTGGTTCGTCTCACTCTCCAGTCTGTTAGGAGGTTGAGCTCAAAGGCCCCCAACCTAAGTCACGTTATTGGTTTAGCACAAAGACAGTCCTATCAGGATGACATTCCAAGGGCTTAGAGATTAACTCCTGGAAGCCAGAGGGCAAAGGCCAGACCTCCTTTTGGGGAAGAGTAAATTCTTTACCACACAGCATGAATAAAAGTTAAACAAGGTATGGAACGCTCTTAGACCCACTTTTAACACCTTTCCTCTAACTCGTGGATTCTCTACCAGGAAACACAGATCTAACTCAATGAAAAGTGTCCTGAGATCCCAAGAAGTGATCAGCAAAACAAGCTTACAACAGACCAAAATGAAATTAGCACAGAGTGAGATAAAGGAAAATAAGTAAGCTGTGGCCACAGGCCAGAAAAGATTGTATATAAAGAATAGATGGGGCTTCCCTAGTGGCACAGTGGCTGAGAGTCCGCCTGCCGATGCAGGGGACACGGGTTCGTGCCCCGGTCCGGGAAGATCCCACATGCCGCGGAGCGGCTGGGCCCGTGAGCCATGGCCGCTGAGCCTGCGCGTCCGGAGCCTGTGCTCCACAACGGGAGAGGCCACAGCAGTGAGAGGCCCGCGTACCGAAAAAAAAAAAAAAAGAAAAGAATAGATGGAGAAAAAGATAAGGCAAAATAAATTAAACTTCTCATGGAAAGGTTTGGTCTCCTCAGGGCTGCAAAACCTCCTGAGGGACCCAGCTTTTCAAGGCCCTCCTCCATCACGGGAGCTCTGAGCTAACATTTATTGAGAGAAGCATTTTGGCAGTCTCCCTAACCAAGAGTTAATAATTGATGATCATGTACATAAAATTTCACCTGCCACCCTCAGACACAAAAGGCCCTGGGCTGCTACCAACCTTCAAGGTTCAGAAGAGTAGGTAACAGATGAAGGAGGATGAAATGTCAGAAATGCAGCTCTTTTAAATAAGAAAGGAACGTTCTGAGGAGTCCTGGGAACTGCCTTTTTGGGGACAGGGTAAGGGGAACAGTTTTAAATACTTGGAATGAGAAGAAAAAGTGGGTTGATTCCCGAGGATATTATGTTCTTAAGGCTATTCATCAAATGGCAGAGTCAACTGCTCTAATTGCTGTGTCTGGGAAATTTTTTTCCCCTTATGCTTTGGATCCCGATCTTACTAAGCACATACCTTATGCCACATACTTCCACTTAGTCCTTATGACAAGAGAGAAAATTTCTCATTTCACAGATGAGGCTATGTCCCTTGCTGCAGGATATGCAGTGAGCAAAACAGGATTCAAACTAGGCTGTCTGATTCCACAATGACAGTCCCTTTATGATACCTAAGGGTTTGGGAGGAACAGACTCACCTCAGCTTTCCACGACACATCTGTGTGCCAACATCACCTGAATAGAACCAACCCAGCCAAAGAGCAGACAAAATAACATGCTTCCACATCCATGTACAAAGTTCACATCCTTTATTGATAGCCCCTCATCAGAACCTGTTGACATAGAGAACAAACGTATGGGCGCCAAGGTGGGGGAAGCAGGGCCGGGGGTGGTGGTGGGATGAACTGGGAGATTGGGATTGACATATATACACTAATATGTATAAAATAGATAACTAATTAGAACCTGCTGTATAAAAAAAAATTTTTTTAAGAGAACCTATTGACATTTAGTGCGTGTGTGTAAATCAAATAAATTTGATAGAATGACTTGACAAAGCCGGACTAGAAATAACCTAGGAAGGAAGATGAGATAGTAAAAGTGATAGATACAGGGGAGGAAGGAGAAACATTTTCATAGTGTGTCACCTGGTACCTGAAGGCCTGCGGGTTGCAAGGAAATCTCGGGGCCAGGATCTGCATGGATGCACTAGTGAGTGTTAAAATGGTCACTTTTCCTGCTATATAGCACAAGGAAGTCTTCTCAATACTCTGTAATGAGGTATATGGGAAAAGAACCTGGAAAAGAGTGGAAATAAGTATATGTATAACTGGTTCACTTGGCTCTACAGCAGAAACTAACAACATTGTGAATCAACTCCAATAAAAATTTTTTCAAAACGGTCACTTTTAGGACACGTCACGTACCTGACCTCAGCCACCCTGTGCGGTGTATGTGGGGTAAGGATTATATTTTATAGATGGAAACAGTGAAATTTAGGGCGATTAACAGCTTGTCCTTGATTGCACGAGCTGGTACATCGCAGTAATGTGAGTAAAAATCAAGTCCTGTAAATTTCCCAGCCTTGTGGTTGGGACAAGAAGACAGATATCTAGGAATTGTCCCTAAGGGAGTGGCAGAAATGTGACAGCCAACCTGCTAAAAGAATGTACAACTGAAACAGGTTATAAAAACCTCGTTTTAGAGGAGGACGGAGTTTGCCAAAATGGATATGGTTTCCCAGAGTAAGGATGTTTTTGAATGTACATTAGTATGTCAGTGATTCTCAAAGTGAGCGTTGGGTTATGGACCAGCAGCCTTACTATAACCTGGAGACATGTTAGAAATACAAATTCTCAAGCCTCACTTCTCCTCTGAGTCAAAAACTCTGGGGATGGGGCCCTGCGATCTGTGTTTTAACAAGCACTCCTGGTGACTCCGATGCAGATAGACTGCTGTACATGGATGCAAATCACTTGAAACCTTTTCCCCTGCCTGGCCTTTTGCTCTGACACCCTTTGGCTTCCGCCATCTCCCTGGAATGTAGGCTCTGCTTTGTGGCAGATGGCAGGGTTGGTGGCCGTGGGTGGTGGACAGAGTGCTGCACTTGATTCTGGAGACCTGGGCTGACTGCTTTATCACTTCCTGGCTGTGTGACTTTGGGCCAGTCAATTGGCCTCTCTGTTTTTTCATCCATGAAGCAGAGTGATTACCTACCTCACAGACTTGTGTACACTGAATTAAATACTGAATATATGCAAAAGTGGCCAACAGCGTCTGGCACTTAGAAAGACGTTCGATCCGGAAAGCCCATCTCTGATGCCTGAGGAAGCCACATTGAAATGGAGCCTTGGGCTGTGAGAGCTGCAGTGCTTTATTCCCCTCTTTATATAGGGTGAGATAAGGAGGCAACCAGAGAGGAGGAGGAAATTAAGGGACTGGCTCCATGAGGGGTTGGCAAACTGTGGCGCTTGGGCCTAATCTGGCCTATGCTTATTTTTGTACATCCCTTTAACAAGGGATGGTGTGTGTGTGTGTGTGTGTAGTATTTTTTGGCTTGCCTTTAATTAGACTTAGCTCTTATGCTTTTAAAAGTGGAATCAATCAGAAGGTAAGGGTGTAGGGGAATAATTTTCCAATACTTTTCTTGTAAACTCAAATTCTTCTTTGGAATAAAGCAGGCTTTGGTTTACTGTTCACAAGGTTACTTCTGAGTTGCAAAAGAAATTTCCCTCTTCAATCTGGGCTGCCACAATTGGACAGAAAGCATGAAGACGCTTTTTTCTTGCATCTGGGTTTTTATATTTTAAGGGTTGAAAGAAAAAGAATGTGCTGTGTGAAAATTACATGAAATTCAAACTCCAGTTTCCACAAATAAAGGTTTATTGGAACACAGCCACCCTCGTTCACTTGATATTGTTTGCGGCTGCTTTTGTGCTACAACAGCAGAGTTGAATAGTTGTGACTGAGCCCATATGGCCGTCAAAGCCTAAAGTATTTGCTAACTGGCCCTTTACAGAAAAGGTTTGCTAGCCCCTGGGCTACATGGAAGATAGAGAATAGAGACAAGAGGTGATGCAGAAGATGGTGGTAAATAAGAAACGTTGCTGAGCTCTGCCAGGCACTGTTCTAAACATCTCTCGTGCATTGTATCTTTTAATTCTTAACACGTATGAAGCAGGCATATCGTTACCCCCATTTTTCATATGGGAAAACTGAGGCTTATAACTTGCCCAGGGCCACAGAGCCCATAGGTGGAGGAGCCAGGATTTGAATTGAGGTCCAGCTGCCTTCCCAGCCAAGCTTGTGACCACTGCGCCGTCCTGCCTCGCGGTGCTGGTCAGGTTAGGAGAGGTTTAGGGTCTCTGAGCTGCTCCAGGCAATAGATGGAGGGCAGGGTGGTAGCTGGCTGAAGGGGGACAAGGGTGCCTTGTAGTATGATGAAAACTCAGGGTGATTAGATTTTGAAATCTTTATGTAGCTCGTTTAATGGAAAGAAGAAAGGCAGGCAGGGAGGAAAAAAAGCCCTTATCACAGCAGATACCTTGGGGCTTAAATCATGTTCTCCCCTTTGCGCAGCACCAACAGCCATGGAAAAAGTGCTTGTCGGTGTCTCCCTCTCCGGGTCTGTTAATTAGCCCAGGCTGCTGGTGAGGAGAGGTCATTCTGGGCCCACGTCAGGCTTATAAAAGGGGAATGCAAGTTAGTGAGTCAGGACTGGACAGGAGAGTTCTGTGGCCTTTTTGTCTGTAAAATAAGAATGTCAAGAACAATTGTTTCTTCATTACTGTGAATGTGAGCCTTGTGTTTTCAAAGGTCAGCGCCTGTGAGCACATCATGGTTTAGAGTGGGTTCCTATGGTAATTAGACCATCGTGACTGAGGGCATTTTGTGTCAGGCAACGGAGTGCTGGAGTTTCGTCTTTCTGTGCAGTACGTGCTTGTTTCCTGCAAACGTAACCATTTCTGTTTCCCCCCCTCTTGTTTTCATCCTTTGTGCGCCACACGTAGTTCTGGAGCCAGAGAATTCCTCAGCAGGTATGGTTTCTCTTGCATCCTTTCTGTCCCTGCCTTCCACCAGGAACCCTTCAATTAGAGGGGAACCCTTCAATTAAGAGGGGAACCAGGGAGTGTTCCTGTGAGTGAGGGCTTTCTTCTTTTTTTCATCTCTCAGATGAGTGGAGGCTTCCTTCCAATGCTGATGCCAATGGAAACGCCCAGCCCTCTCCACTCGTTGCCAAGGGCTACCGAAGTGTGCATCCCAACCTTCCTTCCGACAAGCCTCAGGTAGGTGGGTGCCCAAGGGCAGGGTGGGGACTGTTCTTGAGTCGTTTAGCTTGCACTTGTGACTTCCTGCTCGCCCAGCTGGATGATGGAATGGCTTCTGAGTCCCACTTTTGGCCAACTCTGAAAAAGCCCCGGGAGGACCAGAGTTAGGGAGAAGTTGGGGTCAAGGGAAGCAGATGTATGGGATGAGGCTGGTCTGTACCAGGGTATCAGAAGCATAAGCCCAATATTCCGTAGGTTTGAAACGTGTGTGGAAATGTTCTGAAAGAGGGAATGCCAGGTGGGAAAAAGGTCTGAGCCTGTTTTATGAAAACTCTTTAGAGCATAATATTCAGAAGGCGACTGCACTCTTGTGTTTATTTCATTAATTTGCTCGTGTCGAGGCTGTAAGAGTTTCAGCAGCTCCGTCCTTACAGATTAAGATCAGGGAGCTGTGGCCAGCGCGGAATCCAGCAGCCTAGAAGCAGGCAGAAGTCAGAATGGCAGTACAGCGGGCTTTACACTGCCTAGCGCTACCCTACGAAAGAAAGTGTACCCCACGTTGTACAACTTGCAGTAGGAATAATTCTGCTTAAGTTTTTCCTCTAAGTTGTTTTCCTCATCTTTCTTTCTTCCCCTTCCTGTTGATACTTTGTCTTTTTTTTTTTGGCTGCACTCTGCAACTTATGGGATTTTAGTTCCCCAACTAGGGATCAAACTCAGGCCCTCAGCAGTGAGAGTGAGGGTCCTACCCACTGGACTGCCAGGGACTTCCCTACTTTGCCATCTTGACGAAAGTAATAGACCCTGTTTTAATTCAGGCAATCTGTGAAGAGTGTTTTTATAGAGCGGAGTAATATCCATGGAACAGAGCAATCCTTTCTTTTAAAAAGAGCTGCACTGCTCAAAAACGGCAGAAATGTGTTCCCCCACGCAGTCCACCTCCCTGCGCCCGCCTGCCTTCTGTGCACATGCTCCTACAACCCGCAAGGAGCCCAGGAAATCCACGTGCCTTCCTTGTTCCCACCCCCCCTTCTCCGATAATCCTCTGGGTTCTGCTCGTGAGGACATAAAATTGCGCTCATCCCTGGAATGAAACCAAGTCCAAGATGATGCCTTCCTTCCCCTTTGCAGACCCTTGTCTCCCAGGCTTAGAGGAGGTTGCTGAATTGTGTGCCAAGGCAGCACTACTCAGCCTCCCCGCCCCTACCATGGCCTGTCTCCTGTAGCTACTGCCACGTGCATGCAGGGCCGCTGGTCAGGGCCAGGAGCTGTGAATGGGCCTGGCCTCCTGAAGTCCTCATTAGCCTCGGGATGTGGGAGGTCTGTTGTCTGGTAAATGACTGGCCATAGTTTCCCTGTTTCTAAGACCTTTCCCAGCATCTAAGTCTGCTGCTGGTGGCAGGCACACTTCCTTCTTGGCATTCTCGAGGTTGGATACAGTTGGCTCTATATCCAGGGTAGGAAATAGTTCTGATTAATTCAAGGCAAGTGTAGAAGCACATCCTCTTCCACTATCAGGGACTTAGCCCAAAGGGTAGCTCACTAATTCCTTTTGGCTTCTTAAATAGCTCTTCTACAGAGAGAATTTTAACAGCGTGTGAAGTAAATAAAAATCCCCTTTAAATATATGTACTTACAGCAACTTTACTGAGCATTTGTTGTGTTTGGATCACTGTGTAAACATTGCCCTCAAGGAGTGTGTAAGGGTGAGCCTCACAACAAGGATAATTGTCCTGTGATGTGGGCTACGAATAATGCATGCATTTTCTCATCAGTCACTATCCGGGAATGTCCTTTTTACCTGGGTGTCTGAGAAGATACCTGGCATATTGCTGATGTAGAGGTGTTATTCTATATATCCAGTGTAAAATTGGCCACCCAACTTTCAAGAGGCTTGAGGTCATAGATTCATTTTCTGAAAGCAAAAATGACTTCTTGTCTCTGTAGCTATTGCCAGAGCTGTAAGTATACGCTGGCTTAGACAAAGCCAAGGTGGGCTGGGCTGCTCTCTGCTCTGGCTTGGTTTCAGATGAAGACAGCTCTCAGACACCTGCAGGCCTAGCATCCCCTCCTAAGGATTGAGTTGGAGTCCGAGGACACACGGGCCAGAGGGGAATCCTATCTCCTGATGCTCCCACGTCTGCCTTTCCTCCTGCTGCCCTGCTCTCCTCACGCGCAGCGACGCGGAATCAGGGCTTTCCCCTCTCTGAGAGCAGCATCTTGGGGATCCCCAGTGGAGGCAGGGATTGATAGTTTCTGGAACTGTACATACTAGGAACATGTCAGATTCTTCAAGCAGCCCCATTTTTGTCACCACCCCATCTTCTAAAAAGATAAATGGGATTTCATTAGTGGCCAGCTGGGGAGGAATGCCAACTGCCTATATGGTTCCCACAATGTTTACAATAAAACAGAAAGTAGTTCCTTACGTGTAAAGTGACTGTGCCTATCCCCCTCCTTCTCTAGAGCTCAAAGGAGCCCCAGGACAGGAAGGCCTTGGCTCTTAGTGCGTTGTCAACACTCTGGGGAAGCGTCCTCTCTACAGGGTCAGAGCCCTGGGAAGGCTCAGGCCTGTTATAATGCAGCCCTGGCACCTTATATGGCCACAGCCAAATTAAGTTAAAAAGTCATTGAAAACGATTTCTGTCTTTGGGCAAGAAGAAATCACATGTGGGACACTTGAGCTCGAAGTAAAAGTAAATTTGAGCCTAACTCAAAATTGCCTTTTACTTACCTCCCTGGCAACCATCGTCAACTTACCCGCAGTCCCTTTGGTGCGTGCTTGGTCAAGTGTTTTGTTTCTGGAGAGCATCGTTTTAGTCTGTGAATACACCCCAACCTCCAGCCCAAGTTCACTGAAACCGAGAGTACATCTGGATGCTTTTGCTCCTACTAATGACTGAAGATACATTTTGTATTTTTGGCTGGTACACATGGCCACATTCCACTGGCAGTGTCCTGGGCACACTGTGGAAAGGATAGGCATCAAGTTAACCTAGCTTGCTGAGGGATGGGTTGTTTACTGTCTCTGGGTTAATATTCTAGTCCAGACTCATACTTTATTCTCACTTATTTACCCTCACTAGCATCCCTTCCCCCTTGCTGCCTGCACTCCACAAAAAATAAAAATAAAATACAAATGGGCCCACACCCTTGCACCCTCCCAGTTTGGGGTCACAATCCATTTGCCATTTATCAACCAAACTCTAATATACTTTACCTGTGCAATTTAGCGGAAGGTTCTCATTTTCTTCTCATACTGGGCTATCTTTAAAGAGAGGGGCCAGTGAAGAAAATCTAGGTGTCTTAGGCTGCTATAAGAAAGTATCAAAGACAGGTGATTTAATCAACAGACATTTATTTCTCACAGCTCTGGAGGCTGGGAAGTCCAAGATCAAGGTGCCAGCCTGTTAGGTTCCTGGTTAGGGCTCTCTTCCTGTCATGTAGACAGCTGCCTTCTCACTGTGTCCTCACCTGGGGAAGGACAGGACTCTGGTCTCTCTTCCTCTTCTTATAAGGACCCCTATCCCATCATGGGGTCCCACCCTCATGACCTCATCTAACCCTAGTTACCACCCACAGGCCCCATCTCCAAATGCCACCACTTGGGGTTAGGGGTTCAACTTAAGAATTTGAGGGGTCACACATCCAGTCCATAACATTAGGAAAATATCTTACTTGATTCCAAGTTGAGCCACAGGTTGACAGGTGGCTGTCCTTGAAATGAGGATCATCTGGAGATTTACCCCATTTCCTGACCCTCTGCCTCGCTGAGACCCAGGGAGGAGCGAGGGGCTGTGTTGAGGGAAAGGGAATGAGGTGGGAACTACAGTTTTCTAGCTCTGAGCCTGGAACCAGAGCTTTGGGCTTAAACCATGAGCCTGAGGCTGATCACCCCCTTTTAGGATTGTCTGTGCCTGGTGGGCTGGGTGGGAATGAGGAATGGTCTGGAATTTGGTAAACAGGCACAGTCCAAGCCAGTCAGATGCTTCATTGCCTGGTCTCTTTGTTCTGGGTGCGTCAAAAATGGGAGACTGCATGCTTTTAACCTCATGCCTGTCTTCCTTCTAATAATTAGTTCCATCAAATTGTTCCCTCTGAGACAAGAGCACGTGCGGATTCTAAGTCCTTAGCTAGCATTCTCTTCTTGGTGAGTTTTAACTTGTTATGCTTATGGAACTGATGCTAAATCTTAGTGACTCAATTAAGACGGCTGCCTCCTGTGAACAACTAAGGATGATTCTTCCAGTTGTCCGTTTCCTGAGGGAAAAGAATGGAAGACACTCGAGTTGGAGGGAACTTAAACTTTTAAAGCTGAAGGTACAAAGAGGAAAATCTTTGAGGTTTGGAGAAAACTGGGGCCTCTGGGGCTTCTTCCGCTGGCGTTTAACCCTTGGGCACCCTTCTTGGGTCAGGAGGTCTCAGACGGTACAGGTCAACCCAGGACTCGTGTCAACCTGACTTAGCACCTGGGCTGAGCTCAGCCTCCCTCTGATGTAAAGGAGAGTCAGGCCTGCCTCTCCAGGTGAGTAGGATTCAGTCCTTGGCTTTACCGCAAGGAAAAATGTACAGGCCATGAGGAGTCTAAGCTGAGGATTTGCTTAAAAACGTGTACAGAGTTGTTTTTTCTTCAGGTCGTGTTGTGCTATTTCTAATGGTCATCCTTCTTTCCATTTCCCCTCCTCTTTCTTTCTTTTTATTGTCTTAAAAATACTACCAAAGGTCCTCTCTCCCCCGTGCCCTCCTCTCCCTCAAGAGGACTGCTTTGCATGGCAGCCCCCCGGCACCCGCAGTTCCTTCAAGGACTCCCTTTACCTGAGCTCACCAAAGCCATACGGCCCACCCGGCACCCCCAGCCAGCAGAGCCCCTCACGACCCCGGCCCGTCTCCGTCCCCCTGGCAGCCAGATCAGCGCCCGAAGGTGTGCTGTGTCCTGGGCCCTCACTTCCGGGTTCCACGCTCCCCAGTGCTTGGTCCCACCCCCAGCAGCGCTGTGCAGCTGCCAGGACAGTTTATAGAGAGAATGTGAGCTCTAACCCACGTCATGACGCAGTTGGGAATAAAAAGGTCAGCAGCTTATATGTACCTTGTTTATCCCGTAACATTCGCCCGGTGGCATCGGCAAACCTCTCTGGTGTTGCACGTGACCCAGACAAAGGCACTCCCTTGGAAGCTGCGGGCACTCGAGCACGGGCTCCCAGCATTGCCTCCTGCACAGCCGGCACGGGGAAGCCACCCTCTGCTCCTTCTCCTGGCCCTCCCAAGCTATTCTCTGCCGTCCGTAAGGATGCCGTTAGCCGTGGCGAGAGTCCCTCCCCGGGGACTCGGCCTTCATCAGCAGTGAGACCACCTGTGCTAGGCCCCCAGGTTACCTCTGATCCCGAAAACCGGAAGAGAAAAGAACCTTACCTTTTGCAGCCCTGTTATCCAGCCAAGGCAAGGAATTAGGAATGTTTGTGTGTCTCCTACACCGACTCTTTTGAAAACTCATGCGAGCAGCTTGTTTGTTTTCTGGGCCGCCCTACCTCGTTTTCCCCGTGAATGGTGCTGCAGCTTGAGGCTCAAACCCTTCTGTCTCAGCATCTCAGCACAGTCCTCCCTGTGTCTCCCCGCCTCTCTTTTCTGTAAATACGTAAGTATGCTGGAGCCTAGAATCCGTAGACTAATAATATGGTGAACTATTCTGTTACATGTGTTTTGTAACAAGGTGCCAAAGAGACTGTATTTACTCCCAAGCTTTCAGGCTCTGCAAGCAGTTTTGGGGTTAAACACAGCCTGCCTGCCTGTTCTGTTGTTCTCTTTTTCTCAAGTGTTAAAAGGACTCAAAAATAGATGGGTGGAAAGTAAACTTGGATGGGGTTCCCTCTGTGTCATAGTGTCAGGAGGCCAACTGGCTAGCACTGACTGTCTCGTGTACTCTGAGGAAAGGGCACTGATTAAATATTTCTCAGCGTACATCACTGCATGTCCGCTCTCAGCTGTTTAACTATGGAATTCCTTCTTCCCTGCCGTACCCCTTTACGTAATGACCCCCTTATTTCCTACAGGATGCCACTTCCTCCAGCCCAGCCCAGCCTGAGGTAATAGTTGTCCCTCTCTACCTGGTTAACACTGACAGAGGGCACGAAGGCACTGACAGACCTCCAGCATCTCTGGGGCCCCACGGCCCCCCGGTCCCGGCGGCCGTCCCTGCCGGCTCACCTCTGACCTTGCCGACTCTAGACGATTTCATTCCCCCTCATCTGCAGAGGCGGTCTCACCACAGCCAGCCAGCCAGCACTCCTGGCTCCCTCCCCCCCGTTAGCCAGACACCGCCATCCTTCTCACCACCGCCTCCGCTGGTCCCTCCGGTCCCCGAGGGCCTCCGCAGAATCTCGGAGCCTGGCCTCACGGGAGCTGTTTCGAGTACCGTAAGCTTGCTAGATCCCCTTCCTCACAGCCTTCCTGAATGTCTGCTCCCAGCAGTAAAGAGAAAAAAAAAAAGAAAAGAAAGAAAGAAAAACCAAAAAACCCTTTCTCACTCAAGTACTAAGTTCTGAGAGAGATGTTGGCTGCCCTGTGCTTGTGTGATGACGGGACCCGTGTTTGCTTTCACTAGAGCATGCCTCCCCTGTGTGTTCCGTGGGCCCCTTGTGGCTGTCCAGCAACCTCTCTAGACCCTCTTCCTCTCTGTCCTGTTTGGAATGCACATCTCCCTGCAGTGCAGACCACCTCTGTGGCCTTCCTTTGGCTGGCTGTGCTCCTCGTAGGCCAGGCAGATGTAGTGCGGAGAGCGGAGGAAACCTGAGGAATTGTGTGGAAAAGCCATCAGTAGGCATGGTGCTAACTGTTTCTCTAACAGGGAGCAAGGAGGTTCTAGGGGAGGGAAAGATTCACTCGTGCTGATTTTGCAAGTAAGCAAACTCTTTTATATACAGCAATGGCAGAGAGTGGGTTTAAAAAAAAGTTTAATTGAGCAAATGGATATACAAGCCTGGTACAAGCATTAGCACTGTTTCCTCAAAAGGCAGAAAATTGCTGGGGCCCCTGCAGGGTGGCTGCCAGGGGCTTTGGAGGCAAAACAGTACCTGCCCCAGTGGTCATGGGAAGTTAGAGTGTCCCGACACTTCAGGTCCTGTCCTGCGAGGGACGAGGCCCCATCGTAATGGGAAAGCCCAAGTGCTTTAGAGGAAAGGCCAAGTCAAAGGGCTCAGTCTGTTCTCCCCTCAGGAGCCCTGGGAGCTGAGAGACTGCAAGAACCTCAGTGTGAGTCGTAAAATGGGGATGCACGGATCTGTCGGGGCTGTGGGTGCAGTGGAACTGCATACGCAGAAGTTTCTGATACAGGGCTTGGCACGCAGAGAGTGCCCAGTAACTGTTAGCATTGGGGCTGAGGGGTTGCCCTAGCAAATGGACCAGAGCTCCTCAAAAATAAGTGGCTGACTAAGTAGCAGTTCATCATTGAGTTCCTGCCACGTTCTAGTTTTCCTGCTAGATCCTGTGGGCACAGCTGTGAACAGGATTTATCTGAGTGGTGTATTGGTGCTCAAGTGTAGCGTACATGGGATCCTCTGAGGTTACACTCCTTGAGTTTCTTATTGAGTGGGTCTGGGGTGGGGCTGAGGACTGAGATTTGGTAACAGGCATCCTGGGGGATTCTGACGCTGAGGATCTGTGGACCACATTTTAAAATGTAGCAACCTAGTGGGTCATGCAGTTGGCTGCTGGAATTAAACGTTCATTGACATCCCTCTGCGGAAAGAGGTATGCCTACAAAACTGGCTCCAGTGGCTCATTAAACTGAAGCCAGTCACACAGAAAGCAGGAAGGAAACTTGTTTTTTGACTTGTAAAAGAAATTACAGTGAGATATCAGGCACGCCAAAGCTGGGAAAGGCTACATCCCGGGCAGGGTCCTCTTCTCTAATCTCTAGATACAGCACATCACGGTCAGGTGAGGACCTGGCCAAATGTGGCCCAGGGGCTTTGGTTATCCTAGCTTTGAGCTCGTCCACTCAGCCCTGTTGGAGGAAAGTGCCAGGTTGTTCGCTGATGCATTCTCCTCACCCCAGCTCAGTTTGTAGGTGCATTTAGAAGCCACTCTTGTTTTGGAGAGTACAGGCACAGAATGTTTCTCTGGAGCATCATGTAAAGCAAATCTTATTTTTAGTGCACTAGTATATCGTGAGTAGCTTTCTTGTGTACCCTACACTTTGTCATTTGCATAGATCTAGATTTTCATATTGAGTTTGTCACATGTGTGCCAGGACAGATGAGTTGGGACAGTGTCCTCAATTTCTCAAACCTGTTTGGTCAGCCTGGTACTGACTTCCCAGGAGGACTTCCTTTGGCCCGATAACTTCTGGTTTGGCCCTGGGTACAAACAGTAAGAGGTGAAAAAGGAAACTGGTTGGATTCCTGCAATGAGTGAGAATTGTCAAGAGGAACAGGAGCCCCTGTGGATGGTGGCCAAGCCACAAGTTGATATCTGCTCCATCTGCAGGGATTGGAGAGTAAGAGGGAAGAAAATTCATGTTAATTGATCCAGGTTCTTTTAGCCAATAGCTATTTTTGTGATGTTCCCGAGATAAGATTTACACCAGAGTAAAATTTGTGAGATGCTTGATGTTCACACGATCCATCCAGGCATTTATACTTTAAGGAGCTGTATGCCTGATTTTTTGTGTGTTTCTTGGGGGCATTATGGCAGATTTATCTTTATTACATCACTTCGGAAGTCAATTAGGAAAAGTGTAATTGCTTTTCCACGATACCAAAGAAAAAATGGAGATGAGGCACTTCTTGAACAAGATCACATTGTGCCTCTCGAGTCTTAGGGAAAGGTTTTATTTACTAAACTGAGCTGCCACTCATAACTAACAGCTATGACATTAGGGCACTTTCAGAAGAGGTGAGCTGACCAAGCCAGTGTTTTTATTTTTTTTTATTTATTTTTGTTTGTTTTTGTTTTGCGGTACACGGGCCTCTCACTATTGTGGCCTCTCCCGTTGCGGAGCACAGGCTCCGGACGCGCAGGCTCAGCGGCCATGGCTCACAGGCCCAGCCGCTCCGTGGCATGTGGGATCTTCCCGGACCGGGGCACGAACCCGTATCCCCTGCATCGGCAGGTGGACTCTCAACCACTGCGCCAGCAGGGAAGCCCCAAGCCAGTGTTTTTAAAGGAAGCTCCTACTGTGTGTCAGGAGCTGTCCCGGGTCCTGACACTCACATCCTCTCTTTTGGTGGGCACGTGTTCTCTTGCTACAGAGGTTGTTCAGAGACACCTTTGCTGGTAGATGACTCCTGTCAGTCATGTGGCATTTACTGAGCACGCGTGGTCTGCAGGGCATTGTGCTAGGTGCAGGGGGAAGAGGAGGAAGGGAGGCATAGCCCTTGTCCTGCAGGTACTTACAGAGCAGTTGGTCTCTGGTGGCGCACACTGACTGCTTCGAGCTACACTTTTATCTAGAAGGTCTTGTTCTTCAAACCTTTTGGGAATGACATTGTGGCTTTGGGGTGTGTAAACTTCAGAATAGAAACTTGGCAAAATTTATAGGCATGATAGAGGAAACTGTCTATATATCTTTACTACATTTTGAGGTCCTATTTTCATGTGTTTAAAAAGACTGCTATTATTCCCATCATGCAGATTATAATGTTAGTAGTAATAATTTTATTGGTATTTCTGGCAGACACCTCAGGATTTCCAAGTCAGGATTTTCATAAGTCTTTACTTCAGAGATCTTTGTCAGTCAATATTAGAGTGAGAAAATGTCACAGTACGACAAGATAATGTCCAGATCTCAGAAGTGCGTGCTAGTAGGGTCGTTCGGTGGTGTAGGTAAGAGTAGCTTTCCAAGAGTTCCAGTGCTTAACTCTTCCCTGTTCTTACATCAATGGCTTCTCGTCCTCACAATGTCTCGTGTTGCTCTAAACAAGTACTAAACTTTCCTGATTTTCCCCAATTAAACCACCTTTTGTTCTCAGATTGCATTGGGGATTGCATGAGTTTTGCATGTTATGCTTCTTCGAATTTGCTTTTTCAGTAACCGGATTGAGCCACAGTTATGACCAGATGAAAATAATGAATGACGTTGCCGAGACCTCGAGTAACAGTCACCTTCCTTCTCTCCCTTTACTAATCCCAACAAAGAGAATAAACATTCCAGATTAAACTTATCTAACTGGAATTAATATGTCTCACTGGTTACATTTCTTTTTATAATTAAGGTCCTTGTAAAGCTTTAAATCTCTTCTTTTTAAAAAGCGGCACCTCTTGGTTTCACGCAGTCGCAGTGAGTGACAACGTTTGTTTTCTTTTCAGGACTCAAGTCCTCTACTAAATGAACTTCCTTCATCGCACGTTGGAACTGATTCCCAGACCTTTGCACCAGTTAGCAAGCCTTCATCTGCCTACCCCTCCACGACAATTGTCAATCCCACTATTGTGCTCTTGCAACATAATCGAGGTAAGGGATCTGCGAGGAGCACCCCGCCCCCAGCTGGCTGGAATCAGCCATAGCTGCACTGTGACATCTGGGGCAAGAATTCTGCCATTCCACAGCATCTTCTACAAATCCCGTCCTTCCCCGAGGCCACCCGCCCCAGTTTACTCACTCCCACGACCCACAAAGTAGATCACAGCAGCAGACAGAGGCCCCCGTCTGGGCATGAGGTCAGGTGTCTGAATAAGTAAGTAGGTGACGTGTGTCCCACAGCCTGGGTATTCAGTTTTCTTCAGATGGGAGCTCCAAAAAGAAAGAAAAGACAGAAAGGAAAACATCTGCCCCTTAATTACCGTCATGAGAGTTCTCGTCAGGGCTCTGCTAGGAAAATCCAGGTGCAGTAATACCTCTTTTAATTACTGTCCTAAATCCTGTAGTTCTGTGACATGAATTTTCTAGAAAGTAAACTTTTGAGCACCAAAATTAAAAAAAGAAAAAAAAAAGAAAACCTACTGGATGGGAAATTTTCTAGAATAGAAAACATGTTTTTGTATCTCTAAAACAGAGGCTTTTGAACTTTTTCTTAGTGACTCATGGCCTTCATTCTCTCTAGAAGTCACTGCACTGGGCTTTCCCTCAGTGGCGCCCTCTGGGGACTTGACGTTGGTGTGGCTTCTTGCCCCTTGCCCTATGTGGCCCCCGGTACGCGGGCCTCTCACTATTGTGGCCTCTCCCGTTGCGGAGCACAGGCTCCAGACGCGCAGGCTCAGCGGCCACGGCTGAGGGTTTTCATGTTTGTTTTCTAGAGTTTCTCTGACTGCTGCTGGTTGGTTCTTCCCTTTCTCTGAAGGGGTGTTATAGGGGAAACGGAGTGCGTTGAGGTAGTAATGATATATGTTGACCCTTCTGCTTTAAAATCCCAGAAGATGATTCTAAGTCCCAAGTTTTCCTTTTTGAAATTCCATAGAGGAATAAACGTCCCCTTCACAAAAGTCCTTTGCGGTGTGAAATGTAAAGGCTTCAAGCAGTTTCCTAGTGTAGAAAGGGCTCTTGATTCTGAATTTCAAAGCACGGTGGAGGTTTAATTGTTTTATTTAGAGCTCAGAGCTCGGTACCAAATCTTCCTTTTCTTGACTCCCTGCTCGCCTACTTCATACTTTTCCTCCCCTCCCCTCCCCTCCCCTCCCCTCCCTCTCTGTATTGACTTGGATGATAATGGGACTGGAGTCTATTTTTAATTGTTTTCCGTATTAAATGGAGTTTTCTATTTCCTGCCCCAAACTTGAAAAGCAGATGAATGAAACATTTTCTCTCACAGCCATCCCACTCAAATCATAGTTATTTTAGTAATTTTGTTTTTTTTCATTCTGTGTGGTTCCCATATTAATTTTCACCCATGAATCTATGTTCTTCAAAAGATAGAAGGGCCCCACCCCCTACACTAAGCTATGTAAGAGCCTGTTTTCCTTTCAGCGGTGCCATCCCCCTTACTGGCAGTAGCCTTCTCTGCCCAGAAAGTGCCCATAAGGCAGGACAGAGTGAAATGCTGGTTCTCTATGAACTTCTTTATGACTCATCTTTTTAAAAAACCCACTCAAAAGGAAGCAAGTTAGTTCCCAGAAGGAAGGGCAGTTTACTCCCAAGGCCACTTGGTTTTTGGGAAATGCCAAGTGTAATGCCAGCTACTTCTGATGGCACCTAGTGAGACGTTTTTGGGCACAGAAGTGCCTGTGGTTCCTTTTTGCTTCTTCCCTGAACAAATGGAGTCTTATTTGCGGAGGTGCCTTTGGTTCTTGCCTTTCTCTTTTGTCCAAGTCCTGCCTTTGGGCTTAAACATCAGAATCATGCAGCCTGAATCACACGTCCCTCAGGAAAGGGTTCAAGTACTTTGCCGTTTGGAATTAAAAGGTAGCTTCCCCTACGCTCCTTAAGGAGGCGGGAAGAGTTGCGGAGAACGGAAACGCCCAGCGCACTGGCTTTGGGTCACTAATCGTCAACTCACTTTAGGTCAGGCGTTTTTGGCTTCGCTTTGGAATTTACCCAGCCTGACAGCCCTGCTTTGCCTCACAAAACGTACCCGTGAAAACAGTTTAACTATTGCGAAGTCTCCTGAGGGAGTGATAACTCTGCTCCACTTCTAGAATTCTAGTTTAGTCATCGTAAAAAAGGTTCCCATTGTTCCTGCCTAGGCTGCCCCAGGGCATAGTGCGACAATAACCCTGTCTCCCCAGGCCAGGTCCCCCTACTGCACCTCTGGCCTGGCTCTCACAGTTGTGTAAACATAGCCCTTGCCCCTCTCTCTGGAGCTTTCCGTCCCACATGTGTTTGAGGGCAGATGGCTTATGATCAGTCTGGGGAGGAGGATTTAAACTGGAAAACTCTCAGGACTGAGAGTGCACGGGTGGTTCTTGGTCTTCAGTGTGCATAGCATGCTGGGAGTCACATTCAGGAGGTCTTTGGCGGGGAGGCATGGGGGAGAAGCTCTGCATTTTTCAGCACGCTTGCAGGACAAGTCCATGGACCACATGAAGGACAGGAGTTCCGCGGTCCCAGACTTCTAGATCTCATGGTCACGTGAAACGGCCTGGGGACTAGCCTGGGGTTGCTAATTTCTAACTTTTGCTAGAAAAACAACCACTGTGATCTGCACTGCATGCATCTCTTTCTATGAAGGAAAGGCTATTCCACACCTCAGAAGTGCGATACCACATAATCTTTTCAACTGAATAAATTTGCTTTTGATTGCTAGGGAAGGCCTTGCTTCCAGCTTGGAGACTAGCGTTTGGTTACCATAGATCCAGTGAGCACTTTGATTTAACAGACAAGGAAACTGAGGCTGAGACGTTACGTGGTTGGTCAGTGCCATCTGGCAAGTTGCTGGCAGAGCTGAGCCTAGGGCTCTGCTGGGCTTCTGTGGTACAGCTAGTGTGAACCTTGCCCATGTGCCCGACGTACACAGGGCGGCTTCCACCAGCTGCAAGCTCCCCTGCTGCTCTGTTTACTTCTCGCCACGCTGGTTCTGGAGGGAGGGTGGGGATGCTGCCAAGGGGGACGATGACAGCACCCATGGGCTGGCAAGTGTTCTATTTTTATACATGTGGCTGCTTTATATTTAGCAGCTGTAGAAGGTAAAGGTCATGTCTGTGCTTATCCCAAAGCACATACTCACAGAGCTCTCCAAAGGAGATGCTGGCCTCCCCACCGCGAGACTGCCCAGGAGGGTGGGAAACCAATGGACCTCCCACTGTTAAGGAACCAGTGGGACCTGGTGATTAGAGTTGGAAAGAAACCTGGGGGACCCAGGTTCTAGACGCAGCTCTGATTTTCAGTGTCATCTTGGGTAGTTTGTGCCCCTTATGTGAGGTCTCTCAGCCAGTGCTGACCTACCTGCTAGAGTTACTGTGAAGATTAAAAGCGTTCACACACGTGAAAGCTCTTAAAACAATATCTGGCATTTCACAAGCTCTCAGATGGTAGCTGCCATGGTTATGATTACATTCCCTCAAAAGGTACCAAGACTGGGGTGTGTAAGGTCCTGCTCCCTTGAGACCAGGGGAGTTGAGGGCCTCCTTCAGTGATCAGATCACTTTAAGAGGTAAACAACCATAAAACAGTGATTGTTCCCCAAATCCTGGCACAAATCTAGGGGGAGAGGGACAGGAGGCACCACACCCAGATGATAAAGCCACATTAATATCCCTGTTTTCAGCTGGACGACACAGCATTTTAGCATCTAAGCCCAGAGGACAGTAAGGACACCGGTTTGGGGATCCTAACGAGTTATGTCAGGACTTCTTGGTCTTAGCATGTCTGTGTAAATCTCACTTACACTGTGTTTTTTTTTGTTTTTTATCACAGAACAGCAGAAACGACTCAGTAGCCTTTCAGGTAGGTGAGAAATATTTATTTACACACTAACACCTGTTCCTGCTAAAGCCATCTTCTGTCCACCACCTGATGTGTTCAGTCAGTGAAGTCTTGTGAGCTTCTCTGATGTGTTGGGAACTGCTTATTGCTGGCTGCAAGGATGATCAAAACAGGCACGGTTCCTGCCTCCCTGGAACTTGAACGCTGGTGGGGGCACACTAGTGGTGCAAACTAGTAAACGTGTCCAGTGGGACAGTGACAAGTGCCTTGATCGGTAAGAACTGGCTATTCTGAATAAAAAGGACAAGGAGCTATGCTTTGGATGGAGTGCTCCTGGCCAGCATCATTGAAGAAGCCACCTTCCTATTGCTTCTGTGTCTCTTCTGGGGTGTGACAATCTGGGGTTGGGAAATGTGGATCAGTTCTCTCCTTTTTGGGTGGCAAACCCAAATGCCAATAGATGAACCGGGGATGATGGACCAAGGGGAGAGCCTCCAGACCAGCAGTGCCTGGAAGAGGGTTGGGAGCACAGCTTCTTGAACTTGAGCTGGCATGAGACCCTCCTGGAGAGCTGGCCAAAGCCCAGATTCCCGGGCCACACCTCCAGAGATTCGGATTTCACGGGTATAGGCGAGAAGTTGCATTTCTTTTTTCTTTTTTTTAATATTTATTTGGCTGCGTTGGGTCTCAGTGGCGGCATGAAGGATCTTCGTTGCGGTGCGTGGGCTCCAGGGTTCTCTATTTGTGGCGCGCAGGCTCGGTAGTGGCGCACGGGCTTAGTTGCCCCACGGCATGTGGGATCTTAGTTCCCTGACCAGGGATCGAAACCACGTCCCCTGCATTGGAAGGCAGATTCTTAACCACTGGACCGCCAGGGAAGCCCCAGAAGTTGAATTTCTAACCAGCTCCCCGGCGATGCCGATGCTTCCCTCTGTACTGACTGCATTGGAATAGCAGGTTTCATCAAGAGCCGACATTGGTGGGGAGTGACTGCAAATATAATCAGATATCAGGGCTCACTGCCTGACAAAGTGCGCAGGATTGGGACAAGGTTGGGGTGGGGAGGGAACCCAGGAATGGGAATGTTCGGCCATTTCCTTCCGGCTGTCTGCAGCCATAATCCTGGTTCTCCCGCCTACTGATGGTGAGACCTAAGGCAGGTTACTGATGATCTAAACTACAGATCAGTTTTTATCTGCCAAATAGGGAAAGCAGTAGTGCCTCCTGGGTTCTGCTTGTCAACATCTTAGCACTGAGTACTGGCACTCAAGTGCTTGGTAGAAATGAGCTACTGTTGTCAGTAGGTGTCTCCGTTGGCTCACTTGTCATTTTATTGAGTGCCTACTTTGTGTAAGGCACCAAGCCAGGCTCTGGGGCTGTTTCAGGGAACTGCGCTGCCCTCAAGCAGCTAATGGTGTGACATCGTGGCTTGTAACCTTGTTTTGGTCATGGACTCATTTGGAGAATCTAAGCAAGGCAGTAGATTCATTCTCTAGAAAAAGCCACATGCATGCAAACACATGGATTTGCCGGTACTCGTGATCTCTGGGGTTGAGGACCCCTGATCTGGTGGATAGCAAAAGCCACCATTTTTCTGAGCAGCTACTCCATGAGTTCTGTGTTCCTTCATCCCGCTGCTGTCCTTGTGATTCGTGGAGAGCCTGGTGGGGAGGACATGGGGTTCTCACACCCTCTCCACTTTATCCAGGACTTGGCCGCAGGACCAGGACAGGCCGTGGCTGAGTTCAAGGTGCCCTTTGCTGCCCCTCCTGGAGCTGCCGCACTCCAGCCCACTTCATTCCCCGGCCCCAGCCCAGATTGCTGAGAACAGGGCGGCTCTGAAAAGGAGCTCCTGTGGGCGCCTTCCTGCTTTGGGGAGTTTGAAAAGGCACCTCAACACAAGTTAGGGGACCCAGAGTTTGGTCCTGGTTCTTCCCTCTTATAGTAGCTGTTTGTCCCTGGGTAAGTGACTTCGCCTCACTGAGCCAGTTTCCTCGTATGGGAAATAGGCGTGTAATCCTTGCCCCTGCCTCAAAGAGGCGTTGTAGGGATCATTTGTGATGGGAAGAGGGAGGAGGGTGCTTTGCACACTGGAAGGTGCTGTGTGAATGTCGGGGCTTCTCTATCATGCTGGCAGGCTCAGGCCACTTCCTTCGCTTTAAAATAAGCCCAGCGCTTCCATCCTCCACTTTTGGTGCAGATCCACTAAGGGTATTTGATAGAGCGGGACATAAAGTAGGTGCTCACTAAAAGCAGTTTTGTTTAAAAAGGAAGAGCACCATTTTGTTCAGGAGCTCCTGAAGGAGAGAAGGCTGGTGGGGCTGGTGCTCTAGTCTGTGCTCTGGAGTAAGAGAAAGTAAGGCTTTTCCCCCCACCCCAGTGGTGATGGGACTTGGAAGGAGCACCAGCCTCCCTCCCACTAACCGATTTTTTATTAAACCTCTGTGGGGCTTCATGCTTAATGAGATTCATCCAGGAATGAGACCCGCATGGGATTTGGCCTCACGAAGCTCCTGTCCCCTGGGTGGAAAGACAGGAAAACAAGGGCTGGGACAGAGGGGCTGGCATAGGGTATGGAGAGGCCACCCCTCCCTTCCCCGAGGGAAGTGTAAGCAGCGCTGTGATCCTCAATCACAAAGCTTTGGATGTGAAGGCTAGGGATGCTTTCCCGCCTCCCACAGACGCAGATGCCCTGTCCAGGTTGTCAGCAGCATCCTTTATTGAGTGGCCCTTTCCAGCACCTTCCTTTGAAAGCACAGTATAAAACTCGAAGGAAACGCTCCCGGGTGTCATGTATTTGCCTAGTGAGAAATAGCAGCAAGGCTTATCATAAGCCATTGGATGTCACAGGGTGGCCCCATCACCTGCGTGGTACAATGAAGTGTCACCTTGGGTCTCCACTATATAAAGAAACACTTCTTCTTTAGAGGCTGCAGTTCAGCCCTCTGTGTGTTGAAACCCACTCAGTTACAAATCACATGATCATAGGCTTCTAAAGTAAAAGAGTTCAGGGCTAATTTTCGTAGATCAAAAGGACTCTGGCAGCTTGGGAACAAATCCATGGACTGTCAGCCTGAGTTTTGCAGTTAAGTAATGGCTGCTAGAGCCACCTGCCCTAACAATTTCTTAGGAATTACTCTAGGTCTGGAAACGCTGAGGTTGGCATATCTGTGATCTGCCTCTGAAGAGATGACAGTAGAGCGTGAGGACAAGCATCTCTAAGCACTTGGTGAGACAGCTTGAAATCAGCCTCACCTGCTGCAACTTGATCACACTGAGGCAAGGCCTTTCCAGTCGGGAGGGGAGTGTTCAGCACAGCCATGTTAAGGGGGGACTCTGGTAACTCAACATTCCCCCACCCTCCCGAGCTTCCTGCCAAATCCTTGGCCTCCTGTTGGAATTTTGTGGGAGCCTGAGAACTCATCCCGTAAAACCAGTCTGGTCTTAACATCTTGTAAAGCTTATGGTGGTGATACCAGAGATACAACAAACCAGTGAATAAAACAAAAAAGAAGTAGGCTCACAGATGTAGAGAACACACTAGTGGTTTCCAGTGGTGTGAGGGGGTGGGACGTACAACCTATTGGGTGTAAGATGGGCTACAAGGGTATATCATACAACACGGGGAATATAGCCAATATTTTGTAATAACTGTAAATGGAGCGTAACCTTTAAAAATTGTATTAAAAATTAAATCAGAGCAGTGTGAAATCATTTTAATTAAGGAAAATCCCTGTCTTTAAAAAAAAAAAAAAAACAACTTACGGTGATGGGGTTTTCTGAAGCACTCATGAAGCTGAGTCTTGCACAGCATGTTTAGAAATTGTTCTGCGGTCGCAGAATGAGTATTCTTTTCGGTAGTTTGTTGGAAACCCGGGCAAAGCCACTCCATTGAGCAGCCTGTGAAAGTCATAAACCTGAGCTCGCTGGCGGCAGTGTTTCCCCAGCTCCCACGCCCCTCCTCCACGCACAGACATCTCTGACCTCGGCACCGCTTTCCATGTACCCTGGAACATGGAATGCTTAGTCCTCCAGCCAGCACTCGGAACGTTTTCTTTTCTCAGAGATGAGAACCTCTCCCTCAGTCAATGAACAGATCCTTCCCGGACACGTACTAATAGCCCGGGCACATCTTCATCCCCTGCTGTCTCACCTCATGGGCTCCACTGGTAGGACATTAGACTCCCCGGTGTAACCCTTTTTGCCCTCCAGTCTTTGGGCCTCTCTGGTGACCATCTGACATGCTCCTTCCTCCCGTGCTGACCTCCTCCCTACTTAACTGCCCGCTTCCTGCCCACAGACTCATCCCTTCCCCTGAAATCTGGCATCTGCCCTCACTACCCTCCTGAAATTTTCTCGCTCAGAGAGATCCTGTGACTTTTTTTGTCTAAGGTAATGCCGCTTCCTCTGCTTCAATTTCTTTTTTTCTTTTTTCTTTTTTTTCCTCTGACGCGTTACCATCCCACTTCTTGGAACTCTGTCTTCTCAGGTTTCAGTGACACCTCACTTGTTCCTCTCCGGTTCATCTCCTATCCCTCCAGCAACAGCTGCAAGCTTCTGGGAACCCTTTTTTTTTTCCTGCTTTTCAGCCTGTAACTGTGACATTCCTTCGTGCATGACCTCGGCCCTTGACTCTGCTGTCATCTCCTCCACTGACCTCTTCCATCTCCTTGCCTTCAGCCATCACTTTTGTGCTGATGGCTCCAGAATCGCCCTCTTCCGGGGCCTCTCCCTGGGCTTCACTCTCACGTTTCTTCAGGGTCTCCAGGGCACTTCTACTTGAGTGTCTCGCTGTCTCCTCAAAGTTACCCTAAGTGCAGGCAGCCTTCTCTCCCTGCCTTCCCCAGCCCAGTTCCCTTTCCTGACTTCTCTGTTTGGATCAGGCCAGGCTCCCAGGCTCAAAACCTTGGTCCCACCTTGGAGGGAGGCCAGACAGGATGTGGTTCAGAGAGGACCGCTGGAGTCAGGTGGACACTAGGCCAAATCCCGACTTGACCACGCGCTGCTATGTGACCTCAGGCAGGCTACTTTAACTTTTCTGTGCTTTGTTCCCCTTGCCTGTCTTTTAAAAATGGAGGGATGACTTAATGGATCAGTAACTGATACTCTGAAAAGCTCAGTGCAAACCACAGCACTAATAAATGGTTAGATGGGCATTCATGCTCTACTGCTGTTCTGTCCAGTATGGTAGCCACTAGCCAGCCACATGTGGCCATGGAGCACTTAAAATGTGGCTAATGCAAATCAAGAGGTGCTGTAGGTATAATACACACGCTCACATGCAGTGCCTGGTACAAGATAAAGAATGTATAGCACCTCATTAGTAATTGCTTGTACTGATTACATGTCGAAATGATATTTTAGATAGAGTAAATAAAATAAAAGTTAATTTTACTTGTTTCCTTTTTTAAAAAATGGAGGGATGATGATAGTTTCTTCCTCATAGAATTACTGGGAGGATGAGCTGCGATGTACGTGAAGAGCTTAGCACACTGCCTGGCCCATAATAAGCTCAGAGTAGTCCAGAGGCCCCTGGCATTTGCTTATGCCATTCCCTCCACCAGGAGCACCCTTCACTTCCTCTTGGTCTGGCTGACCCTTCTGAGAGGTGGTGCCTGAACCCAGTTCCTCAGCGGAGTGGGATATGGACTCCTCTGTCAGCACTGGTTGCCTCCATTCTCATTGCTGGCTCTCCTCTTTCTGCCCACTAGACCGTCAGTTCCTTGAAGGCCAGGCTGGGAATGGTTCACCCCCATGTCCACAGCACATGTGAACGCATAGCACCTGGCAGGTGCTTTGTAAATGCCTCCCATAAATAAATGACATGCCTTGGAATAACAAAACACAATAAGTAATTTTATAATCTATAGGCCACACGTGGTATGTTTATTAGCTCTCTGTAGCTTCCAATCCTGGGTGAAATTAAATAAACTCTAATGTGCATTTAGCAGTTTACCGTTTTCTGAGCACTTGGTGTAAGCTATTTTATTAGGTCCTCACAACATTGCTGTGAGCTGGCCAGTTGAAGTGTTATCCCCATTTCTGGATGAGAAAACAGAGGCACAGAAAAGTTAAGTGACTTCCTCAAGGGGAAACAAGAACTTTCAAGTAGTGTCTGGCCACCCTCGTGTGGTTTACCTGCTCCCTGAATTCCTAGAAAAGTCAGAACTACCTGGATGTCTGGAGCACCAAGTACAGACATCTATAGGGCACTTATCACACTGTCCACACATTTTTTAAAGGGCCTAATGGGCGGAAAACAGTATGGAGGTTTCTCAAAAAAAAAAAAAAAACCCTCAAATAGAGCTACCATGTGACCCAGCAATTCCGCTCCTGGGTATATATCTGAAAAAAACAAAACCACTAATTTGAAAAGATACATGCACCCCAATGTTCATAGCAGCATTATTTACAGTTGCCAAGGTATGGAAGCAACCTAAGTGTCCATCAACAGATGAATGGATAAAGAAGATGTGGTATGTACACAATGGAATATAACTCGGCCATAAAAATGAAATTTTGCCATTTGCAGCAACATGGATGGACTTGGAGGGCATTATCCTTGGTGAAATAAGTCAGAGAAAGACAGATACTGCCATGATATCACTTATATGTGTAATCTAAAAAATACAACAAACTAGTGAATAAAACAAAAAAACAGACTCCGGTATAGAGAATAAACTAGTGGTTACCAGTGGGGTAAGAAAAAGGGGAGAGGGGCAAAGTAAGGGTAGGAGGACAAAGGGTTATTATGGGATTATATGAAATCATGTGTGTGAAACTTTTGAAAATTGTAAAACACTGCAGAATCTAATCTTTCATCCAATAAATAAAAAACAAATACTAAACAAAAAAGAAAGGGCCAGATGGTAAATACGTTAGGCTTCGCAGGCCATACGGTTTCTGTCACAGCTACTCAGCTCTGTCGTTGTAGCTCCAAAGCAGCAGTAAATAATACGTTAGCGAAGAGCATGGTTGTGTTCTAATAAAACTTTATTTACAGAAACCGGGGGCTGGGCCATGGTTTGCTGACCCCTGCTCTAGGCACAACTTCCAATTGAGAATTGGCAGACACACTCTACCCTAGCTGGATTGTTTGTGGGGAATTTGCTTTGGAGCCACCAGTAGAGAGCTTCAGCTAATGATTGCTTTTCTTTTCCAGATCCTGTCTCGGAAAGAAGAGTGGGAGAGCAGGACTCAGCACCAACTCAGGAAAAACCCACCTCCCCTGGCAGGGCTGCTGAGAAGAAGGTGAAGGATGACAGCAGGCGGGTGGCAAAGAGCACTCAGGACCTAAGCGATGTTTCCATGGATGATGTGGGCATCCCACTCCGGGTACGAGTGCGGACCTACAGGTCCTTCTTAGGCTTTGTCCTAAGCCAGTGACAGGTGTCCACCCCTGGGTCCATGTGAACCCCGTCTGTGGGTGGCAGAGACCTCAAAAGGAGGGTCCTCAGCACTGTCTTCTCTCTAAGCCCACTGAGGCCTGCAGAGCCTCCAAGAGCTGGGTGACAACTTTTCCCAAAGCATACGTTAGCTGTTTCTAAATCCATGAGAAAAGGGTTTCATGGTCAAATGAATGTGGGGGAAAACTGGGTGGAACAAAGGCAGATTGCTTTCTCTGTGGCAGAACTTCTGAGAGGCTTCAGGCATGTGTGTGTTCAAGAGGAGAAGGTCGTGAGCCGTGTCTCCCAGTCTCCTTCGTTATTGTGCTGTAGTCCAGGGTTAGAGAACCCTGGGAAGACTGCGAGGCTCAGGGTCCCTGCCACCATGCGTTCAGGAAGAAGTTCCCTTGGATGGGAGATAGCCCGTCATCCAGGGAGAATGGGAGACTCTCAGGGACACACAGGGTGGATTCAGCCTGCAAGGCCTCAGAACAGGGTGGGTCTCATGGCAGCCCTGGCGTAGCCCTCCCCACTGTGCAGGCCCGCCAGCCTCCTGCAGGCCCTGGGATCCCAGAGAAGCCCCACATTTGCACCTGGATTGGGGTGAATCCCATCCCTCTCCATGTGCCAGAACCAGAACACTGACTGTGATGTGTTTCTCTGTGATTTCCATTGAGCAAAGGACAGGTTTTTGTGTCCCTTTGGGGGAGGCTGATAGAAATAGCAGTGGGCTAAGCCTCAAAAGAATTGTTGTCCTAAGGAATAATAAGTATTCCAATAATAATAAGTAGTAGTAGAAAGAATTATTACTAATAATGATTGCAGTGTTTGTTTGCTAATGCATTATCTCATTTAAACATGATTCACCGTACAAGGTAGGTGTTAATATCATTCCCATTTTATAGATGAGGAAACAGGGACTCAGGCGGGATTACTTGCCCCGGATTGCACAACCTGTGGGTAACAGAGCAGACCCTTCCCGCTAACCATCCTGTTGGGCAGCCCTCCCTCTCACCTGCTCACCTGCTCTATGACCATTGACTTTCTGTATCATATTTTCTCATCTGTAAGGTGGGAGTGAAAGTATCTGATCTAACCACCTGTCTCCTTCCTTGTTTTATTTTTATCTTAAAAAACAACCCAGCTTTGTGGTTAGGATGGAAACTCTCTGGTATTGGATGCTATAATGGGCTACGTTTTAATGTATACATTCTAAATCTAGCCCTATGCAGGTGGCTTAGATACACTTCTACAGAGTAACCTGAAATGGGTGATAAGCATATGTTCCTTGTTTCTTACATTTCTAGGAGCCTTTACTTCAGTTTAGTCATCTATATATGGAGAGAGGTTCTCTCTAAAAATTACCTAAGAATGGACACATTTCAAGTGGATCCTTGTCCACTGGTTTCAAAACCTGCATCCTTTTGACCAAATATTACCCTGCAGATTCAGGTCTGAATCCCTTGGTTTGTCAGTTCTTTCTCAACAGTTTTGCATTTAAAAAAGAAAAGATTTCAATGTGAGATCACAAAGATGTATAGAATTACATGAGTTTTGACTGTTGTCACTTTGCATTTTGCTTTCGTAATCATGGAAGTTCTGAAACGTGCTGAGATTTCCATTTTATTTTACTCTTTTTCTCCAGAACACCGAGAGATCAAAAGACTGGTACAAGACCATGTTTAAGCAGATCCACAAACTAAACAGAGGTATTGATTTTCGTTTGTAGAAGCTGTGCTGTGCCCATATGTTGACTATTGTGGTGAGGACCTAAACTCACTTGGCCGGAAGACTGGGCCCTGCAGCTTGACCTCATTAGGCCCGGGCCTGCCTGAGCCCAGCCATGCACCTGCAAGAGCAGAGGGGACGGGAGAACTTGTGCGCCTGCCTCACATGTGGGAGCTCAGGTCGGCTCCCAAGTCCTCCCTCCCAGATGCTGGGGATGCAGCAGGCTGAGCCCAGCACTCTGCCCACGTTCTTTAGCATCTGCCTGCCTGGGATGTGAGCAGCTTCGGCTCCCACCTGCTTCTGGCTTTAGGTGCACCTCCCATTGTCAGCCCATGACTGCCTTGTAGGCAGAGCAAGTTGAGAAGGCATGAACTGGGAGTTAAAAAGTGTTCTCGTCTGGGTTCAGTCCCCCAAGCACTCATGTGACCGTGGGCCAATCATGTACCTCTCTGTGTTTGTTCCCCTCCCCTTCCTCTGAGGGATGTGGCAGGGCCCAAATGAGAGCAAATTCTGCCTTGTGAAGTAGGACGCATGGTGCACCTGTATGACGGTGTTAATGTGAAAAATAATCTTCCGCAGCTGGGAGCCAGCACTTGGCAGGGAGCCCTGAGAGCCAGTCCAGAGCTGACACAACAAAGCCCGCTGAAGCTGGGAGAGTAGTGCTTCCAAATCAGGGGCCTGCTGGGCTGCCAGCAGGGGACCCAGCATGGTGGGAGAACCCCAGGCCAGTGCTCAGGCAGGTTGCAAGCCCCACAGCTCTCATCCGCCTGTGCCGCCACTCAGCTGCTGGGCAGGGATGCAGCTGCACTGTGAGAAGGGTACCACTCCTCCTGCAGGCAGAGCATCCTGTCCTTCCCTGTGGCCAAATCCAGTCTGGCCGCCTGGCACAGAAGACACACGAAGGCAAAGGAAAAGCGTCTGATCATTGTCTGGTCAGCCTGTGCCGCAGATAACCAGTCTCTCTGATTAACTGTGGCTGCCAGCTAACATCACTGTTAATTAGCTCCTGCAGTGTTCAGAATGAACCTGGGGGTACCCCTCTTCAATTTGTTTCTAAATTTTGAGATGCTCAGTATTTAGTGTTTCTGAGCCAAGAGTAAATTCACTCTTTTTGAGGTAGATGAGCTCAGTCACGGTGGTGATGCTGGCTGTCTGATCAGATGGTGTCAGTTCCACTGGTCACTTCCTAAAGCCAATGTCCATTTCCCCAGCAATCTGTCTCTCACCTTTAGATCCAGCTTTGGCAGCCCAAATGCCGAGACACAGGTGCATATGTGAAAAATATGTAATTCTGCCCCTCAGGCAGCATTGGTCCTCCCATATATTATAGATGATAACTCAACCTAAATTACAGATTCTGAGCGAAACTACCTGCCCTAGGCAGAGGTATTTGAAAAATTAAGAATCCACTAATTTGCCCTGATTCTAATGTCTACAGCACAAGCTTTGATTTTTTAAAAAAAATCATTTGATGACAGTTATTTTCTTTACACACAATTTATTAGCATACTTAATATTTTTTTCCCATAAAAGGTGAAAATTTGAAGCTTTGTGCTAAATGCCTTTTGCTTATTGGAGACTGTATTTATGTAATTCTTTGTCCAAGAAGAGAAGTGATATTGTGTCTTTAGACGTGTCTCAGTAATTCAGGCAAAAGGACTGGATTTTTAAAAGCAATTTGAATTCCTTTCATCACTGGTGAAGCTTAGTATGTTCCAGAATTCAAGGAGCCTGAATTGTGTGTGGATTCCTATTCGTTCATTCTCTCCATTTGTATCTTCCTCTATTCTCTCTACCAAACCTGCTCCTCTGCCTAGACACTCCTGAAGAAAACCCTTATTTCCCTACGTACAAATTCCCTGAACTTCCTGAAATCCAGCAAAATTCTGAAGGTACCATGAACTTAGACAGTGTATCTGTTGTCCTAGCCTTAAATTAATTCTTACAGTTCCATTTTAGGAATAAGATTTTGGCTTTTAGATTTTGTTTTTATAGTCACTTTTGGTTGGCAGAAATTTTATTTCACTTATTTGCATGAATGTGCCATATTAAAATAACCAAGTCCTTTCTAATTCATTAATCTCTTTTCAAGCGTGATGCCGTGTGCTTTAATAACACTAAAATAGGTAATCAGTCATTTGAAAGAATCAATTGGAGATTTGTCACTTCCTCCACTTCGTGGTGGATAGTTTCAAAATCCACTGCTTTTCTCTGCTACAGAGGACAATCCTTACACTCCTACCTACCAGTTTCCTGCATCTACTCCTAGTCCTAAATCTGAAGGTAATTAAAGGAAAATCATGTGCCTCTCTTTGTACCGACACTGTTACTTTCTTTTTCACCTTGGGGTTCTTCCTGGTTGCTAAGAGCTCTCTCGCCGTCATTTGCTTCCCTCTAACCTTGTGTTTTGTGGTGTTCTCTTGCTCCTTGCTGACTGTGTTAACAGGAGTCTATCCAGGTGATATTTTAATCCTATTCCCTTGGAGTTTACAAGATTAATGGGGTAACCAGTGCGGCTTCGTTACGATACTTTGAACGTGTGGGGCTCTGGGAAAAGCTGCCTGTGCTCAGATACCCAGGGCTTTGTATTTGGGGGTGGTCACGTGATGCTGGTGGCGGCGCACTGACTCGGGGAAGCTGAGTCATTATGGCTCATGGGCAGGAGGTAGACGTGCCAGCGTCAGCAAGAGAAACATTACCTGGTTCCCATATCTGCAACTAACTCTGCACTGGGCCCCTCCTGTCCTGGGTGTATCTCCAGGTATATCTCCTTGGTAGGGAATTCCCCAAGACATATCCAGGTATGGGATTCAGTCGTGGTGGGAGATGATAGCCCTTGAAAATAAGGGTTTTGACCAAGCTAGAAACCTTTTCATGAAAGAGCTGGCTAGGAATTTGGACCTGCTGGGGGAGGATGGCCACACTTGTATCTAAAAAGATATTCTTTTCTGGGGTAAATAGCCTAGGTGTCAAAGAAGGTTCTAAAAGGTGAGTGAAGGGCAACATCCTGAGAATTATTCTAATCGCAGGGATTGTCTGATTTTTAGATGAGTGACCCAGAAAGAGAGGAGTGGGTGGGGTCGGCAGGAGTCACTTTGATTAAATGCTCTTCTAGGATGAGATGTTGAGTGCTCTGAGCTTCATTCATTCAAGTAGTATTGAGCATTTGTGTGTGCCACATGCTGTCCTTGGAACTGAGGACAGTGCCGTGAATAAGATATGTCCTCTTTTCTCCCAAGTTCATGTCAGGCAGGGAGTTAGACAAGGCTACTTCATCGTACTGGGTCCAGCGTGGTGGCAGTTGTGAGAGCGTGTGTCCAGAAGGCCCCAGAAAACCTTGCTGGCACACAGTAGGTCCTCAGCACATGCCTGAAGAGTGTTGCTGAGTGAAGGCTTTGGACCTCAGAAGCAGAGTTCTTCCTAGGGATGAAGCCCAGTGCAGTCCCGTCTTCAAGTGCTTCTCTGTTCCAATCAGCTCAGCAAACCATCCTGCCCAACCCGCCTCGTCATTGAAGTCATCCGTTCAGTCATTCACCAGACTTTTACCGATCACTTAACATATATGCAATGACATGCTGAGATGTGTTAGATACAGTTTTAGTTCAAATACCATATTCCATTTTTAGTCTCCCTGTGATGTGCCCGGTGGTTTCCAACCCTTTCATGCCTGGGGCCTATTGTGAACAAAAAGAAAAGTCTACGGAAGGAACTGATACTTAAAAAATTAAAAGCTGTTGATTTCATTTTAATCAGTGACCTCCTTGCTTCCAGCAAGCGTCTATCTGGTGTGGGATAACCTAGTTTTTTGCTCTTGGGGTGCTGATTCTAGCCAAAAAGCATTGCTTCAGAAACAACGAACTGAACTGGATGAGTGAGAAATTTTTTTAGGGTAATTTTGATCAAATGCAGTTTTTGATTTGTGCTTTATTTGGACTTGGAGAACCCAACCCACTCATAAGATAGGATCCCTTTCTAGTCAAGGTGACCAGCACACAGCATGCCTGAAGGTGTAGAGTCCCATAGACATGGGCAGAGGAAGGCCACCTGGAAGAGTCCTGTGGAGAAAAACAGTGACTCCCATCAGCCTGGAAGAATGCCTTAGGCCTGTCGCAGGCAGTGCCGGCAGCTTCCAGGCAGCCTGTTGAGCTGAAGACAAGGGTTTTGCCTTCTGGCCTCACACCCAGAGCTGCCATGTCGTCAGGCGCAGCACCTAGCAACCCTGGCTGACGATACCGTCTGCTTGGTGGCACACGTCAAGTCGGGCTTATTTTACCACGAGGCATAAAGAGTAAGGGTTGGGACAGTGGTTAAGGGTGGCACAGTGGTTAAGAGTCCTCCTGCCAATGCAGGGGACACGGGTTCGTTCCCTGGTCTGGGAAGATCCCACATGCTGCGGAGCAACTCAGCCCGTGCGCCACGACTACTGAGCCAGCGCTCTAAAGCCCGCAAGCCACAGCTACCGAAGCCCACGTGCCTAGAGCCCGTGCTCCACAACAAGAGAAGCCACCGCTGGCTGCAACTAGACAAAGCGCGGGTGCAGCAACAAAGACCCAACGCAGCCAAAAAAGGGAAAAAAAAGTAAGCAATGACATGATAAGTTTTCACTTATAATTTAGGAAGCAGACCTTACCAGTTTTTATTTCAAAGACCAAAAAGGAAGAAATCATCTTAAAGGATAAAGAGGAAGAAAATTAGATTGGATATAAAAGATTCATAATAACCAAGATGATTAGACTTCAACACAAGTTTCTAAGAAGTCTTCTTCCCTGGAGATTTTTTTAAAAACAGGGTAGGTTCTGTCTCGCCCCCGCTCTTGCCTAGATGACAGATTCAGACATAGATCACAGATGTATTCAATTAGATGAAGGCTTTTTACAAATGAGAGAAATCTTTGAGCTAGCTCACTTTAAAGAATTGTTATTTTCATTTTAATTTTTTTTAAGTAATGAGAGAGTCTCAGGTTTGTGGTTTAGATGTTTGTGAGTCCTGGCAGGTCCTCCTCAGCCCTGCCCTTGGTACCACTCCAGCCCCAGTGCTACCAGCCGGTGGCCCTGGGCTCTGCACACCCTTCTTAACATGGGAAGGAGTTATCCCTTTCAAAGAAGGGTGTTAAAGATGGATTAGCACCTAACCAAGGCAGCCTCTACGCATAGTTTTTAACGAGCATTAAAAAATAGACGGATTTACTGAGAAATGTGAGCTGTCATTCTGGAGTCTGTCCCCTGCAGGGAGGAGACGGTTGTTACTGCTGGTTTTTTTGTTTTGTTTGAACTCAGAATTTGAAACTAGAATTATTTACAATAAACCTATCAAAACCTAGCCTAAGGTCGGCTGCCTTTTGTCTAAATTCTAGTTGATTATAAAGTATAAAAAAGACATTTCTAAGTGTCTCAAAGCTGGTTCTCCTAAATAGTGAAGGATTATGTGAAAGTTTGTGTCAAGCTTAGCAACCTTCCCCCACCCCCCGCCCTCAGCTACGGTGAAAAAGTAAACTTCTGGCCAGACTTTCAGAAGATAAATAGAATTATCATGTCTTAATCGGTGAGATTTAAAATGTACTTTTAAAGAAGCCTGTAAATTCCAACAAGGTGCAGTCACTTCTAGTCATTTTATAATCTTTGACACCACTCTGTGGGACAGGAGCAATGGTTATGTCTGATTATTCTTTATCTCATGGGGTCGTTGGGAGGAATTAGGGCTAGGAAATTTGGGAAGCGTAGAATGAATTCAGAAGACTTATTTCTTATAATTTCTCTGTATACCCTGGTCCCTAGAAAGCTTATCAAAAACAAAAAGAATTTACCAGAAATCCTTTGGGGATAACTTTACTTTCTTTTTCTTTTAGACCTTCACTTGACCCACCCTCTCCTGCCCATCATTCCTTCCTTTCTGACCCAAACCTACTTGTCTGTGAATTACACTCCATTCTCTCTCTTAAAGGCACATGTCCCTTCCCAGCATCTGAGATGCCTCTAGGTCTTTCTGATTGTGGGCGTGGGGAGAGGGGATGTTGATAGAGACTAGAGCCTGCGCCACCCACTGCTGCACCCAGACCATGGAGGGGCTGCTAGACATCCTGCCCATGGTTTTTTCCTGAAGCAGGAGCCAGAGGGACATGCTGTGGAGAAACAGCCTCAGAAGCTCTTCCACTGCCTCCAGCCTTAGGAAGTAGCCCTGTGGTGGAACCCTGTTAATAGTGATAATAGCACAACCACTGCAGTGACATGCTTGGCACTGCCACGTCTTGAGCCCTTACTGAAGACAAGGCTCCATGCTGGGTGCATCATAATTGTTACCTCATGTTCATCCTCCCAGCAACCCCATGAGGCAAGTCCTCATTTTTGGCAATAAAGGGTATGAGGCTCAGAAAGGTTAAATAATTTGTGGAAGATCACACAGCAAGTGGCAGAGCCAGGATCCAAACCCAGGTCTCTGGGGTTCCCCAGACATGGGTTTTTTATTTCCTCTGCTGATTCCTTTCCCTCTCCTGCTGCACTCTGTGTTCTTGGTTGGCCCCTTCGCGAGGGGCTCTCTGATGCCTAACTCCAGGCATCCAGCTTGCCCTGCTTCTGAGTCAGTCATGCTTCGCTCGGCTGAGCCAGAGTCTCCCGGCGTGGCATCCAGGAATATGAGGTTAGGAAAGCTCCCCAAGTAATTTGGCACATGATCAGGGCTGAGAACCGCTGCAGTGGAGGAATGCCACCCTTTTCAACCTCCAAAAAAGGAAGGAGATACTCGCCAATGCAAATTTGGGGATTCGAATATAGAATGAGAGTGGGGAATACAGATTGAAAAGAACGCGCTTTTCTACTCTGAACATGGCCAGATGATGCTGGCTCTCTTGACATGCTTCATGTCAAGAAAATGGGAGATTATTTTCAAATGATGCTTCCAAGTCAGCAAAGCCGAGTAACTGGTGTATTACTTTGTGATCCATGCCGGTGAGAACCCATTTGGCCCTGTCAGGATAAAGGGCTATCGTATCAGCCAAGGGTGAAGTCTCAGAGACCAGCTTTTTCCCTTGCTTTTGGATGCCTCTTCCACTGCTGTCAGGCTGATGGTGGCCACTGCCACCTCCTGGTGAAGTGACTCAAGACAACCTCAGGGGGCTTCCCTGGTGGCACAGTGATTGAGAGTCCGCCTGCCGATGCAGGGGACACGGGTCCGTGCCCCGGTCCGGGAGGATCCCTACATGCCGCGGAGCGGCTGGGCCCGTGAGCCATGGCCGCTGAGCCTGCGCGTCCGGAGCCTGTGCCCCGCCATGGGAGAGGCCACAGCAGTGAGAGGCCCGCATAACGCCAAAAGAAAAAAGACACAACCTCAGGACATCCTCAGGTTGTGGTGACTACCACGCCGTAGTGGTCGGTCTCACTGAGCGTTTTCCGCGTTCCTGGGGGGCTGCGCTAAGGCAAGGGTTTAGGAGGCTGATTTTCCCAAGCATATCCATAGTTGAGTTAAGATAATCCTCTACTGGCCTTAAAGGATTTCTAAGAATAGGCTTATTTTGCTTGATTTCAAGCAAATGGTTCTATCCTTAAGATGCCTGGCCAGGATCTGTGCCTGAACTCCAGTGAGTACTGCCCGAAGGAGGGGCTGAGTGCTTGCAGCCATCACCTTTGCTCCCCTAACTAGAGCTGCCCAGAATTCCTCTGCTTAGCAAGCGCAGAAGTCTGACCTGCGAGATAGTTAAGAGAGAGTAGCAGTGAGTCCCTTTCCACCTTCGAGGGAGGGACGCCCCGGGAGATGAGGCCGGTGAGTTGTCTTCCAGCCCTCTGGTCCTTTCATTCCCGTCCTGCTTCACCTCATTCTCTTTACTCCTCCCATTTGATTTTTTTTCTGAATTTGTCTTCTGTAGCTATTCTAACAGCCTATATTGATCTTTTTTTCAATGTTTAGAATTTGATTGCTTCTAACCAGAACATAGACGATTTTGGGTCTGTTCCCCCAAGCTCCCTGGACTCTTCCTGACCATCTTGCCCCACTCCCCCTTTTTCTTATTCTTCCTCCGCAATCCCACCTAGCCTTTATACCCACCTCTGCGTACATTTTTGTTTGACCATTTTTGTTTGTTGGGTGGGTGTGTGGGTGTCTGTCTCGACCCCTTTATCCTTTCTCCTCCTGAGTGTGTGGGGTAAAGCAGGAAAAGGGATTAATTTGAGCAGTGGAAAAAGATTGTGTTAAAAATGAGCCACTGATATTAGAAAAATAATTTTAAGTTTAAAGGCCTAACAAATGCATAAAATTGAAATTTAATTGATATAGGCAAGCGATTATGCAAATACTGCTTTTAGTCAGTCATCCCATTTTGGTCAATTACACACTTTTTATAGAACAAACAGCACTTTCTCCAGTGTCTTTAAGATTATTATAAATTCTTTAAAAAAAAAAAAACTGAAGAAGTCTTTTTTAGTCTATTTAAAGTTACTGTGGTTGGAAAGGCAATTATGTGCCTCCTGGCAGTTTTAGGAGAGTAGCTGTCCCCAAATGGAGCCTCCAAGAACAGATTGCCAAAGCCCAGAGGGCAATCACTGGTGTGCAAACATCAAAGCCCAGCAGGGGTCTTCAGGGCTCAGGAGTGAGTTGTTCACCCCCAGTAAATGCTGCTCAGTGTTAGAATTTTCTGGAAGTCACTGGCACAGGAAGTTCTGGGTATTGCTGCCAAGATTTGATGTTTGCTGCTTGGGGCTCTGAAGGACACAGTCAGCGTGTGGCTCCACCACAAGCAGGAATCACCAGATCCCGGCTCTGCTGAGCCCACTGGGACGTTCTTTGAAAGGACTCTTGGAGAAAGAGTGACAGCAGGATTTCATGCATAGGTGATATCTGTGTTCATAGACAACTTGAGAAACATTTCATTTAGTGTGTCTCAACTATGGTTAAACACACACTTATTTGGCCAGCTCTGGTGTACAGAAATGCAGAAGGTGAACCTTACACCCGGTTTTCCCATTCAGTGTATTTCCAGCTGCATCTCCACCTGTCCCAGTATAGACTTAGCCTGCCAGGAGAAGGTACAAGAAGCAGCAAGTGAAAGATGTAGCAAGAGTGACTTAGTTTTACCCATTTCCCTGGAGAAGAGCAGGAGGAAAGCTAGAAGTGTGGTGGGGTAACTCAGAAAACTTGCTTAAATGTCACCGGGGGGGGGGGGCGTGTTGCAGAAAAGTAGAGCAAAGGCTTCAAGGGCTAGAAGTCAGCCTGGCCAGCACTGCAGTGCGTGACTCGAGTTTCAAAAGAACACCCTCCCCTGCCTCTTCCCTAATAAAAATGATAATGGAATAGCCACAGTTCTCCCCAGGATTGGGCAGATGAGGGTAGAACAAAGTCCCATCCCTATCACAGGGATGAGGGGCAGCATAGGTAGGGAAGTGGGGTCAGAAAGACCTTGAATCCATTCCTGCTTTGTCTTTCTCACTGTATGGCTAAGGGCAAATTTGCTTAACCTCCCTGGGCCCTAATTTCCTTGTCCCTAAGATAGATATTTACATACCTCCAGGAGTTTTTGCAAGGATTAAGTGAGGCAATATTAGTAAATTACCAGTTACTATTAGGCTCTTAATAATGGGAGCAGCTATTATTTTTATTCATAAATGTAGGTAAAATTTTCTCCCATTAGATTTGCAAGACAAACATTACATATTAAAAGAATAAATTATACATCCCCTGGAACTTGTCCTTACTGCTAGTGTTCAGATGAATCTGTGCAACTTCAGTTTGCCCACTTGAAAGTCAATGAACTGAAATCCACGTGTCAGACTTGGATGCTGTGGACACTGGGAAAAATGAAAAGCTAGTTCACGGAGACACCCCTGCCCTGTGCTAGCCTCAGATGGGGGAGATTTCTTTTTCCACTTACCCCAAGTAAGAAACAGCTTTAAGAAGGTTCGGTCATTCAAACTTCTCTGTTGCCTTCACCCCCCACCCCTCTCTTTCCTACTTCTTCTAACTTTCAAAATACACGGATTAACTGCCCAAGCCATGCTGTTTCTTTTTTCCATCTCAGAAGAACTGTTTCTCATTTTCCTTTAACAAGTCCTCTAGAAGTCCACATTAGAAAGCTCTAGGGAGCAAAAACTTTTTATAAAGAGCTGAGAATTTTTTCAAAGATCTTTGAATGTTTAAAATGCCATTTTTCCCTCATGAAAACTGTGCTGCTTACCTCAAGAGCGAGGTTATAAGTTAACCCTCACCTTACCATCTGCTCCTAGGCTGTCATTTCCCCATGATTCAGAGAGATGCAGTGTTTTGAGCTAAAATGCTAGGCTGGATTTTAAACACTACTTACACTGGTTTCTAACTAAGCTAACTACTCATTTGGCAGGCACCATTTTTCCAATCAAATCTCTGCATTCAAAGCTGATTTTTCGTTTTCGTTGGTGCTGTGGCATTTTATCAGTACAATAATCAAGTTGTGTTAAAAAGCAAAAGCCCTGTTCGACTTTAAGGATAAGAATTAGTCAATATCAAAGCAACAAGAGGGAGGGAGGGAGGATAAAAGATATCTTGGTACCTGAAGCCTTTCCATTATTGGAGCTGGGGAGACCTGGGACAGATAAAATGGGGAGACGAAAGGGGAGATAGACTGGTTTTGAATAATACTCAAAATAATAGCAGTGTGAGCTTTATTTACATTTTATAAAATATTCTGGCCTTTTCTGCTCTGAAACTTAAAATGACTTGCGTGGAGATAAGGACTTGACTGACACTTAGCCATCGACACGTTACATCGGATTCTCTGACTTGTCTTTGCAGGCTAGTTCATGTGCTCTGTTAAAGCTGTTACTGATTTTAAGGGAAGGAGTTGGGTCTTCATTCCATATTCATGAATTCTGAATTCAGGTTAGCGAGCTATTAGAAAACGGGAGAGGCTGTTTCAGCCTAACTCTTATTGGAGAAATTCTTTGGAGGGATGTAGTGATCCCTCGTGGGATCGTGGATGTAGTGATTAAATATCCTGGGTTTCCAGGACAGTCCCAGCAGAAAAACCTATTCTCGTGAGTGAACCTGCGGTCTCATTTTTAGTTCAACCCAGCCATCTCCATGAAGGGTTTATGTCTTGTCTTTGTTCTGCCAGTCTTAGCGCCCCAGTCGGTGTTCCACTTATTTAGGGACGTGTGCTGTGCCCTTTGAGAGCCATCTCCCACCACAGAAACCCATGTGTGTTGCACTTTCCGTGAGCAGCACCTTTGCAGAGCAAACTGTGTAACCACGTCTGCCCAGGGAATGTGGGGTTCCAAGGAAGGAAAGCTACTCGAGGAACCAGTTTGAGGTGGAATCAAAACGAATGATTATGAGGGGTTTCTCAAAGTGTTTTCTTAGCTGCAGTACCTCTTTGCTCCATGATATTGTATATGGAACCCTAGCATATGAAATGGGTCACAGCTGAGCTGGGCAGCTAGAAACTACACCTCCAGGCCTCCCCATCCCACCCAGCAGGCCTGAGGACTCCATGAAACTCAGCAGTATGGACCAGAGACAGCATGAGCACCCAGGCATCTATCTCAGCCCGTTTCCCACTCAGCCAGGCTGGGGACCAGCGTTGCTTGTGGAAATTCTCTCGAGAGGGCCTTTGGCTATTTGTCTCCATGTGTTTCTGGGTGTCAGGAGCAGTCTTTCCCCAGGCGTCATGAATGTACCTTCCTGACTACAGGTCTGTTTGGTTGGGTGGGTTCTCCAAACCCAGCTCTGAACTGTGGTTTGCCGTGGTGTAGCTTCTGGTGCTGGGCTCCTTCTCTGTCCGCTGGGCTCCCGGGTATGGCTGGATGCCGGTGCAGGACAGTGGCAGTGGGCGACGTGTCACTCTGTTCTCTTACCTTAGCCGGATGTCTCCTGATCACGTTTTGTTTTGTTCACTAGATGATGATTCAGATCTGTACTCTCCTCGATATTCCTTTTCTGAAGACAGTAAGTGACTTAGAATTTCTTGGTTGTAGGGGAGGAAGGGAGAGCGGTGAACGAGGGAAGACATCTTCCTGTTTTGAGTTTTCATCTATTTTAAGTCTTTCTTTTAAAGCGCACTTTTTCCTTCTCCAGCAAAATCTCCCCTTTCTGTGCCGCGCTCAAAAAGTGAGATGAACTACATCGATGGTGAGAAGGTAGTTAAGAGGTCGGCCACACTTCCCCTCCCGACCCGCTCTTCCTCGCTAAAATCAAGCCCAGAAAGGTAAGTGCTCTCATCAGCTCTGTGATTTTAGGTTCTCACACACAATCTGTTTCTCTGTCAGGCAGCATTGGAGCCAGGAGTCGAGCAGACCTGAGTTTGAATCCCTGCTCTGTCACTTATTAGCAGTGATTTGTTTTTTCTGAGTCTCAGTGTTCTCATGTAAAATGGGGATATATTTTGCATTCATAGGCATGTTGCAAGGGTAAAACAAGATGCTGCATGTAACATTTCTAGTAGTGCCTGGCTCACAGTATGCACTTAATAATGTTGACGATAATTATCATCCCTTTTTACCTCTTCACAAGAGAAATCTTAGCCGTAAGATTTGTCATGTGTTTTTATACTCTGTGCATACTGATGGGGCCCATAGCAGAGAATATAATTTTAAAATGAAGCCACGCTTTTTAGTATCTATTTATTTATTCAACACATTATCAAAGCATAAGGCTCGCGTGGCTGTGATGATATCAGTCATCTGTTAATGCCCGCACCAGATGACCCGACTGTCTTTTATTGAGTCTTCTGCCCTCTGGAGCAACCTCCTGTGCCATCTGGACTGGTGTCCCATGCGTCTCCCAGCTCCATCTTCCACCACTTCTCAATCCACAAAAAGGCCCTGGCCAAACTGAATTCTTTATTTTTCCTTTAAATACACACTGTTTCACACCTCCAAACTTTTTCCATCTTCATAGACAAATGAACGGCTGTTTTTGAAATCCCACATATACGTAAGTGACATCTGCCTGAGGAATTTGATAATTACTCTGAAAGGAAGGCTGGGTATACCCATAAATCCTTACAAGTGCGTTCATCGAGCGCCTACTGGGTACATTCTGTGTGCGGGTTGAACCAGATGCTATGGAGGAATATAAACATACATAAATCATCGTCCCTGCCTTCAAGAAGTTTATAGCCTCGCAGGAAAAACTGAATATAATATCACAGTGCAAAGTGCAATTAGGTACATGTATAAAAATTTTGCAAATAATTTCCAAGGCTTCATGTTTCCTCTGAAATCCCTCACTGGATCGGGTTAAGTACTTGTGCCAAAGGCTGCAGTTTTGATGATTACCGGATGGGGTGTGGAATAGGGAAGAAGAACATGGTTATAATAACAAATAACATTTATTGAGTGGTTCCTGGGGGCCTGGCACTCTGCTAAGTGATTTACATGCTGAGACATACTGTCTCATTTAATCCTTAAAGCAACCCCATTTTTCAGATGAGGAAACTAAGGTAGGTAGCGGCAAAGTGCTTGGCCCAGATCAGCTAGCTAGCAAGTGCTGTAGCAGGGCTGGAGCCACAGCTGCCTGGCTCCGGGACCTGCATTCTCTCTCACTGCACTAGCCTGAGTGGGAAGTACAGGCATGTCTGGGGAATGATAAGCTCCTGAGAGCAGAGCAAGGTGAAGGATTTTTCCAGAGCAAGCTTTGCTGCTGCCGCTGCTGCTGCTTCCTTTCTTCTCTTTCTCTTCTCTCTGCTTCCCAGTGCCTGGTTGTGAGCACAGGACACCTCAAGCCTTTTGTGAAGCGAACACAGGGATCTGTTTGTTTGAAGAAGGAAACCAGCACAACTAAATGCTTTGGGCGGAGTCCGATTTTGTGCCTCGGATATAAAAATTCCTTGATTAGACTAGAGTCAGCCAAAGTCTGACCTGTCGGATGCCAATTTTCATGAAAATAGCTCTAATAGGATTTCCTTTCTACAGAAACGACTGGGAGCCCCCAGATAAGAAAGCGGATACAAGAAAATACCGTGCAGAACCCAAAAGCATTTACGAGTATCAGCCGGGCAAGTCCTCCGTTCTGACCAACGAAAAGATGGTAATGTGCATATTAAAGTTCTTTTGTCTCACCCTGCCTGTGTTCTTTAATCCAGATGCACTGTGTGTGCTCTTGGATTACATTCTTTCTCCCTTGAAATAGACTTGCTTTGTTTAGAAGACAATGAAAATATGAAGCATTTTTACCCTTTTCATTTTTGCAGGTGTCCACAAAATAAGTCCCAAGAATGCTTTGAAAGAATCCTCTCATTGTGGCTTTGTTGCTCTCTTTGCTCATGGTTTTCACTAATTTTAAATTTTGTAATGTAAGGTGGATTTTGCCACTATCTTTTTCTAAGCACCTAACCATTCGTTTATCAGGCTTATTACTAACTGGACTAAAGTTGGGGTTTCTTAGGTGACTCTTATTTGAACATGCGCAAAGTTTGTAGAAGTTACTAGTACATCATTAAAAGACAAATAATTAATATGATGATGTGACTTGGGGGGAAAAAAGCCCCCGGCTGTTAGAGTATGTCTTTTAGGTCTTCCTTTTCTGACAAGTGCAATAGAGAGGACGAATTTCATATTCAGTCTGGTTTATGGTTCCCTATACAAGTTCGCATCTCCAAGCAATTATCAGTGGGGAAAATGGCCTGTATGGGCATAGCAGACCACCCTGCAAAAGCAGGGGAGAATTTTTACAAACTGATTAGTTTCATATCTGCCGATCACGTTTCCTTTTATTCACCCTTCATTAGAAAAAGCTGGTTTCAGAATTCTGAACATGGTTAAAGGGATCCTCCAAAGCTCTATAAACCCTGCAGCTGTGCCAGCAGGATGGAATTATCATGCTGGGGATTGATTCTTATTAAAATGCTGTTACCACACTGAGTCCAGAATAAGTAGGCCTCTGAAATGAGGGCTCAAATTATTCTCCCTCCACCTCTTTTGCTCTACATGTTTTTAAAGAATAATTGATTTGACTTTTAATAAAAAGGTGACATCTTTAAAAGCACAAAGGGATAAGTAATTTTAATTAGGAAAAAAGGTTCAACAGGTCACAGAAATGCTTCAGAGTTGTCATTCTTCAGCATTTACTGTGCACCACAGTTATTTTAAGCAAAAAGTTCTGAGAGGAGCGGAGAATTTTGCCTCTGGCTCAACCCTGCATTGGAGGTTCTCTCTCTCTTAGAAGGTAACAAGTACCGAAGGTAATCCTCCATACAGGTCTTCCTAGAAAGAATGTCACGTCCTTTGAGTATATTCCCGACACTTGCATAACAAGTGGTGGACACACCATCACCTGTCAGTACACTTCAATGATTTTAGAGACTGTGTAGGCCTTTGGGTGCTTTTGTATTGGCAATTTATTATTTATTATTGCTCATAGAAGGTCATTGATTTATTGAAGGCTTGCCCCTTAATTTCTCCTTTGTTTCCTCCTCCTTTCCTTCGTTCCTAATAATTTGACCACTATTCAAAACTAGGGAAAAAACAGTAACATAGTTTTATTTTTCTCACTGATACCACAATGGTCACAATGTCTTCCATGTCATAGTCCTTGGGATCATTTATATTGTTTTTACAGACCCCGAAAAGTAGCACACAGTGCCCATGGGGCCCTCTTAGGGGAGTTGCGCTGACCATACACGTGGATTGCCAAGCACCGTCTGGGTGTTCCCACACAGGAAGCCCCCTGGTTGTACCAGGACCTGGGCCAACCCAGTTAGGACATAACACCAAAGGCTGGCCAGGGGGGAACATCACTGTGCAGCTGTTTTAGTTTCGTGCCTTTCCCTCTATTTAGCACTGTTCTTCCCAAAGAGTCATTTTTCATTTCAGAGAGAATCTTCATCTTTTCACAGTCTACTCTTCACAGGGGTTGAATTCGTCCTTTACTTTTGAATTTCTTTTCCCGCTATTTTTGCCACATGAGCAGAAACGTTGGAATGTGAGTTTCAGCACGTGAGTCCTGCCTTTTGGTTTCCAGTGTCGGGTTTACCAGAATTTGAGGAACCCCCTTCCTTCCACAGCCACCATCCCACCACCGCACACATACACACACACACACACACACACACATTTTTGTTGTTGTTAACTGTGAATAAGTATACTAACTAGAGACAGACAGATGTAGAATCTAAATGTGCTCTCAGAAATGCACATCTCCTTTTAAGGGGGAAAATCCACTTTTCCCCCCAATTCTTTTCCAGTTGGAGGTGCTTGTGTCTGCTTAAGCCTGGCAATTTAAATTGTGGCCTCACAGGCACATCTCTCTATCTGTTGTTCACACAAAGAGTTGAAGAGTCGGCTGTAAAGGTTGCCTTAGAGCACATCTTGTTCCTGGAGCAAACCCACAGCATCCCAGACAGATAAACACTGTGCTACCTTCAGAATCCCCCCAGGAGATTCAGTCTTGGTGACCTATTCAGCTGTTTGCCAAACTCATCTGGCGCTCTTCATCACTGTTTGTCCTCCCTCTTATCATAGTATGAGTCCATTTTCTTCTCTTCTGGTCTTGGAATTGGAGACCTGTTGGTCAGTCCTTGCTTTGCCAGAAATGGCTTTTTTCAGGCTGTGTTCCTTTTACTTTCCTCCAAAGTCCCTTATAGAACTGAACTTCAGCTCAATTCAATAAATATATACAATTGACCCTTGAACAACATGGGTTTGAACTGCACAGTCAACTTATACATGGATCCTTTTCAATAGTAAATGCTATAGCCCTACACAGTCGTGGTTGGTTGGATCTGTGGATATAGAGGAACCGTGGCTACAGAGGGCCAACTGTAAATTATACTTGGATTTTTCGATTGCATGCACCCCTGATTGCCCACACTGTTCAAGGGTCTGCTGTATAGAATAACTTTGATGTGCCGAGCTCTGCATTAGATGTTGGAGTTCCTGCTCCCATAGGGGTATAGTAGGAAGGACAGACATTAAAATCGTTATTACAGACACGATATATATTTGAAAGTGTAAAACAAGGGGATTTACCCAACTTGGTTTCTTCCCATTTCACTGTCACCTTGAATTCCTTCCTGACTTTTCAAGTTTGTCACTTGCCCCTGTTTTAGCTTGGTGTCATCCACAAACTAAGCAGGCCCGCCCCCTTCTCATGGGGAGTATGAGAAATGTAAACAGCACTGGACTAGGAATTGCAAGGTCTGAGTTCTGAGTTCGAATTCTGACTCTGCCTTATGTCTTGGGACATCGCTTAACCTTTCTGAACCACAGTGTTTTCATCTATAAAATGAAATTATTATCTGGGCTGCCAGCCTCACTGAAGCATTGAGTGAGAGGATCACGTGTGATAATGTGGGTTAAAGTTCTATGACCATTATAAGGTGCCGTGTAAATGACCGGGCCACATTCAGATTATTTAATTAAAATCTGAAGCTAGTCTCTGGCGCCCGTCCAAGCAGCAAAACTGTCCTTCAGGACAATCAGGTGTTCCTCTCAAGTCACCTGCCTTTTCTGAGGATTTTGCCAAGCTGGGAAAAGATAGCCACCCGTAGCAGAGAACTCAGCCTGGCCTTGTGGAATCTGCTTTGCCTGCCAGTACAGAGAGCCTGTTCTGCATCTAGAAGGACGTTTCCTGCCTGTCCGTTCTGTACTTGGATCTGTAGCGGAGTTATAAGTGCAGAATCAAATGCTGTGTGGTATTGCCTCTTTCACTTTCTCTCTGGCAGCTCAGAGGGCTGAGGCTGGCTGCTCTGGGTCCAAGCTGGTTGGCATACCTCCTGACTCCGTTCCCTGCCCAGCATTAACCTCAGCAGTAAAACAATCTGCAAACAACCTTTGACAGTAAAATGGGTTAATTCTTTCAGGACTGAGAACCAGAGCGTTCAGGCAGTTTCCTGAAAGAGTTGATACTTTTTTTTTTTTTTTTAATGAAAAGAAACTACTCCCAGAGAGCAATTTATAAATAGTCTTTTAAAATAATAAACGTGAAATAGGTTTCATGGAACCCCATCATACAAGGATCTAGGGTGTCCCTGTGTCTAAACTGTCTCTCCTGAATAGTGGTGTCTTTCTAGATATTGTGCCTCATTTCACTGAATAAATACAGAATCCATTATTTTACATAATTGCAAAATCCATTGAGAAGGAACACGCATTCTCCAAGATTTAAGCCCTATGCCCCTAAAGACAGTTGGAGGAGGTTTTAATCTGGATTCAAGAGGGCAGACTCTGTTTCAATATATATTTCCCTTTGATTTCAACTAACGTCTATCCAGTTAATTTCTGTTGAAGAAAAGTCCTCTGCCATATTTTCCTCTATTTAAAGCAAAAGTAGAAATAATGGTAAAGATTCTTATAGGGATTTTTAGAAGAGATTGGTAAAGGTCACTAAGGAAGTTTACAGTCATTTCAATAAGCTACAAAAGACCTGTTAACTGAATGTTAAGAAAAATGTATCCAGGAGGAGCAGCTTTGTGAAGGAGTCACTTGGAGATGCGTCCACAGGATCTGCAGTTTCCTACCTCATGTGTCGTGGCCCTGAGGGCATGAAGTTTCTTATGATGTTTTCAATCACAGTGGAAAATGTACATTTACTATTTCATATTGTTGTCAGAATATCACCACCTCTCTGTTTTGTGACTATCAAGATTTTTTGAAACGTATATACCCGTAGGAATTAAGCCGTGAGCCTCTAACACTTCTATCTGATGTGACCATATCTCCAGTTTATTAAGGGGAAACCTGATTTGCTTTCCAGGCATTCATTTTCCAACTAATTATTTCCAGAAACACATGCTCTTCCACAGAGCAAGGTACCAGAACTTTATAAATATTTGATTCAACATGAAATCCCATGGAATCATATTATCAGTCTATGAACTACTTTTCAGAGTCGTATAAAATGAGAAATCTAACTTATTTTTGTAACATAACCCCGAAGTTTTTTCCCCACCTATCGTTCTGTTATCTGTCTTGTTCAGCTTTTCCCTCGCTTTATTTTTTTCTCTAGTTCTTTAATGTTTATTTCGTAGAACACAAAGTATATTCTGTCTGTATTCATCCCCCATGGATGCTTGTTTAAAGTGTTTTTTCACTTGTGTCTACTGTTTTTACTTACATCATCTTTCACTTTACTCTGTATGGGACATGGTTTCCACCTACTCATGTGCCATTAAAGATGCAGTATTAACAAATTGGCCTTTTATGAAAGTGTCAGTATTTGCTGCTTATTTTGAAACCCTTAAGGCAGCCTTGCAAATAAGTACTAAAACTGTACTAGCCCCTGAAAAGTGTTTGCTGTACGTAGATGGCTAAACGCTTGATGTGTTCCCCAGGCTATTTGCTCTTAACTAATAGCTCTTTGTAAAGAGGGATAAGGGCTTTCTTTTCTCCCACCACTCTGACAATTACCAAGGGAAACTGTCATGCCCATGTTCAGATCTGTTGGGAAGGTGGCAGTGTGGTGCAGCGTTCTCCATCTGTCCTCCCTCTGCCTTGGGACCGAGAATGCCTCCCTCACTGCTCCCTACCTCAGTGTGCCTGTTTTCATAAACACATCCTTTCCCGCCTGTTTCAGCTCCCCTGATTTTGCTCATGTCAATAAAGAAATGGATGATCGCTGCTGTTGAATGCAGGTGCTGTATATTTCTGGAAACCACTGCATCTCTACTGGCCGGTTCCTATGTAATCTCTGCATAATGTTATCCTTCTCTCTCTTCCATTTCCCTATCACCAACCCCTATAGAGTCGGGATATAAGCCCAGAAGAGATAGATTTAAAGAATGAACCTTGGTATAAATTCTTTTCGGAATTGGAGTTTGGGAAACCGGTAAGTTTAATAGCTTCAGTGGTTATAGACACCTTTTTTAATAGTGCTGTTGATGCATTGTTGCTGCTAAAAAAATCAGACCTATTTGTAAAGAATTCAGGAAGTGGGGAGCAGCCTTGTTGGCTGTCAGTGGTGGGATTGTCTTTTCTCGCTACAACCTGTGAGCTTTCCATTGCTTTACTTCACCAAGAAAGGACAGTGAGCTCTGGACAGTATTTCTTGCTAGAAAATCCCCCAGGAGACATGGCTAAGTCATTGCTTGTTTCAGGACCTCCCACCACTAGCAACAAATATCACACACCTTGTAGATTGCATTATTTCGGCCTTTGGTTCAGTTCCTTGACCAAAGTCTTCATGGTGTACTGAAGACAACCAGGAAAACGCATTACACACTGAGAGAGACCAGCATTGTCACTGCTTTGAATAGAAATTTTAGAAGCACACATGCAAGGGAAGTGCCAGTGCAAGTGGAAAAGGGCCTCTCTATGCAGAGGTGATCCTCGAATGCCATCCTGTTACAGGTGACTTTTAGGGAATGATTTCCGTGAGGTAGGATAATATTTCCCAAAATTAGAAATGAGAGTTAGGAATTCTAGCAAACTTCGTATTCAGCCCAATAGCCTGTAGCTTCCCTCTGATGTGTCTGAGTTCGCTTTGGTACAAATTGATTTTTGGCACTTAAAGGAGGATTTTCTTGGCCTTGCACCCAAAGGAGTATCAAACCGAAGGGAGAATTGAGCTCATTTTTCCACTGGAGATGACTGGAAACTGACTTTAAAGCTCCAGTTACTTTAAAGTCTTAATTATTACAGCTGCAAAAAGAATTTACAGGTGGAGGGATTTAGTGTATAAAAATAAAACATTTTATTAGATGTTTGTATGAGACTTTAAGCATTGAATCGGCATTCGAATCACCATGATTTAGAATGATAGTTTTATTTGCAGATAGCAATTAACTTTACAACTCAGTAAAATGTTCAATTCTGTAGTACATTTTTAATGAAGATGAAGACGGAGAAATTTAACTGTTGCTCTGGAATTGCTGAGCTTTGTTTGAATGTTCAGTCATTTTCTGAGTTAGGAGCACCTGCCTTGCAAACACCCCTTCTTGTAGGAACAGGCATTCCTCCCACTTTGTCCCCTCCCTGACACTGTCACCTAACGTCAGCAGAGGTGTCCTGGATGAACAGCGCCACCTAATGACAAGCAGAGAGGGAAGCATCCAACCCAAAGCCTGCACCGTCTCCTCCTCCCCACCCCCCAAAGCTTTGGTACACACCTCACTTCTCTCTCTCCCTGTTTTCTCTGCTGTCCACCATTCACACATCAGTGAAGTCTACCTCACGCAGTCTTTTCCACATGCAAAGATTTAACAGTATCCTAACCCTTTTCCTTTTCTTTTTCTTAAAACCTGCTCAATTATCTCACAAAAAAACCTGCAGAAATGTGTACCCCTGCCCCCTCAAAAAAAAGACCATGATTGGTACATGCAATAATAATGCCATACTTTCATCAGAGAAAGCAAAAGATATTAGCTTTAAATTGTTTATAATAAGGAGTCTATGCCATTGAGTTTTGAAACCCTGTTCAGAATCCACAAATTTCTAGCCATCTCTTCATTTGCCAGATAACAAATAACTATTTTAGTTTTACTGAAATATTAACTTTTAGGAAAAGTTATGAAGCCATTTTTTTCTAATTAATTGTGATTGGTTTGTTTAATTAAATCTGTCATCGTAAATAATACTCTTTTCGTTAGCAGTAGACAGCATTTCAGTCACAGCATATTTAGATGGGCTCTGTGAATAGCTCCGTGAATTAGCATCATTTCTGCTGGAAACTGTAGTCTGAGCCCACACAACCAATCCAGACAAATGTTGACAACACGTTCCATTTGCGTACGGGGACCTTCCTATAATTTGTATTCCTACCCCATTGTCCCAACTGCCTCTTAATTATTTAAAGGCTTAGAGATGCTTTTCCAAAATGTCATTTTCTCTGAAGCCAGAGTGTTCCTTGCATAGACCTTAGAGTCCTTCTTAAATGGGACTACCTCGTTTTGTGTAGGTCTTTTAAAGTAATAGAAGATGATACTTTTGAAGACTTGCCAAAATCGCTTAATCAATGCCTATATCCTGAGGAACAGCACTGAGGCGAACGGGTCCTTATGGTCTGAGTCATCCTGAGGGTGGGCTTGTTACCTGGTTGAACCAGGTTGATGACTCCCAGAGTTTGGGAGGAAGGTGTGATGGGGAGAAATGTTTTCTTCACTTCTCTCCTACCCCAATCAACTCTGGGCCACAAAAGAGCAAGAGACATAAATAAGAGGGATGTAATCCATGGCAGTTGTTTTCAAAGACTTTTCAGTCATTCAGAAGCAGAATGAAATTAAAACTACTATCAAACCACGTGGATCATCGTTTCTCCTTTTTACGCCACGTGAACCTAGGACCCACTTCCCCCTAGTAAAGCCTGCGAGAACTTTAGACATTTAGCCTGAACTCCTTTCTTCCTTGGCCCCTTCACTTAAAGGCACCCAAAATGAGCTGAAGTTTCAGCAAGCTCCTGACTGTAATACCTTTTAGGTCTAATGAGTTGTAGGGTATCAACTAATTTAAGACTCCAGGGACCATTTGGGGGAAGATTATTTAAAACCAATTTAATTTGTAAGCACTGTCTTATTTTTCGCAGTAAGTAAATGAGTAGGGCTACCATCAGTGACTTGGAAACATCTCCATCCCCAGATGAGCAATCCAACTGTATTAAGTGCTTAAAGATGAATGGTAATTGTCAGTGGCACTTACTTTACAAATTGCAGAATATACGCAACTGATATTACATACACAAGTTACTGGTGAAGGCACCTTGGAATTAATTACGTTTCATTTGTAAAATCAATTACTTTTTATTTGGCCTCGAGTGTCAGCTTTTTCTTCTTTTTTCTCCCCCTAATTTCTACAGAAATTGATGTGATTTCTGTAAGTAAGCTCAGGGCAAAATGTAAAACTAATTTGAATGTTTCCACAGAGTTGGTTATGATGAAATTTGCACAGAATGATAGGAGTTATTAATGATATCATCTCCTCAGAGGTCATCGTGTAAGGAATTTCAAGTCTAAGTGGGCAGAACAAGAAGGTTTACTTAGTGGAAGAGGGGTTGCAAAGATAGAAGCGGCTTGTAACTTCTAGATGTCCTACCCTCTGGAACCCCCTTAAAACAATTCTCCTGGCAGATTTCTACTTCGGGAATGCCGTTCTAATTCTAACATGATCAGTTAAAGGAGAAAATAAAAATAACCTTACAGTTCACTGTTTAAATTCAAAGTATAAACTCTGCTCTCTAAGAGAGATGGAAGGCTTGACTCTACCATCAGCAGTATTATCAAAGTCTAGTTAAACTGTAAAAGGAGGTTTTTAAAAACTTATCTAGTGAAATTGTCTAGTTCTACAGTGCAATATTTAACACCTGTTTCATACGTGGATTTCATCGCCACAAGCCACAGGAAGCACATTTAGCACCATGTACCCACCCTTGGTCAGATCTCCAAATTCACATGTTTATGAAGACATAATGAATTTTACAGGGGACAAGGCTAGCTTTCCAAAATGTAGGCTCTCAGTGTCCATCTTAGTTGGAAAAGAACAATGAGGAATTTAAATGTTTGTTTTTGTTCAAATTGGCATTAATGCTTTTTTTTCCTTTGTTCTTTTTAAAGTTTTCAATATTTATAATCCAACAGTGATGGACTCTTGAGACAGAGATGCAGAAATAAACCTCCCACTTGAACATTTCCAGCTCCTGAGTTCCATGGGCTCCCCAGGTGGCCTCAGGAGACAGGGTGCCCGCTCCTTTTGTTTTTAGTTCACTTTTCTGTGTTGAGACAGTTTTCCTAGTGTTGCCCCTCTTGGTTTGAGCCGGTCTCCGTGTTTGTCTTTATGTCTTTACGCTCATTTCTTCATTTCCTCCTCTGCTTCCCGTCAGCCTCCCAAAAAGATATGGGATTATACTCCTGGAGACTGCTCTATCCTTCCTAGAGAGGATAGAAAGGTAATTCCACTGTGGGCTGTGTGTGTGCGCTCTGGCCTGGCTAGTGTGTGTGTGTTGTGGGCTTTTTTCTTTTATTAAATCCCACCCCCTTTTATTTTTAACTTGATTGTAACTTTTTTTTTTTTTTGGCTTGGTGATAAAACAGTTTAACAAAGTCTCTTAAGACTTATACTAATGTGTAGAGGTTTTTAAAGCAATTGCTTATTCTTCTGACATATAGTATGTGTCATAGTCACCATACTCTGAAAAAGAGAAAATAGGTATTTCCTAAAAGGTAGGTTTTTGGGGTCTGTGTAGTTCCTCTCTCTAGCAAGTAGAGTAGAGTTTTGGAGCTCTGATTACCACAGGATTTATATTCTCTATGCCTAATGTTGCATTCCCTGTTTTCCTGTCTTTAACTCATTTCTAGTAAGCTCTTGTGTTTTAGTCATGCCATCTTTGCCTTATTAATGTATGATACTAAACAAACTCGTTTTTCAAACGTAACCTTCCATGCTGTCTGCCTTTCCTCCTAACTAAAACACTCTTTCCCATCTTTTCTTTCTTGAACCAGACTAATCTAGAAAAAGATCTCAACCTCTGCCAAACAGAGTTAGAGGCAGATTTAGAAAAAACGGAGACGCTTAATAAAGCACCCAGTGCAAACCTGTCACAGGTATTTCCGAGTTTTTCTCGTGCCCTCAGTTCCCTTTGCTTTCTTCTTTGTTCTATGGTTTTTGATGTAGTTGGGGTGATGAATGGTTATGCTGGTCATTTTTAAGCTGCATGGCTTTCTGACTCCTGTTTTAGGTCACCGCTGACCCCCAAGTTAATTGTTGTTTGGATTTCTTTTGAGCTTGGCATCTTCCTTAAAGGGGATTTTTCAAATATATATGCAGGGTGGCTAGTGATTGAACTGCTCCCCCCCGGCTTACCATCCTCTTTCTCTGCTTTCAAGAGGTCACCCTTTTAACTCCCCTTCTGCCCCCTTGTGTGTATACCTTCTCTGAATTTTCAGGGAGCCTTTTTTGGGCAACTTCTATGTCTTTTTTGCAGCCCTGGGAGATACCAACCTCAGAGATCATTTTCAAAAACACAGCAGCTGTGATTCGAGTGCCTCTTGCGTGCAAGGCACTGTCAGAATAGTAGTATTTGTAATTTGAAATGTCAGAAGGTTCTTAATGAAAAAATGCACTCCGTAGACCAGACAGCCTGGCCACAAGCGTTTGAAACTCTGCCTACATTGATATTTTTAAAGGGAGCTATGTCCCAATGTGGTTTATTAAAGGATGTGTCAGAAAGAGAGAGAGTCCAGGGTAAACGGGCTCCCAAGGCGAAGAAAAATACCAAATGTTTGGAGAACTACCCCCAGGGTTCCCTGACAAAACAAAGGAGACGCTTACAAGGAAAGGGTATCTTTATAGAAAATAAAAAAAGGAATGCGGACACTGCTGAAGAGGCTAGGACGTCCACAGATTGTGGCAGGAGAAATGGAAAATGCTAATGGACCGTGTTATTCTTAAGCAGAACTGAGACAAGGAGGGTCAGGCCACCAGTGTGTGTGACTTGGGTACGAAGTCATGTAGAGCCAGAGACTCAAAGCAGGTGATTATGGCCGCAGCCAGGGGGGCCAGGGATACGAGGGGCAGAAGCCAAGCACTGCAAGCCGATCCAGGGGAGTTAGGGTTTGGGAATTCAGAGTCACCGAAGGATGAGGTAGCCAGCAGGACCAGCGGTTAGGCCCAGGGGAACACAGAAGGTGAGCGACAGGGCATGCAATGAGGCAGATGTGTGACAGGGTGGGCATAGTGGGGAGCTGAGTCTCCAACCAGGGCGGAGATTGGCACCAGCTGTAGCTGCTGTGGGAATGGAGGTCTGAGCTGGGTCTAAAGGAGAACTGTGGCTGCAAGTAAGTCCTGAAGTGAGCTGGGGGGCCGGAGGGGAAGTGAATCAGCAGGCACTTTTTTCAAAGTACCGTAATAAGAGTGGTTCTGTAACGTGTGGCAGGATGGACAGCAGCTAGAGAACTACTGCAGTAACCGCAGCCTCCTTGGGGCAGAGATGGCATCCAGTACCTACAACCCTGCCTGGGGCTAGGTGGGCCCGAAGAGGTGTCTGATGCATGAATGAGTCATCTTGACATTGGTTCAATTATGCGTTACCCGTAGTCCCTAACGTGTGTGTGACGTGCTGAGGGAGGTTCTAAATCAGCACAAGAGTGGACTTTGCCTTCAAGAACGTGACAGCTTAGTCACACTCGTAAATAAAAGATCTCCAACAGTACACAGCAATGCCTATAAGAGCTAAATGAACGCTACAGCCTCTAAGTGCTCAGAAGAGGGGGAAATCTTCCAGGAAATCAGGGAAGACTTCTCAGGAGTTGGCCAAGATCTTAAGGGATTGATGGAATTTAGGTACATGGCAAAAGTGGGGGCCATCCATTTGAGGCATGGTAGAGAGCACAAAAGTGAACGTGTTTAGGATGGATTCAGGAATAAAGTAGATGAATTCATCTGTAATAGAAAATTTGGGGTGATAATAGTGGAAGGCAGGTTTGGGAAAAGAGGGTTGACCCTGGGTTGTAGAGACTCCAAAAATATGGTTAAAGAGGTGGTTGATTTTGCCCTCAAGTCAATGATGTGATTCAGGACTAGTGTTTTAGGAAGGTTAGTGTCCTCGCTCTAGAGAGGTTGAACTGAAGGGATAACCTCCAGTTGGAGGTTGAGAGGGCAAGGAGGCTTCTGCAGCAGTCCAGGCATGTAGGGGTGAGTACTCCAGTGGCACCAGCATGAAGGGATAAGGGTAGATGTGAAATCACAGAGGAAATTGCAGTGGGACATTTTAACTAATTGGTGTGAAGAACAAAGAGTTGGGGTAATGGGATGGAGACACAGACAACTTTAGGGTTTTGGCCAGGAAGCTGGAAGAATGGGGACATCAGTATGTCACATAAGAAAGGTGGGGAGAAAATCAGTGCAGAGGGAAGATGAAGGAGGTGGTTTTAGGTAGTTTATTTTCAAGGTGTTTGTTTGGTATCATATAGGGAATATCCAGTACACAGTTGGAAATAGAAAACTAGGTCCCATGAGAGGCGGGAACGTTGAAAGTCAATCCGAGTCACCTGAAGAGAAGTGATGGTTGAAGCCCTGGGAGCAGGTGGAGACACCCACCCTGGGAGTAGATTACAGATCGAAGAGAGAGTCATGCAGAGAGAAAGGATGGGAGACAGGCAGCTACCCATCGGGATGTTGGATGACACAGAACAGGAGGAGGGGCGGGTCAGAGAAAACCAGAGTGAGGAGGAAACGTGAGAGGTGGAGCAAGTATGAGAGTTGCCCAAGGGGTCCCCCAAAAATAGACTCTGAGGGAAGGTCAGTGCATTTGGTAACCAAGAGGCTTCTAAAAACTTCGGTGGTTGCTGGGTAAGTAGTTGATGGGAGGGAGAGTATGTGGTGAAGAATCAGGGGAGCCCCCAGGGATACAGCACTGATTGGCAACATGTGATTGTGGAAGGAAGGAAGGGGGATGTTTCCAGAGGACTCAGCAGAGTTGTGCAAAAGTTCTTCCAAGATGGAGACCCAGAACGGGGCAGGTGCCAAGGCTGGGAGACCAGTGCGGGCAAAGGGGCTGGAAGGATGGGTGTGGAGGTGAGAGCAGTGCCTTCTCAGGAGTAGAGGGGGGTGGAGGGCAGAGGAGGGCCGGGGGTGAGCCCCTGACGAAGGCTGCTTCCCCTCCCATCATCCTCCCTCTTTCCCAATCTCTTCCTTTTCCTTCTCCTGGTGTTTTTCTTTCTCTCCTTTCCCCAAGTACCTCTTATCCTCCACAGAGCTTGTTTTCCTTGAAGTGGTCATTAGTAGAGGTAGGAGCTTTTGGTTTTGGTCGCGCTGTGTGGCTTGCGGGATCTTAGTTCCCCGACCAGGGATCGAACCCGTGCCCCCGGCAGTGGAAGCTCAGAGTCTTAACCACCAGACGGCCAGGGAATTCCCAGGAGCATCTTTAAACATTAACTTTCATGTTGATGTATTCAACTAACACGTTATTTTTAAAAACAAATATATTGAACCCTTTGCCTTTCTTTCTCCAAGACAATAGAAACCCTAAACTCTGTAATTATGCTGCTTTTTCTCTGCATAGACTCTTGGTTTTCTTCCTTGTGCATAGGGGCCTGTAATTTGATAACACGTTCCCTCCCGTCACGCTGAAATGGTGATTAATAGGTTTTGTGAAACTGCATTTCTCCCCATTTCCACACTTCTCAATCTGCAGGGGTAAATAAATGATCTAAAAGTACAGTCTTTTAAAATGCATTTTTTTAAAAACATCTTTATTGGAGTATAATTGCTTTACGATGGTGTGTTTCTGCTGTATAACAAAGTGAATCAGCTCTATGTATACATATATCCCCATGTCCCCTCCCTCTTGCGTCTCCCTCCCACCCTCCCTATCCCACCCCCCTAGGTGGACACAAAGCACCGTAAAATGCATTTTTGTATGTTCTGTACCTGAAGTGTTGGGTGACACTCTGGTTGAGGCATGTGGGTGCATGAAGGAGTCTGGTGGGCTTGGCAGGGGCTCCGAGGGTGGGGGGATAAGCTGCTGGAGGGTGCCGTCCATGTCACTAGTGCCTGTTGCCAAGTGGTGGGCCATCTTTCCAGTGGGCCTGCGACTGGAGATAAATGTTAAGGAGTGGGGCGTCTCCCGACCCACCCAGAGAGCCCTGGTTGCAGCCACTGGGAGGCAAAAGCCCAGAAATCCTTCTAGAGAAAGAGCACCGCCTTCCGCCAGCACTGAGACCTTTCCAGCTGAGCCCCCCATCTCCCAGAGGGCTTTATCTAAATTAGGAAAGGAAAAGGACTTCTCTCGTTTTCCCCTTGGCTTGAAATATCTGAGTCGAAGTAAGTCATCTACATTCTTTTTTTTTTTTTTTTTTTTTTTTTTTTTTTTTTTTTTTTTGACATTTACAGAGCTCAGCAGTCAGCCCCACTCCGGAAATTTCTTCAGAGCCTCCTGGATAGTAAGTTATCACTCTTTACATGGCTTGATGTGTTAAATATCGGAAGCGGGAAGAGGCTTGTGTTGTGTTTTGTTATCCGTCCAGTGGATCTGAATGATGTACAGTTTGGTGATAAGTAGCAATTATCGTCTTCAAATTATTTTTTTCCCCCTCCTTTTCCAAATTAATTTTGTGTTGATTCATATTACCTTTGATAAGCTTTTCCCTGTGTTGGCATCTTTACCTTTAGAATGTGTGCTGATCTTTGGGGGAACGGAGTGGGTGACTAAGGCCACATCTGGTATAAAGGCGGGGGTGGGGTGAGGTCCTCAGGCTGGACCTATCATGAGGAAAGATGGGGCCAAGAGAGGGCTAACTTGTTTGATTCTCAGAGATCTTGGTTTATTCCCCCATACCAATTCTTAGAATTCTGCCTGAGTGATGAATGCACACCCCACGCACTTCTTCATGGGGTGACCACCAGACTCCTTTCCCGTCCCCAAACCATCCCAGGTCCTCTCCTAGGTTACCTATCTTTTTTTTTTTTTTTTTTTTTCGGTACACGAGCCTCTCACTGTTGTGGCCTCTCCCGTTGCGGAGCACAGGCTCCAGACGCGCAGGCTCAGCGGCCATGGCTCACGGGCCTAGCCGCTCCGCGGCATGTGGGATCTTCCCGGACCAGGGCACGAACCCGTGTCCCCTGCATCAGCAGGCAGACTCTCAACCACTGCGCCACCAGGGAAGCCCTAGGTTACCTATCTTTGTACTTCACTATGCAGCTGTTATCCCAGCCGAAAATGCTTCCGTGCTGTTCCCTACCCTTACAGACATGGTGAATAGCCGGCACTTCAGCTTTTATAAATGCGCCCGAACGGATCCTTCCTATACCCAGTCTCACGTTAGTACCGCTTATGGCACTTACTTCTGTTGCTGTCTACCTGACTTATGCTCTTGTGGGTTTTTTTGTTTGTTTTGGTTTTTTTTTTTTTTGCGGTACGCGGGCCTCTCACTGCTGTGGCCTCTCCCGTTGCGGAGCACAGGCTCCGGACGCGCAGGCTCAGCGGCCATGGCTCACGGGCCCAGCCGCTCCGCAGCATGTGGGATTCTCCTGGACCGGGGCACGAACCTGTGTCCCCTGCATCGGCAGGCGGACTCCCAACCACTGCGCCACCAGGGAAACCCTATGCTCTTGTATTTTTATAACTATAATAAATTATGAACTCCATGAGGGCAAGGACTGCATCTTCATACTGCCTAGTGCACCCTATAGATTTGGGAGCTGTTCTGGTAGGAGCAGCTTCTCATCTCATCACCATTATATCACCATCTGCATCTCATTCTTTGAAATATGACAAGGAGGAAAGGCACACTATTACCTGTTCCATTTGGGTTGGGTAAGTCCACAATGAGCAAAGTTCACCTCTTCAAATAGAAGCCTGACTTGGTCTGAATGCTGAGTTTATGGGGGCAATTACGGTCACTTGGGCATATCCAACCTATCATATCTTGCCAAAGAAGGCATTTTGCAAAAGTAGTTTCATTTGGAAGTCAGTGAGCTGGGATTAGGGTATTTTGGTGAAAAATTGCTTCAGGTGGCTGGCTGAGTGAATTTCTACCGGATCTAAGGCACTATGCTGGGTATTCTTTTTTTTTTAAATATAAATTTATTTATTTTTGGCTGCGTTGGGTCTTCGTTGCTGTGTGCGGGCTTTCTCTAGTTGTGGCGAGCGGGGTCTACTCTTCGTTGCAGTGAGCAGGCTTCTCCTTGTGGTGGCTTCTCGTTGCAGAGCACGGGCTCTAGGCACGTGGGCTTCAGCAGTTGCGGCACAAGGGCTCAGTAGTTGTGGCTCATGGGCTCTAGAGCGCAAGCTCAGTAGTTGTGGCGCACGGGCTTAGTTGCTCTGCGGCATGTGGGATATTCCTGGGCTAGGACTCGAACCCGTGTCCCCTGCATTGGCAGGCGGATTCTTAACCACTGCACCATCAGGGAAGTCCCTATGCTGGGTATTCTAATAGGAGCATAAGATGCAGTCCCCTAATAGTTTCAGGGGCAAAACACGCAAAAAAAAAAAAAAAGTTAGTAAATAAAAAGGCAATGTGGCAACTGAATGAAATAGACTGTAGAGGTTAAAAGTATTCAGAAGACAGCTCCCACAGGATATCAGAGTTAAGAGTGCAGGTCTTGAATGAAATGATAATTTTAACGACTGATTGAGCATTTACTATGTGCCAGGCCCTGTGCTTAGCATTGTATATACCTTACCTCATTTAGTCCTCAACATTTCAGGATCAGGCGTTATTTTTTATCCCCATTTTATAGGTGAGGAAACAAGCGCAGAAAGGTAGTGTGTGTCCAGGTTCCACAGCTGTGTGTGGCAGAACTACCACCAGAGTAGGAACAATGACGTTCTAGGCCAGGAGACTGCCAAGATCTGCTGGTGGCAGCAGTAAACTCTCACCTGCACCAGTACTGATTCAAAATTGGGTAATAAGTTAACCAAAGGCATGCTAAGGTTTACTGTTTTGAGCGGTTAAAAAAACAACCATTTGTGTAATAGTGTGTTAGCAGGATTGAGGGGGACTCATGCAGACTTTTTAAAAGAGCAAATTGCTTTCAGACACTCTGAGTACTGGTGTACATAGATATCTGATGTGTTAATTTACCAAGCACTGTATTTGTATCATGGAAATAGGTCCAGAGACCTCTGTTTTTCAGCCATAGCCCAGCTCTCATGAAACACTTGACAGGAATAGATGAGCTTTTCCCTCCTGATGTTCTTCCATGTGGGGATTTTTCAGTAATTCAGGCTTGGTTTTCTCCCAGTTTGTTCAAATGAGTTAGGTTTTTCAGTATTTGGAATTGGTGAGGAGTCAACATAAGTGCAGTGCCTGATACATATGAAAATGCACAGTAAGAGTTTGTTGAATAAATGAATGCATCTGTGAATCTTAATTAACTAGAATCCAACTTGCTTAGCACTGAGGCAGGCTGCTTGTGAACGAAATCTGGTCCCTTTCACTGCATGGACACGAAACGTGAAAGAAACGTTGGCAAGGCTTGACTTACTTAACCCAAGGGCTGAAGAAAGAGGAGTCACCGATAGCCCAGGATCAAAAACTCTGTGGTCACTGGAGAAGTGATGGTGTTGTCTTAAATCTACTTTCACATCTTGAGCAGACTGCAGCTTAGCATTTTATTAGCATGGTTCCATATCACAATATTAGAAGAACCTGGGAAGAGAAAGGAAGAAATTCACCCATAGCCCCAATATCCTAATACAACATCAGTTCTTCCTCTCAAAAAATATATCTTTCATACTTGTAATCATAGTGTATGTCCCATTTTGAATTTAATTCCCTGGAGTTATCAGATATATGTCAGCGGTGTATTTTCATCATGACTCATCATTTCAGCATTGATTGGCACGAATACATTTTTTTCTCCTAACCAAAGAGCTTTACTCTATTTGGCCAGCAGGTGGCACTCAAGAACAAGCTGCTCTTTCCTAAATGGTGATGGTCCACTAGAGAAAACATTATTTCCCTGAATCCAATGTAAGATCAAAACACAAATCATTACCTAAAGAGCTACATGAGAGATTAGAGACTCCCCTGGGCCTTAAAAATGTCAGAAATCTGTGTGCTTGTAGGCATGTAACTTCGTAGAATCATTTTTTCCACTAATTTGTATTTGGTGAAAAACAGAGCTAGACACCAGGCATGCAATGATTCATAAGATAAACTGCCTGGCCTCAAGGGGCTCAGAGTGTCGTTGGGAAATGACACACTTGTACATGACAATCAGAATGCAGTGTGGTCAATTCAGTGATGGGACCCAAGAAGGAGTGAACATCTCTGTTTTGGGGAGAATGAAAGAAAGGTTTTATATAGCAGCAGCAAGTAAAAAGTGAATGACAGTAGCATTACATCATAAATACAAAAAATTTTTTTCATGCAGTACAAAAGGCTTTAAGATTGTCTAGACTCCCTTCCCCAAAGTCTAGAAAGAGTTACTTTCTTTTTTTTTTCCTGAAAACACCAAATGTTTTTTGTCCCCTGCATCGGCAGGCGGACTCCCAGCCACTGCGCCACCAGGGAAGCCCAACCACCAAATGGTTTTAAACAGTGAGGCTGGAATTTTTTGTTTTGTCCTCTGTTGAATCTCCACCTAGGAGAGTGATTGACACTTAGTAGGTGCTGCGTAAATATTTGTGGCATGAATAAAATCAGCAGTGGAATGACAAATTGAGATGTTCTCTAGAAATATCATGCGCAGTGATTTGCAGATATGATTGGAGGGAGTCAGGGCTGCAGGCTTGGGGAGTGGTGCTGTGCTTCCTGCAGAGGTACAGACGAGTGGTCGTGAGCAGTCCCGGGAGGGAGAGAGCAGAAGGATTGATGTGAGCTGTGTCGAGGGCAGGGAGTAAGCAGGACCTGGTGACTGCTTAGGTCTGGGGAGCAAGGGGAGGGAGAAGGGGGTTGATTCCCCTGGCTTTCTGGCTTGGGTGAAGGAAGACAGAGGAACAGGGCTGGGGTTGGTTTGGGACAGGTTGGGTTTAAGATGCCTGAGGACCATGTAGGTGAGGATGTGTAGAAGGCAGTTAAATGTCTGTGTCTGGAACTCAAAAGAAAGGTCTACATAGATTACAGATTTGAGCGTGGATTTCATGGACAGCCTCTTTGCACCTTTTAGTTTTGCAAATGAAAGAAATTGAGTCTGAGAGAACCAGATTGTTTCCAAGTTCTTAAACAGAGTGGGTTTGCCTCAGCAATCACATTCCTCATTGGAGCCGGGCTGGAATCACAGCCTGCCAGGACCCTGCCTGTCTCCTCCAGAGCCCTCCTGGTAGCATGATTGAAACAGTTGGGCCTAAGATGATTGCTCTCTTCTCTCACTTTATCCTTTCAGTGAGTGTGTTTTTATTCAATCCCCCTTGAAACTCAGCAGCCAGCTCTGCATCTCAGCCAGAGGGTGAGTTCTCCGCAGTGTCCCCCACCCCGGCTTGCTCTTTCCGAACCGAAAACAGGTCAGCTCAGGCTACTGAGGGCTGAGCTTCTGAATTTGACTTGTTTTGTGAAGCAGTTGGTGGCTGCTGGTCCTGATCGGGCTTTTCTCCATCAGCCTGGCTCATTTTCCCATCTTCTCTGATCTGTTTGAACACAGCAAAGACCCAGGAACTCTGTGACCTTCTGCAAATGCCTTCACCCCTCTGGTCCTCGGTTTGGGGGACAGTGGGACAAATGATACGTCTTTCCAACATTAGGAGGTCTGATGGAGATGATATATTTAAAAACATTGGGCAAGAGTTTTTAGATACTGTTTTGAAACAAGGAGCCCCTCAGTTGCAAAGTGTTACACATGTGGAAAAAGCATGCTGGCTTTGGTATCAGAAAGAAAACAATTGGCTAGAGCAAATCCATTCTGAGAGGTTTCCTGAGTGCTGGTTTGTTGTTCTGGTGGGGAAGCAGGAATAAATGGTGATAACGGGTGGACTAAAGCCAGAGGTGGGGTAGTGGCAGGAGGGAGGGACGTTCTGACAGCTGGTGCAGTAGAGGCGGTATGGGGTCAGGCAGCTGGTTGCCGCCGAGAGTCAGCACCAAAGTGAGGAGGAACTAGGGGGGATTGGGTGGGAGGTTCTGACTGAGGCTGAGGCAATTCAAGGGGAAGGACAGCAGAATAGGAACTGCCGTCAGGCACTCCCCCAGTACCGAGGGAGATCTGGTAACCCCAGACCAAGGTGAGCAGGGCTTTAGAGACTGTCCCTCCCCAAAAGGCTGTTGGTCGGTGAGCCTCAAGGACATCTATGCCTGGATCTTAGTTGAGGTTGTACAAAAAAGGAGAAACGTGGTTAAACAGAAGGACAAAATCAGAAAATGCAACCAAAAAGAAGAGGGTGGACTGTGAAGGGGAAGTTTGGAAAAGGGGCAGGTTTGTCTTTCATTGTGAAATTCATACGTAAAGCCGGTTTAGAAGAGCTTACATTTATTTCAATCGGCAGACAGTGCCACAACCTTGCAAGTCACCTGTAGGGCTCCTTCAGCTCTCTAGCAAGAGGTGACGGTTTTTATCAATCAGATCCTGGGTGGCGTCGGTGAACGCCACCTGCAGGCAAAAGCAGGAGAGCCAGAAGCAGCGTGGGTGCAGCCATTGTCCCAGAGCCTGCGGGTGAGAGTGGGCACCTCCCAGCAGGGACCAGGCGGGCACCAGTAAGGACAGCCAGCCTGAGCTCAGGTCGTCCTAATTCCCTGTAGTTTTTCTCTTTCCACCCCTCCGATGACTCCATGGTCACTGATTTCAGGAGCTAAGAGCCCTCAGTGAATGTGATATAATCCTTATACTTGTAAAAGAATTTCTAAATACATAATTTCGCAAATTAAAGCATATCCTTAATCAGATCATACGTGCCAATTTTTACTTTCAGAAAATGTGACCTTTTATTCATTCCACAGATATTTATTGAGCATACTCGTGGCCGAGATAGTCTAGTGGGCGCCTGCAAATAAAGAGTGTTTCCCCCATCCCGACCTTTCCAGAGGCCTCTCTCTGAGACACGAACCCTGGAGGGCTGCATGTAGACTCACTTCATTCACACGCCTTTTTTTTTTTTTTTTTTTTTGGCCATGCTGCTGGGCTCACAGGATCTTCCCTGAGCCTGGATTGAACCTGCGTCCTCGGCAGTGAAAGTGTGGAATCCTAACCACTGGACCACCAGGGAATTCCCATCATTCACATGCTTTTTGTTCTCAGCGTTGAGGGTTGGTTTTCTTTCCCCTTAGATTCCCAATAATGTTCTCCTGTCTTGGCCGAGGAAAGGGGAAGAGATTTGACCCCCTGACCTAGGCCAGAGATAATGAGGAGGGGTCTGGGAGAGCCCTGATAGCCCGGCAGTCCCCTGAATAGAGCACGTGAAGCCCTTCAAGCAGTGGCGGGCACATGGCAAGGGCCCGGGAAGTGGTGATGACTGGGAGGGGGTGTTACCAGTGCTGGAAGCAATGGAATTGCTCCGGGGAGCTTGACTACTTTGAGGTGGAGACATTGCCTGTCCTACCACGGAATTTCCACCTCTTTTCCACTTCTGACTCCTGGCTCTGGATACGCTCGTCCCGGGGGTGCATTCGTGGCAGGTGGCACTCAGCAGTGATGATGCACACGGAGCTCCAGCATTAAGCCCTGTTTCCCTGTGATGCGCAAGCCTGGGCTCTTGGAAGGTGCTGCCTCCTAGGTGGTAGGGAAATGTTAGAGCGGCCGAGAGTACCGTCTGCGGTGCCCGACGACAAGGTTCAAGTTCCAGCGCCCCCCGTGCACTGACTGCGCCAGCTTTGATGAGTGCCTGACTCTCCCAGTGGCTCGTCCTCATCTGAAAATGGGGAAAGTAGGACCGTTCGTGGGCGTTAAAGAGAGAATGATCATCGGCCACTTAGCACAGTGCCCCGCACATAGGCCATCTCAACAAGCAGGGTGTACAGCTGCTGTTGCCGTCATTGTGTGTAACTCTGGGGACCCAGAGTCTGCGGGAAGTATAAAAATGATTGTATGGTGATGCATGGATAGAAGGAAAGAGACGGACAGATGTATGAGGAAGTAAATGCAGCCCAGCGTTCCTTGTAGAATCTAGGTTGGGGGTGGTGTATGGGTGTTCGCTGTTGTAATTCCTTAAACGTTTCTTTCCACTTGATAATATTCATAATATTGGGATGAAGTAATTTCATCTAGCTGTTTACATCTTTAGAGCTGGAAAAATTCCATACTGATGCCGGTAGATGGAATTTGGTAGAACTGAAAAGCAGCCTGGCAGGAGCCTGAGTGCTTTTGTGGAAAAGGGGTCATCACTGATCTGAGTGAGTGTGTGAGCATGCGCGTGTGAGCGTGCCCACATGTCAGTGTGTTGGCGGGGGAGGGCATAGAAAACTGGAATTAGGGGAGGGGGAGGGTTCAGTGAGTAGGCGCTCTTAATTTTTTCTGTGCCCCACCTCATTCCAAAAAGGATTTGTGGTAACTTGCAAAAATACCTAGACTTTCAACAAGATAAAAATAAATGAAGGATATAAACCAGCAATAGTTTATACTCATAATACATGTCATAAGGTGCTGAATACAAATTTTGAAAGCAGTGGATGGGATAAGAATACATAGAATCCCAGCTTCCAGTTGCACCTGGGGGCTGATTTTCCTGGAGACCCTAGGCAGCTGGGCCACCTCCTTTCATTGTTGATTTTTTTTTTTTAAAGCGGTACACGGGCCTCTCACTGCTGTGGCCTCTCCCGTTGCGAAGCACAGGCTCCGGACGCGCAGGCTCAGCGGCCATGGCTTACGGGCCCAGCCACCCTGCGGCATGTGGGATCTTCCCGGACCGGGGCAAGAACCCGTGTCCCCTGCGTTGGCAGGCGGACTCTCAACCACTGCGCCACCAGGGAAGCCCCTCATTGTTGATTTTAATGCTCCATTGGTCAAAGCACTTGTGAGGAACAACCCAGAAAAATAATCCAGGTGGTGGACTTGAAATGGCCAACTCTGGCTGGCAACATGTCAGAAGCTCCACTCATGTCCTCGACTATTGCATCTTGTGTGCAACCACTGGTCCCCCAGAACCTCGTCCTGTCTGGCCCCCCTCCTGCCCTCCATCCCCAGGCAGTGTTTCTCAGAGTTATTCTTTTAAAACAAAAGGCAGTCATCTCAAATAGAGCACCTTGCTGTTTAGACACGATTCCTGAGCATTCCAGGGCACCTGTGGGCCTGCCTTGTCTGTAGAGCTCTGTGTCTAAAAATGCCCTTTAGAAGGGACGGTGCTTGGCTGGGATGCCAGGAAGTGTGTTTCCTTGTCCTCAGCTGGTAATGTGCTTTTTAGAAAACTGTTAAAAATACTAAATCCTACTCTCTCTTTTTTTTTCTTCTCTCTTTTAAAATTTCATTGTTCTCAGTGTATATTCTTCCAACTTCCACGCGGTGAAGAGGGAATCAGATGGGGCTCCCGGGGATCTTACCAGCTTGGAGAATGAGAGGCAGATTTATAAAAGCGTCTTGGAAGGAGGAGATATCCCTCTCCAGGGCCTGAGTGGGCTCAAGAGGCCATCCAGCTCGGCCTCAACTAAAGGTAACTGGGCGAAGCCTGCAGGCCTCTCGCCCATCCACACGGCTATCAGGATATCTCTCGCCCGTCCACACCCATTCCTGGGGTGATGGCAGCGAGGGTGAACCTCCAGCGACTGGGATAAGTTTTGACTTGTTGAGATCCATTTCCAGGCCACGGAGCCCTTGTAGTCCCCTCCCCTAGTATCTCACCGGCCATTTTTCTTTCTGGTATGAATAGTTTCCCTTCCTTTGGACCCCAACCTTGCTCTCCCTGAAGCATCTCTCTCTTTTTTGTTCTGATTCCCTTTTCTTAGAAATTAGCTGAGCTTTTCCTAACTCTAGCAGGGTGGCCATTTTTCTTTGCATCTTTGCACCTGCTTTGCAGCACAGATTATTTTGCTTCCGGACATCGACTGGAAATTAAAACAAAAAACAAAAAACCCCTTATGACAAATGAGCATGTTACCTCTCCTTTTTTTTTTTTTTTTTGGTAGCAGCTTTCAGCTTTAACCTAATGGGTCTGTTTATTTTATTCTGCATGCTTTCCAGTGGATCATAAAGGTGGGAATGCTCACATGATTTCTTCATCTTCAGTTCATAGCCGAGCGGTTCACACTAGCAGTGCGTTAGGCCCCGGGTGTAAGCACAAGAAACCCTTGTCCGCTGCGAAAGCCTGCATTTCGGAAATCCTCCCCTCCAAATTCAAACCCAGGCTCTCTGCTCCCAGCGCTCTTTTGCAGGATCAGAAGAGCGTCCTGTTGCCATCGGAAAAGGCTCAGAGCTGTGAGAACCTTTGTGTCTCGGTTCCTCTGAATGATTCCAAAAGAGGCCTCCCCCTGCAAGTGGGGGGCAGCGCGGAGAACCTGCTCGTGCGCTCCCGGCGGGACTACGACGGCAGGTCGAGCAGCACCATGAGCCTGCAGGAGTACAGCACCAGCGCCAGGAGGCCCTGCCCACTCTTGAGGAAGGCTGGCCCGCAGTTCACCATGCTCTACCGAGATATGCACCAGATCAACCGGGCCGGCCTCTTCCTGGGGTCCGTCTCCTCCTCCAGTGTGCGGGATCTTGCCTCCCACTTCGAGAGGAGCAGCCTGGCATTGGCCAGGGGCGAGCTGGGCCCCAATCAGGAAGGCTCGGAGCACGTCCCCAAGCACACCGTCTCCTCCCGCATCACAGCTTTCGAGCAGCTGATTCAGCGGTCCCGGTCCATGCCGTCGCTGGACCTGTCCGGCCGGCTGAGCAAGTCCCCCACGCCCATGCTGGCCCGGAGCGGCCTAACCTCTGCCCGCTCGGCTGAGTCCCTCCTGGAGTCAACCAAGCTCCGGCCCAGGGAGGCGGGCGGGCTGAACCCTGGGGGCATCTACGCCTCCCCAGCATGTAGCCGGATGGCGGACCCCACCTTGGGCTTCAGGGGCCTCATGCCTTCCGAGCCGCTCTCTGCCTGCTCGGACGAGCTGGACCGCTGCTCAAACATCTCCAGCGACAGCCGAGAGGGCAGCAGCAGCAGCGTTCACGGAGACTTCCCCAAACACCGCCTCAACAAGTGCAAGGGCACCTGCCCGGCCTCCTACACCCGCTTCACCACCATCCGTAGGCACGAGCAGCAGCAGACCTCCCGGCGGCCCGACTGGCGCCCAGATCCCAGGGGGGACAAGGGCACACTCCTCAGGAACATCTACCTAATGAGCCCCCTCCCTTTTCGGTTGAAAAAGCCCTTCCAGCATCCCTCCAGACAGCTTTGTCCCGGGGACTTCTCGGGCCAGAAGCCAGACCCCCCCAGGGGGTCTCAGCCCCATCAGGACGAGCCCCCCTCCGGGGGGAGGCCCTTGGTTCCCAGACGGCTGTCTTCCCGGCACACCATGGCCAGGCTGAGCCGGATCTCAGAGCCCCCTCTCGAGAGACCCGCGGCCCCGGAGGTCTGCCTGCCGGCCTTTAGTAATGGGAACTCTCTGTCGTACTCAGACCACAGCCTGGACAGGAACAACAACCCCCAAAGTGAACTGGGAACGTCCCTCGGAGGTGGCCTTCTGTGTATTTGCCCAGTCTCACCTCACCCATCTCTCCACTCTGCTTGCTTTGTTCCCTCCTCCCGTGTGCCCTTGGTGCTCATTTTCTGGTCCGTCCTTTGTTTTCTGTTTGTTTTGCTTGGCAATTAATCATGGCTCATAGTGGCTGCACTTCTTTAAAAACAGATCCCCCATGTCATTTAGACTAACCACCAAACTCTGTTTCGAAAGAAAAATTGGCCGTTTAGCTCATCTGAGAAATGTGTTCATTTGAACTCCTGAACCCCTTGCAGTTCACACCAATCCCAATTCACCCTGAGGTTTTTTGAGAGGCAGCCTCTCTCGGTGGCCCTGTGTATGTGTGTGTGAGTGTACAGTGTGTGTCCCTGTAAGATCCTGCACGCCTCTTAATAGGGACAATTTTCAAAGACGGTCCTCTCTTTGCTCACCTTTTGCCTCTGATTAGTTTTCTTTGTATGAAACTAGTTCACAGGTAAATCCAAAAATCGGGAGGGGGAGGGCATTTGGTTTTTTTTCCTTCTGAATTTGAATACTGACCACCAAACAACGACGGTACAAACTTGATATTTGTCATGGATGAAAGGTGAAATCTTTTCCCAATCTGGTTTCCCACTAAATCTTTGCCTGTTTTAACTTTACTTTATTGTTTTGAAGATTCAGAATCACCAAGGCATTTTATACCAGCTGATTACTTGGAATCCACAGAAGAATTTATTCGAAGACGTCATGATGATAAAGAGGTAATCGCCCCCTTTGAAATCTCTTAGCTCTTGTGCAGATAAAAATATGAAGGAAGTAGACATTCAGGGAGGTGGCATGGCCTAGCAGTTAGAGGCAAACATTGGGATTTTCACAGGTGACTTTTTATATGACATGAGCTCAGTCACTCCTCTTTTAGTCCACTTTTCCAAAGAGTAGGACTGATTTTCCCCAAGGTGCTAAGTTCCAAATGCCAAATCTGCCCGGGAGGTTCAGAAAGAGGTTGCCCACCACTGCATTCAGTGCCTTTTAAGGGGAACCTAGAGTCCTTCCCCCTAACCCCCGCCTTATTACTCTCCAGGGAAATCTATCCTCTATTGGCACAAAGCACAGTTCATATTGAGAAATATGCAGTAGGAGAAAGAGGAAACTGAAAAAGAGTAATGCCCATGATACATTTTATAAAAACAGTTTGAAGAAGTTGCCTTTAAATCAGAAGAAGAGAGATACCCCAATAAACGTTGATAACCCCTCTCCCCCAGAACTTCAGGATATAGACCTTGTCCTGCAGCTACTGAAATGTGTGTACTGCAGTGATCTGACTGACGGGGCCGGGAAAGGAACGCGTTCTCTTGGGATTTAGGAAGAGGTAGTTCGGCACATCAGCTAGATGGGCAAAATCACACGCTGCTGTTGTGATGAAGTGTTATGACGAGGCGTGTTTTCTAGACTTTGCATTCCCGGAAGAAAGGGTCCTATAGCTTAAACAAGCTCTGATGAGTGTTTTCTTGCAATGAAGAGATGGAAGAATTGCTTTGAACCTGGTGGCAGCAAGGGAAGGTGTTCGTGTGTATGCAACTCTGTCCCTTTCCCCGTAAAGTCTGAAGCCCTTTTTCTGTGTTTTGCTGTTTTGTTGAGTTGGTTTCAGAGCTTACGGGGATTTTCCTTAAGGATTTAGGGTAAGGCTGACATTGAAGAGAGCTGGAGGGTAACAATCATTGCTGCCAGCTAGAGAGACAAAGGACAAATAAAACCACAGCTCTGCCCTTCTCTGGGCACAATACAGACAGTGCTCAGTAAGACATTTGCGCCTGTCTGTGAAAAGAAACAGGAGGAAGCATTTGATGGACAGAATTATTTGTGATAGCATGGTGAAAAACTCACAGTGGACGTCCATCTGGCCACAGAACAGACTCCTTTTTGTCACTGTCACTGAGATACAAGATTCTACCTATCGAAGCCTGGCCTGCTATGATGAGGGAAGTTGACATTCCATTTCAGGATGATAAACCCTAGCATCCAACATGGCAGGTTTTGTGATAGAATTCTTGCCTACCACATGGGAAGCAGATTTTACTTTGCTGGTTTAGCAGTTCAGAGGGTGAGCAGCTTGTTTCCTGAATAACGCTGGCTCACAGATCCTTGGGTCTTTATCCCTGTTTTTTGGCTTATGTGTTTAAACTATGGGAATGATGGGTTTGCTGAGGTCAGATTCACACACTGGGTAGGGAGCTCTGCTCCATTTGCATCTGTCCATTCCCATTGCTACAGAAACAACTCACATGTCCCAGCTCAGGGAATGCCAGTCCTGGCATTTTTCCATGCAAGTGGCTTATTATTAACATTGATGATAATGGCATTTCAGAAAACAAGAGCCTGTCAGTCCTGGAAGGGACATTAGTGGTCATCTGGGCAATTCCCTTGTTTTATCCAGGAAAGGACTGCCACAGGACAGTGGCCTGCCTCGGGCCACATAGCCAGTTACCTTGTACCAGAGGCAGAGCTGGAAAGCAGGGCTCTACCGTGCTTCACAAAGCACTTTCTCACGTCTTTTCTCGTTCAATCTTTACCACAACTTAACCAGAGCACTGGAAATCCCACAGCCATTTGACGAGTTATTGCTTTATTACTGTAGACCCTGGAGAAGAATAGAAAAGTGGGCCCACCATCCTTTGGGGCTAGGTGTCACTTAAGGCATTTAATTACCTGCTGGGAGAAGACTAATGCTTTATTGAGAATGCTCAGAATGATCAGTTCTAATCAATGCTTTCCTGCAAAGAATATTAATCCCAGGAAGGTATGATTGGTATGGAGTAAGAAAACACATTAAAATTCTCTTCCATAGGGTCCTTTCGGTAGGCAATGAGGACATTTAGTTAAATGGAACGTTGTTTAATTATTTTAAAAGTAGAAATAGATGACTATTTCCTTAATTTAGGAGAGAATATTTCTTCTAAACCCAGGTACCATTATTCTTAGTTTATCTCCTTCATTTATAGTCTACCTCATTCCCTTAAAGTCAGTTTCATTTCACCTAAGGAAGAAATAGTTAAGGTGGAAGTACAAGGTAAGTGATGCTTTCTGTCAGTCACATAAATAGCCTTTGGTGCATGTGCTGAGGCCTCCTAACAATTGTACTCGGAGGAAGGGTTGGCTGGCCTAGGAGAAGGGGTGCCACGTTTTCTGAAATGGGTATCTCTACTTTCTTGAGCATAAAGTAGCAGGAATAGGAAGCACAAAGATGACCTGCTTGCCACAGAACCACACAATAAAAGCCCACAGCAGTTTTAATAGCCTGATTTGAGGAGGAGGAATCAGCCAGCCCTGGTCCCACTATGGGAACTCATCACTGCCTGAGTGAGGGAAGGATAGCACTTGCAGCCTCCCACCATGCTCCATGCTCGTGAATGCTCCGGACGGACCCCCTGGATGCCCTGGCCCTGGCTGCCTTGTGCCAGGAGGCAGGAGGCTTTGGGCTGAGCTGGGAGATAGTCTGCAGACAGCGTAACCGTATGGGACCCAGCGTTCCCTGCATCCCAGTGCTCCCCCGGTTTCTCCCCGCAGCGCTGTCTCCTCCCTACACAGAGCGCACGTGGGTGGGTACAGCGGGAACCTTGCAGTTGCGGCCATAAAGCCCCCCCAACATGTTTCCTCCCTATTGACCCAGCACCTTTTTCCTTAGTTGTTTTTGTTGGCAGTTTTCCAATACCCTGGACCAGATGATTCACAGCCCATTTTATGCAATTTCATGGCAGAAGCTTTTAGCGGACCAGAGACGACTTAAGCGTGAGCAAGAAGAAGCCGATATTGCAGCTCGACGCCACACAGGCGTCATTCCGACGCACCATCAATTTATCACTAATGAGCGCTTTGGGGACCTCCTCAATATAGACGATACAGCAAAAAGGAAATCTGGGTCAGAGGTCTGTTTTGGTCACCTCGATCTGCTGCTTGACCCAAAGCAATATTTGCCTTCCCTCGGCACTGCCCTCTGTAGGCCAAATTACCTCTCCAGACAGCATCTGTCATCCTGGCTTCCCTTAGGCTTGCTTTGGCTCTTCTCTGGCTGGTCGGTGGACATGATTCCCATTATGTCCTGTGCTCTGTATGTCCAAGCATGCCTGGCTGCGGGACCGGGATCTGCTGGCGCACAACCTGAATGCATGCCTTAGAGCATCGGCTGCCTTCATGAGTCTGGTCTTCTCCATCTGCATTTTATCATGAGACTGTGTTGCCTGTGCACTTTGCTTAGAAACCTATACCTTAGTTCATATGCATTAGTAGCTATGGTGTGGACAATTACGAGGTTCTTCTTTGAAAAGATGGTTCAGTGAAACTTGTATTACATGCAGTACAGCCACTTGGTATCCTACGACGATTTACTTGACTAAAGTGTTCAGTAGAGCTGAAGCCTCACTGAGGAATTTTGAAAGCCAAACCGTTTTTGCAGTTAGGGTAAGCCATGGAGGGTAAGAGCTCTCTGAGAGAGATTTCCTTTGTTGCCTTAATTTTGACGTTTCTCAGCTGAAATTATGAAACTTAATATTATACAAGAAACAAAGAAGTACAAGCCTTTGAAGTGATTTTATCCAGGCCTTGGCCTCCTGCGTGAAGGTCAACATATTGAAATTCTTGTGCTGGCCAAATGCAGCAGCTTGCATCAGCGTTTGTTTTGCCACGTGATCCTTAGGTAGCCCTGCTGAAGATTAGCTCCTTTCAGGGAAGCCTGTGTGCCTGGGGCTTGGGGAGGATTGGGGAAATGGTGCAGTGACACCAAAGTATATACAGTTGTATAATCGTTCAGTGTAATAGCCAATTAAATACTCATGTCTCTATCTTTTGAGTGACAGAGGCACCACTGACTGTTCATCAAATGGTTTGGGTTTTGTTTTTTTTTTTTAAAGAAATAGAAGGTGACTGTAACAAAGAGAAAAGGGGGAACCAGACTAGAAGAAGGAAAGCTGGGGAGGGGAAAGAGACTCTAAGGTGATAGAGAAAAATAAAATGTAATAAGGGGGAGGCAGAAATTAGCAGGAGTTACTCAGATGCAAGTGAAGGACAACCGCCAGCCCTCAGCATTCCAGCTCCTGAATACCACCCTGTTCTGAAGGCTCTAGTGATGGGTTATCCTCATTCCCAGGCCTACCTGGTTGTGAGTGATGGAGAAGATGGGAACATGCAAAGGCACCCTAGGGCTGCCTACCCCACGTGTAGATAATACATGCAAATGAAATGCAACCAGGGCACAATAACCATGGACAGAGGCAGGCAAACTCTGCCTAACCTGCCTTGCCTCCCTTCTAGAGCAGAGGTTCTCAAACTTAAGTGTGTCACAATCCCCTAGATGCTTGTTAAAATACAGGTTGCTGGGCCCCATCCACCAAGTTTCTGATTCTGGGGCGGAGCCTGAGAACCTGCATTTCTGAGCAGTTCAGGGACCACATTTTGAGAATCACTGCCCTAGATGTCGACTGACAGACATGGGACAATAAAGACCAATGAGTCCCAGGTACACCAGGCTATGTAGATGTACTTCTGTACCATTCAGTAGAATTTGGATGACCACTAATTTGCCCAGGACCCTGTGAGGGGATAGAAACAAGACTCAGACTGTGCCCTTGGGAAGCTGGCAGTCTAGTGGAAGAGGCACCCTCGGAACAGTTACCTCTGTTGTAATAAGTAACACAATGCCTTGGGAACCAGAGGAGGAAAAGATCGATTCAGCCTCAGGAGGATGGAGGAAGATAAAGAAGGAGGTGATGCTTTGTATAGGCAATATGACTCATATAATATGTCTTAAGAGTTCAGTGGAATCAGTGTTCCTCAATCTTGAATAATGTATGGATTCCCTTTGATGAAAAAAAATTTTCACCAACCCGATTGGGTTGACCTAAGCCAATTTACAAATTAAATAGTAAACTGTACACGTATACAATTTTTATTTAATAATTATAAATTTAATTAACTGATTAATATTCACGTCTCTATCTTTTGAGTGATAGAGGCACCACTGGCTATTCATCAAATGGTTGGGTTTTATTAATTTAATTGATGGTTGATATAATTTTGCCTGAACTCAGTTGCCACTCAGAGTGTGACTATCGTGCTGTTTTGGTATAAATTTTTTTTGAAGTTCATACAGCTTTACAGCTGGCTGTCAACCAGCCCCCCCCCCCCCCCCTTTTTTAAATTGGAATCACTGAAATTTTTGTGCTTAAAACGTTGGTCATTTGGCCTTCTCTTGTGAACTTGTCGTTTATCATTAACTCCACATTTGTTCTTATTTGCTTACAACTGTTGAATTATGCTCTTTGGTCACAGGCAGGCATTGAAATCTGTGACATTGATTATAAGGTCGTCATTCAGTTGACTTCTAATATGTATGGTAGATAGATGGAAACATCACATGAAAATGCAAAAGTAAAAAAAATTCCTGTGGAGAATCCATGGCCTTAAAGAAGATCCCTGTAAGACCCCAGCTTGAGGAACCTGGAAATATGGGGCATTTCACTAAGGGATCAGGATCTAAAACTAAGCTTCATGAAGCTTCTAAAAACCATTTTTTTCCTCACATAGTCTCCCATTTTTCCCCTCTGCTTTGTCCACGCCTTCTAATATTGAAGAGGAAGTATGTAATTTAATTTTCATCACATTGTTTCCCTATACCAGAAAGTTATAGCAGTTGAAAAGGTTGGAGCTGTTCATGGCTGGGGCAGCATTATACTGGCAGCTGTAAACTGCTTGCTCTCATGATTTCTCCCCTCTATCTTTCTTTTTTTAAAAAAAATTCCCCACTTTTAATGGTGGGGAAGAAAGATGTACAAATAAACATGGTAAGTAAAAGGGAACCTTTTGCTCTCTTTGTTAGAATTGGAGATGAGGAAATTCCAGACAGAGAAGGGGTGTCTAGACAAGGTGCAGCAAGTAGATTTGCCTGACTGGGACAGGAAAAGTGTCATAGGAGATAAAGACGGTTAGGTATGAGTGGGGAGAAATGACCCAAAGGCCTTAACCCACCTCAGGAATTGAGAGTTGATCTGAGGCACAGTTGAGAGACTGGGCCAACTTCAAAGCAAGGAAGAGATGTGATGGAGGTATTTGAGGAATGTTATTTGTGCTCCTGAGTGACAGTAGATTAGAGTGAAGAGAACTGAAGTCAAAGGAAGCTCTGTGCCTGTGGGAAATAGAGGTCAGACCTGAGTGGGGTTGTGGAAGGGACGGAGGGAGGGTTGGCGTGACTTAATGACAGGCTCGATGAGAAAGTAGAGATGGGGGCTGTGGATGACTTCCAGGCTTGGGGGGTCTAGGAGGAGAGGGCTACCTAACAAGAATGGAAGCCTTGAAGGAAGAGCATGAGCTCAGGGCTCGCTTTATCTGGCTTTTTTGGATGATTTCACAGACCTGGAGAAATATGTGGAGTTGGAGGTGATGTGAGAAGTCACTCAGGGTTCATTTACTTGCAGGTCATAATTTAAGTCAGGTAAAGAGAACATGTTCCCCAAAGACTAAGACAGTAGATAAGGAATGTCTCAGGACTTCTGGCTGGGTTTTGTTTGTTTGTTTGTTTTTTAAATAGTGGTGTCAGCCTTGGGGACCAGCATTTCAACTTTAGGACTTTTCTAACCATCTCTTCCCCACATCTCCCCCTCCGTAGGGAGATCCTCACGCGAGGCATAGCTGATTGAACGTCCATGTAGTGCTCTGCTAAGGTCAGACAAGTAGATTTCTGCCCAGATTTCGACACCAGAGTAAACTGGTTAGGGTGGATTTTTCTGCTTTGCTTTCCGGAAACTTGTAAACGTGTGCCCTTTTCATTATACATAAATTGTGATTTTAACTTGTCATTGTTTCCTGTGTTTAGATGAGACCTGCCAGAGCCAAGTTTGACTTTAAAGCTCAGACGCTAAAGTAAGTGCCACCAGTCATATTCATTTATTTTAACTGCCTCTTTGAAACACAGAAGTGCACTCATAGAGAAGAGTGGGAGAAAATAACAACAATAAGAAACAGGAGTTTTTAGATTGTACTATGTGCAAGCACCATTCAAAGTACTTTACGTATGTTAACTCATTCATCCCTCATTGGAACCCTGTGGGGTTGGTGCTATTGTTATTTCCCTTGTAGTAATGGGGAAACCAAGGTTCTGCAAAGGTTAAGGAACTTGCCCAAGCTGGTCAGTGATGGAGTCGGGATTCAAATCCAGGTAGCCTGGTGCCAGAGCCTGGGCTCTCACCTCTGTGCTGCTCTGCTGCCTCCTATGTGGGGACTCAGTTTGCTTCATTAAGTGGTGGCTTGATCCGACTTTCTCTACGGAAGGAACCAGAACCAGTCGCTAGGAAGATAACTTTGCCAGTTTTGCTGCAACATCCCGAGAGATTAAAGGCTTATGTGAACCCACAGGAGACCCGCATTTCTCTAAGTATGTTCCTCAGAGTGCTGGCTCTGTAAATATTTCTCAAATTGTGTTCCATCATAGAAATGAGTCTGGGAACCACTGCATCCTCTGTCTGTACCTCCTGCCCCTCCTTGAAGAGAGACTTTGCTATCGACATATTAACGGCTCTCTAGAAGTTTTTCAATAAAGAAACCTAATTAGCTGATTTAGCCACTGTTACCTAAATTTAGATGAGCAGAAAACCTTTCCATTTTCCGTAGAATGAAATTTGAGAAACGACTGGGTTCCTAGAGGACCTTGCTCACTTCCTGTCTAACTGTGGATTAAAGCGGGCTGCGAGTTTTCA